CAGGCTCAGAAGGCTGTATCTCACCACATAAACGAGGTGAAAATGGGGTAAGTTCAGTAGAGTAAATACTAGAACTTTGCATCATCGAGGAATCAAAGCCATATTGGTAAAAATTCCAACTTGATTCCACCAAATTGTTAGCAGCAGCCTGGCTAACATTGTCATTAGCTGTACTACTATAGAGATTGGGATCATATGGGTACTCGCTATAAACATCAACATTCTGATTGAAATGATCAGGTGAAGGGGGATGTTTCTGAGCTAGAACATCATAGAAAGATTTCTCTGCAGCTTGGAGAGCTAAACAGTCCTGCAACATGCAGGGTCTGCCCTCTTCATCTTCTTCCATAAGCACATTATTTATGTAGTTCAACACAGCATAGGAAAAGTCAACGTTCTCACTACCGCATTGAGAATCTCCATCTAAGTTCGAACCTGAAGACAATGATGCTACATGGACAGGACGGTTTGATTTGTCTGGACCTTGACCCACAAATATTTTACTAGAATTGGATCCAATAACATGATTTTGAGAATTGGCCATGTTGAATTCAAATCGATTCAAGGAATGAGAAAAGTTTGGAGAAGGGTATCCATTGCATACGGGAAAACCTATATGAAAAAACCCAAATTGAAATTTGCAACTTCTAGCAAAGAAGCTTCAAAAGAGATAAGCGAAAAGTATGGAACCCTAGACATGAATCTTTTGTTAATAGAAGTTATACCCTTTCATGAAACGAAGTAAGAAATGGCAAAAGACTCATCCTTGAATACTGGCAATTACAGAGAAAGAAAGTTTGAGAGTAGATCAAAAGGCCGAGAGTAAATAATTTAAGGTAAAAAATTAAAGCTACCTTACAGGAACTATAGGCCGTTGCTGAGAAAGCAAAAGCATGGAAAGACTTAAGACAGATGCCAGGCCCCTGATTTTCTACAGAAAAAATGTTGAAACCTTATTTGAAAGTCCAAGGTGAGACCAATTCAACGGCCGCCTGGCAGCGACAAGCTGGAGTTATTTTAGGACAAAAACGTGTAATAAATTGTCTGACAAAAACGTGTAATAAATTGTCTTAGAATCATTTTATAGCAAATCCAAAGCATAACAGGTTCGGGTTTTAAATGCTTTGATTCACCTAATAACTCTAAAAAATGGTATTTAACAATTATAAAGTGTTATTTAGATTAAAATATGATACTTATAATTTTTTATTTTATTTTTAAATTACAAAATCTTTATTTAAAAAATATCAGAAGATTGCATTAGATTACTCATTATATTAACCCATCATTAAGCTGCACAAATACAAGATTCGTTGAAGCAAAATTATATATACTTTGATAAAAACAATGCTAGTTTAATCGAACTTGAAAAAGCTAGCCGCCACCTTTTTGTCTCTTACATATTGTATGGTATACACTTTAAATATTCGGTCCTTTTTTTTTATTATTTTGAATAAATATTCAACCCCTTTTACTTAGTTGAATAATGTATATATATATATATATATTCATTTAATTAGCACTGATCTTTCCTATGCACGTGTGAAGTTTATTGTTAAATAATATTGCATTAATTAAATATAATTTCCTTTTAAGATAATATAAAATAGATAAGTAAAAACTAATCAATAATTAATTTCTAAAAAATTTATCATTTAAGGAAATTTTACTTAGTAGGGACTTCAATATTAATAACAAACTAATAAAAGAGTTTATCAATATTTTAATTAAATAAAATATATAATCATTAAAGTAAAATAATTAGTTAAATAAGTTGTCAAGTGTTTATATGTTGTTTCCTATTTGTATTTTTAAAATTCGTTTTTTATTTATGGATAATATTCTTTTCGTGTCATTTTATTTGTTCATCCTTTTTTTTTTTGATATCTCAAATTTATGTTTTATTTCTTTTAATATCTAAAATTTTTAACTTTTTATATTTTAAGTTTTTTTTTTTACATTAAAAAAATTATAGAATTTTAATTTTATAAAAAAATTAAATTTCAATATTAAATACATTAAATAAATTTTTTAAAATTCCCTTAAAAATTAATAATATTCATATAATTTAAGACAGAAAGAATATATAAATATAGATACAGATATATGATATAAGTTTTTTTTTTTAAGAAAATGTATAATATGAAATATAAATCTCATTGATTTGACCTCACATGCATGGTTACCATTGATAATGTTCCATATATATAGAAATTAATTATATAGTATATAAAATTTGATTAAGTAATTTTACGTGTGATTAAATGATCCGGTTGTAATTAAGTTTAATATGTTGACGGGAACATAATAATTAAACTAGTATCGTTTTCATTTCATTTTCAACGAGAAGCAGGAGTTACATTCAGTGAAAATTATTGAAGGACAAAAAACGTGTAATAAATTGACTTTGAAGAGTTACTAATTTCATTGTCTTGAATCATTTTGTAGTAAATTCAAAGCGTAAAAATTTGAAGTTTTAATTCTGTTGATTCACTTAATGACGTACAGTATAACGACTGTGTCGTTTGTTTAGCAGTGTCACATGTTAAGCAATAGTTTTTCTTGTTCTCATTTTTTTTCAAAAAAATAATAAATATTTTTTAAATTATAAAAAATATATTTTATTTAGGGGCCACGTGTCAAGTAATGGTTGGCCTTTTTGCTTTTTGGTTTTTTTCTTTTTTTAAAAAAACTTTTTCCTTTAAAAAAATAAATATTTTTTAAGTTATAAAAATATGAGTTTTGTTTTAATACAATACATAATATGAGTTTTAAATCTCATTGATTTGACCTCACATGCATGGTTACCACCGATAGTGTTCGTAATTAAATAATAAATAATAATATAAAATTTGATTAGATTACGTTAGATTAAATGATCGGTTTGTAATTAATTTTAATACGTTGATGGAGACATAATAATTAAACTAGTATTGATTTCATTTATTTTCAACTATAAAACAGTAATTCAATGTTGTTGCTTGCTTGCACATGGGTTTTTTTTATTATTATTATTTTTGTGGTGGTAGAGAAATGGTTTAAAAGAATCTATTAAAAATGGTTAAAAAGAAGAAATGATGTGGATAGCATATCTTTTTTTTTTTATTAAACATGTTTGATATTAAATAGCCACCAAAAAAGAAAATTAGTGACAACAAGATTATTGTTTTTGACAAGGTGTGGGGTTGGGTTGGCTGCTCCACCGTTTCAAAAAGGGGAACCTCCATTTGAAACTATATATAAATATAATTCAATAAACTTTAATAATTAATACGTATTAACCAATAGGTTGAAAAAGAGTTTGTCATCTTTAATTGTGGACCACATTCACCAGTAGATCCATCGCACCTGAGACTAAACCTTTTGCATTATTGCATCATTTTTATTAACCTTAAATATTGGCTTTTGCACGTTGACGTTCCAATTTCAAGTCTTCAAGTGTACGTAATCACGAGGAAAAGACCTATCACTGTTAAAGATAAAAATGGTAAAATTTTTCTTCAATTTTCAATATTTTTTATTTATTTTTAGTTGACATTTTTTGTAAAAATTTTCTACCACGCGTGCAAATCAATGTCAAAAAATAAAAATATAGCTAAACTAGCTAATTAAGCCTACGTTTGAATACAATTGCACTTTCAATGAAGTACAATTAAATTTTAATTATTATCAATTAAATTTAAATATTAATTTTAATTAAATCCATTTAACATAAAATTTTCACTATAAATTTTTTTAATCATAATTATAATAATTTTTAATCATAATTACAATAATTATTATTATTATTTTTAATTTTAGCGAAATTAATTTTATTATACTTTCAAATTACCCCTAAATGTAATAATGTGAACAAGCTCTGAGAATTCATGTTCTTGCTTGTACTTTTCATGCACTCACGAGGAAACGTAAGCTGTAGAAGTCCAAACTCTCCCAGTAAATAAGGTAGACGTTGGAAAAATTTAGAAGATTTTTTTTGTTTTTCCAATTGGAGAATTCAAGTTTTTGATAGATATTTTCTTATTACTTCTTAAAGGATCAATATTTATGTTAAAATCATGATTTTTTTTTTTATCAAAACATCTGACTTTCAATTTTAATAATTAAAATTAAAAATTCAATACTATATCTTAAGACCAAATACTGTTAACCTGAAACCTTGATTTAACTAAACCATATTGACAATTTATCACATACAGCGGCTAGAAAATGACCAGAAAAAATGGCAGGGCTCTGGAATATTCAACTATTTAAATGCAGGCGGCCGCCATGGCACTAATTACAAAGAATTACGAAGAAGAATAACTCAATTAAGAAAAAGCATATATGCAGATATAAGATCGTATTATTCTATTCACACCATAATTTGCAAAAAGACTTTGTCAATTTCTTCTTTTAACCATGTCTCGTCACGGAGAAAATTGTGTATATCTTAACGTCTAAACATTGAAAGTTGCCAACATGATTTGGTATGATGACACGTACACTTGAAAAACATTTGAGGAGAACGGAGTACTTTGCGTATTGTTATTTAAAGTTATGGATTTATGCTTATATTTGTATTTTTTTTCTTATAATTATTAGTTGTTAATTTAAATTTTTATAATTTAATTTAATTTTATATTTATTTGAGATATTTGTTTGAATTTTTTATATGAAAATAATTTTAATACAAAATCATTATAATTATATATGTTTTTTTTATATGTACGAATTTGATAGTTTTTCTTTAAATCTTATCAATATTAATTATATCTATAATTGATATTTATTTATACTCAAATAATAATAATAATAATAATAATAGCTAATTCGCAGCAAAGTGCGAAACTCATTCATTTCCTTTAGAGAATATGTTCGGTAAGAAATATTAATTACTGATAATACAAATAAGAACATAAACATTGTATATATAATCGTTTATAACTTCACATTTACTAGGTTAATCGCAACTTATTCATAGAATTCTACTTGTACATCACCATTCCGAAAGCCGACAAATAAGACACCTGAAAGAGCAAGAATCAATTGCAATTGTGCAATTGATAGATTTGCTCAAGCTATAGCTAGAACTAATTATAACAGGGAAATAGATACACAAAGTGTTCCTTAAGGCTTCTTGGCAGGCCTCCAAAAGGAAAGAGCAAAGAGAATTCGGCCCTTCCATCCCTGTAGCATCCAATTCTTGTCCTCATCCACCAAAAAATCCTTGTGGTAGCGCAATTTCACGTGAGCCTTTGCGTTCTTCAGCATGTCCTGGTTCAATGGAAGCTGCAACAACCCAGCTCTCAGGTGACGGACCTGCCACTGCTTGTATGTCTCTGGTCTCTCAACCCTTTCTGATCCTTCGCATGCAACCACATTCAAGATTTCCTTCCGATATATATTTTCCTCCAGTGCCACTCTCTCCTGATCATATTCAGAGGGTACAATCTCTTCAAGCATATCAAACATTGTAGAGAAGTAGTAGAGTGCCTCCCGGAAACGTGAAACAAAGAAGGGGGCATTGTAGGAACCATTAACAATGCCATGAATGAAAATATCAGGGTTAAGTTTCCTTACCAGGTTCAGAACAGTATCTCTGGGACTGCTCAAATCGGCTGTCTCATCTAATAGATGCCTTAGCCTGTATAAGCAGTTAACTACAATCACCTCATTTCTGCCAATCTTTAAGTCCTCCAATTGGATACTTTCCCATTTTTTTGTTACGGCGTTGTACTCGAAAGGGATATTGAAATGCTGACAGCAATTTGCTAAGAAATGTCCGGTTTCCTCAACTCTTGCTGCTGACTCCAATCCCACCTGAGGAAGGTCTATTCCTGTGACGCGAAGCATAGGGGGGTTACCAGGCCTTGTTGACAGACGCTGAATAAGTGATTTCCATTGTAAACCATAGGGAACGCCAAAATGAATGATGTGGATCCTAGTTGCTTTCTTGGCTAGTTTCATAATCATCTCGGTGGCCAAGAAATTTGATACCTTCATGAAAGGACAAGATGAAAGTAGCAATTTGCATGCTTCTATATTTGCAGTGGGAATTCTGCTTGATACAAGAGCTGCATATTCCTCACTTCCGCTGCCAGCCAAGCGTGCTTCAAGCGCTTTGGTAAAGTAATGGGCCTTTCTTTGTGATGCATTGCCAAAAGGTGAAGAATGATTCTTAATCTGCATCAGGAAATCATTTGCATTCCTGAAATCATTGCCTCCTACGGCTTCAGCACACTGAATCAGTAGAGTTCTCAAATCGACCAGTTTTCTTTTATTAACACTTCTACTCCTTTGTTTTGTTCCAGCTCCTTTTTCTTTTGGTTTTCCACAGATATTCATTATCTTCGCTGCAGGTTCATTTTGCCAGCCTATATCAGCAGTTAAAGTAGCAGAAACATCATTTATAAACATTTCAGGTTGCTCAAAGTGTTCAGGATAAACAAGTCTCCCATGCTCACGACCAATTTCTCCCTTACCACGACTTTGGTGATCAACCTCCCTTCTTTTGCAAAACGAGTAATCCATTTTATCACTGTTCTCCCTCTCAGTTGCCACTGACCGAGTTTCTTCCTCAGAACTCATATGATCACCATATGCAATCAATTTCTGACTTTCCTTTACCCCACCCTCTATAAATTGCAAATTAGGCAGACTCTTATCAAAAATGTCCGGAGCTAGAAAATCTGGAACTAAAGATTTATTCACCGGAAAAAGTACCCGTGCATCAGCCTCACTAAAGAAGCTCTCAGGGCTGAATGATTGTAAAGTAGGCTGCGGATAGTCCTGAGGGGCATTTTCAACTACTTGTGGATATAGCATGCAACTAAATTCGCCCCTGGCAAAATCACAGATAAAGTCGGACTGGACCAAGTTGTAAGCAGAAGCACTAGGACAGGGAAGAGTCGTTGAGAGTGGATATTTATCAGCAAGAATATCAATGAAAGAACTTTCAGCGGTCCGTAAAGTGGAATCTTCTAACAGGGAGGTTTTCTCCACTGCATCTTCTGTTAAAATCGGAGTGAAGAATACAGCATTGGGGAAGTAACTCTGTTCTGCTGGATCTCCCACAGTTGAGTATGATGATGGATTCATTACTGGAGTAGCCATCTATCTGGAATCAGCTGTTGAGAGGAATTCTGTGATCATATAGTCAAAAGAATTATCACAAAACTAGCTATACAATATATCTAAGTAGTGATCAATTCAAACTTTTATCTACAAGATTCATTCATATATTTTAGTTACTTAATCTACCATCGAGAAAAGTCCTGAAAAACAAGCAAATAAATGAAAATAGTCATCAGAATAATTGGATAACACAACGTACGTTTTATAGAAAAAAAAATTCAAGTGCTTAGATACAGGTTGAAGAATTGATTAGTCCAAAGTTATGGAGCAGTATAACTCTGAGCTTTTTCCTCTTCCTGCATCTTGTCACCAGCCCTGAAAAACCGAAGAAGACCAGATATATGTTAGCAATACTATGATGAGGAACACCGAAGCAAAAAATTGATAAATTTTCTGCTGAATATAGTTTTGTTTACATTGAATAAGTTTACTAAGAATGAAGAGAGCTGATCCTCAGGTTGGAGGAATTTGAGAAGTGATGGTGCTTAAACGGTGAGAATGCACCCTTCGCAAGCGACATTTAACTTCCTTGTTTTATATTGACTTGCCATCTTCTCAGGTGCATGCGCAAGTAATACTCTGTATTTTACCAAACTAGAAAACAATATTTACTCTCAAACATGAAATATTGACCTCTGTTTTTTTTTTTTCTTAAATTTATTAGTAATAATTTTATTGTGTAAAAGATTAAAATAAATAGATTGAAATTAGAAAATTTAGAAAAATTTCACCAACCAAAATTCAACTTTGTATTTGACTCCATATATCAACTATGTACTAATTAATTAGTAATCCAATTTAATCAAAATGCATACTCCCTCCATCTCAAAATATTTATAATGTATTAATTTTTATCAAATTTAAGAAAATAGTTTTAATTTTAATGTATTTAATATTATAGTTTAATTTTTTTAAAAAAATTAAAGTTTTATGATTTTAATATCGAAAATTTTAAAAAAATTAAAATATAATTTTAGGACATCTCAAAAAAAAATGGACCAAAAAAAGGGAGTATTAAAGTGAGGTTTGATAGGAGGGGATATCTTTAAAATTGATAATAAATAGATTAACTGTTAAAATATGTTTATGTTTATCAAAATATGTCAAATTTTTAGTTTCTATAAGCAATTTTCTATTTTTAATTATTTTATACAAAATAATTTATATAACTGTTAAAATAATAAAAACACCGATTACTTTGAAATATACTCTTTAAAACTGGTTCTTATCTTGTAATTTAACCAATTAAGCCAATTTATCACGTCATTAATAATTATCTCTTTACATAATATTATAAATTATAAAAACTAACATATATGTGCGTGTGAAAACTCGATTTTTAATTAATAATAATTTCAGCCGTGCACAACAGTAGATGGCGGGCTAATCATTGTTGAAACCCCAATTTTAGGGTCGGAACGGCCGAAAAAAAAAAAAACCAAATTTAGCTTATTTGCACGTGTCAACCCAACGTTGGTCATGCACCGTACAGCGATCCGTAATGGAGAGAGAAACTCATTGATTTAATTAATTAGTTTGTTTTGACCGACAAGTCAAATAGCCCATTATTAATGACTATGTCAAGCAACATTAACGTGATTCACCATGTGCCAAACCAATGTACCAAATTATTAAGATCAAGCCTTTTCCACATTTTTGTTTCATTGCCTTGGATTTCAATTTCAATGGTTTTTGTTTTTTTCATAGGAAACTACGAGAAGGGTTTTAGACTTTGAAATTTTAATTTATTGAATATTATTTTGTATGAATTATTACATAAAACTTTAAATTCAATTCCAATGATTTTTTTTAACAAAATTTTTAGGAATAACGTTCAATCGACCACAATTTTTTTTTTTTTTTTTGCAAAATTATGTTGAAGATGAGCCAAATCACATGGCAATAAGTTTTGGTTCACTTGTGTTTCTTTAGAAGGGAAAATTTCTCCTTTAAAATAATATATATACATTATTAATTATGATTATTTTTATTAAAGTTAATATTTAAAAATTATATATTCAAGAAAATTTATGCGTGTTATATTTATTTGAACCAAATAAATAATAAAATAAAGATATCAAAATTAAAAAATATATATTTCGTTTATAAATTATTTTGAACTCATAATCTTCATATATTAACTTCAATAATATATTAAATTATTTAAGAGATAGATATATATCATTAGTTTATTCAACCAAATTCTAAAAATGGATATCGTGATTTGTGGTTAAAAAATCTGATGATGTTTTTTTCTGACTACCAATGGCAGATTAACCGACATGCCTACCAGCACTGACTAAGGGTTGAAACAAATTCAGTCAATGTGGAGAAAGAAGAGGGCAAAAACTCTCTAGTCAAGGCATTTATTTTCGTAACACTGTAAAGGTTTTCTCGTGTTAAATCATGACTGAGATTTTGATTTTTTTTTTTTTTCACTTGAAAAAAGAGAAGAAAATTAAGTTTGTGATAGGAAGGATCTATCTAATAATTTTTCGATAAAAATGAGTTTTTCTTGCATTAATTGATGGTTATTTGATTTCTTGAATTATGGGATGCTGCCATCATCCCTAATCATCATCAGCTTGAATTTGTTTAGGATGATCTGTAAAATGTTATGTTACCACCCACTTAATTACTAATTCCTATATCTCTCATCTGGAAGCAATAATAATAGTACTTTCGTGGTTTGTTTTATTTGAGATTTTTGTGTACTTAAAATTAACAATTAATAAAATTCAAAAGTTTATGTATTAATAAGGCTATGTTTAAAAATTGGTACAATTTCTAATCAAATTTTATAATTTTTTTAAATTAAAAAAAATATTTGAAATTAATTTCTTCGTCATCGATAGAATTACAAAATTTATAAAAATCATAGACAGATATTATTGATTGTATAATTCAACCATCAAATTAAAGAAAAGAAAAAAAAACAGTAAGAGAATGTAATGATTGACATATGAAGAATTTCCTTCAAAAGTTATAGTTAGTTTTGGATTGAACCTAAAGAGTGATAATAAGAACAAGAAAAAAAAACACTTCATTTTAAGAAATTGTATAAGTACATAATCAATGAGAATTTTGTGTTTTTCATGCTATTTCTTCAAAGATGACTGCTACTTGGGAAAATGTGGAATTGAAATGTTAAGGACTTAGTAGTGCTATTTAAGGACATTGACACTAGGTCTGAACAAAAGAAAAGAAAAATGAAAAATCTTGTTATACATTGATGCAGATATTTTCTGGTCATATTATCTTCTTCAAGCAGGGCTTCAAATGAAAAGTGTGTTCAATCTTATTTTTCATATGATTTTTAACTCAATGGCATTGAAAATGTGATTTCACAAACTCAATGACATGAAACAAGTTCCTAAACAAATGTGTTTGAATTAGCAGGCTATCCCTTGCTTTTGTCCTTTGGCAATTGAATCTTCAATTCTTCTTTCATAGTAAGGAAAAAAAGTTGGATCCTCACTTTCCCTCCATGGGCTCACAATCTTCCTCGGTCAGACTTAAAGGTGGAACTAGGAAGTTTGATGGTTGGCAGCACTCAACAAAACTGATTTTCTCTCTCCATGAATCATTAAGTAACAGAATCAGTAAGTACTGTTTTTACTGTCAAGCAGCTCCTCCTGAATCACAAAACAACGCCTTTGCTTCCGATCACCGCCATAAAAGGGGAAACAACAGAATTATAGAACAGTCAATTCACATGTAGATAAAGTAGTAAAAGAGGTTTCTACAAAATTTAAATTTCATAGGCTAATATTGAACAAATGCAGTACATCAAACTCATGGAAATATTTACAGGCAAAAAGCTGAGATGCAACCCCCCAAGCCACCACCACTGAGAGGGAAAATAACCAGGAAAGGAAGAACATGATTTGATTATACAACTTCTGGATATGAAAGCCAGCAAACATTTAGTTAGTACAGTCTCTAAAAAACAAGATCGTAGATTTCTCCAAAGCTTTATTCAGTAGATAGTTTGGCCCATAAGTCCAACTCCAAAATGATACTACACAGCGTGATCACTAACTCTCAAATCACTAGATGAGCCAAGTTGAAGTTAATGTACAGGATCTTGTACACAGTGCATACAACTAGAATCCTCTAACTCCAAAAGATTCTTCAGAGAGAAGGCAAGCGTAGCCATATCTAATCTGCGTAAATAAAAGGAGCAAAGTCAGCTCCTTAATTAAGTGCCAAGGCTGATTAACAAAAGAACTGACACCTAACATACTGCATTAACACCTCTAATATATAATCCTGCGGCAAGCATGTATATAAATGATATGCTTGTGAGCACATGCACAATTTACGAACTTGTGTGTGTGTGCATGCGTGTTAAGAAAGAGTGAAAAAGAGAAAAGGAGAGAGACAAAACGAACTTGCGAGGAAGTGTTACCTTTGCCCATATTCTAAAGTTATCCTGCCTGTCTTTCCTGAAAGAATATCTTGGTCATGTTCTCAGTTCCACCAATATTCCAGTCAAGACTCCTATGCAGGTATCCAACAAGAGGAAGCATAAAGAATCCTGCCCTTCCATCCCTGCAACATCCAGTGGTTGTCTTCATCAATTACAAAATCTTTGTGGTACCAAGCCGTCAACTTATCCCTAAGTTTCTTCATCAGTTCCTGGTCCAATGGAAGTGGCTTAAACCCTGCCCTTATCATCCGAATCTGCCATTGCTTGTATGTCTCTGGCCTCTGACCCCTTGCCGAGCCCTCACATGCTACAACATTCACTGCTTCCTGCCCATAAAACTCCCTCTCAAACATCGACCTTGCTGGATCTTCACGAGATAATGTATTTTCAAACATATCAAATATTGCAGAAAGATGGAATAAAGCCTCCCTGAACCTTGTAAAAAAGAAGGGAGCATTGTAAGATCCATTAACTATGGAGTGAACAAAAATATCGGGGTTCATTTTCCTGATCAATTTTAACACAGCATTCCTAGGACAGTCCACTTCAGCTGTCTCATCAAGTAGATTCTCAAACCGGAAAAGAGAATTCACAGCAAGCATCTCATTGCTATTAATCTTGATATCATCTATTTGGATGGTTTCCCAGTTTTGAGCTGCTATAGGTTTGTACTCAAATGGAACATTAAAGCGCTCGCAATACTTTGCCAAGCGACGACCAGTCTCCTCGATTCTTTCTGCTGGACGGAAGCCTCGTTGGGGAATTTCTATTCCAGTAACACGAAGCTTAGGAGGCCCACCAGGAACCTTTGAGAGATGCTGGATAAGAATGGGCCATTGAAAACCATACAGGATACCAAAATCAACAATATGAAGGGCACTTGCTTTCTCAGACATGTGGTAAATCATTTTGTTTGCGAAGAAAATTGCTAGCTTCTTAAATGGGCAAGCACAAAGGTAACGTTTGTAGGCTTTCAAGATATCAGCAGCTGTTGTCTTTTTGGAAGCTAAAGAAGCATAAAAATTGTGAATTACAGCTCCACTGCCATCCAAGCGTGCCTCAAGGCCATTTCCAAAGAAATAGGCCAACCTCTGAGTTCCATCACCAAGAGGGGACGAGTGCTCTTTAATTTGCTTTAGCAGTTCACCAGCAGTCCTACGATCATCAGCAGAAACAGCCTGTGCACAGAGAATTAGAAGATTCCGCAAATCCACTGTTTCTTTCTTCTTCCCCTGTTTTTTAGAACGAGTTTTTGCAATGCTGGATCCATTTGATTGTTCTTTTTGCTGCAAGGTTTTGGTCTCTCCATGCTTTACAATTTCATCGATACAACACAAAGGTTTTGCTTCATTATAAAGTAACACCTTATCAAACATATCTGACAATTCACTCTCTTCTGTATAAGTTGCCGATTGCTTGTTACTCCTCCCTTCTTCCAATTCCCTATCATCCCGTTCATGATTCTTCCTACCCGCCAACCCATCAGGCGAATTCTCCCTCTCATCCTTCTCCACCTTGACTACAACTTTTGGAACCTTACCCTTTTGCCCCATGGGAAATGTGTTGCTCTCTAGGTCAATAATTAATTGATCACTAGTAGGGAGGAATTTACTGGCTTCCTCAAACCCTCTCTGGAACTGCAAGACAGATTCCTTATCACTGAAGATGTTCTGAGCTAGAAGCTCGCTCACAGAAGATCCCATCACCCCCTTACCTATGTTACTCAAGCTATTAGTTGAGTTGACAGGAAATTGTGAACTGGGCTGTTGCGAAGTGGGCTGGAAATAGTAGTCACCAGAAAGAGGAGCCTGTAACAAGGAAGGAGCAGGCTCTCCAACTTCACCAACCCCCTGATGATCAATATAATTACTAGTCCCATTACTGGTGGTAATACTAGTACTAGAATGGTCATTACTACCATAATCACTACTAGTACCACAAAGATTACTATCAGGACTCTCCGTATTCTGACTGAGAAAAGGTTGGGTTTGATTAGTTGGAGGATATTGTTCACCCAGGACTTCATATAATGATTTCTCTGCGTCTTCAAGAGCCAAATAATCGCTAAGCATAAAAGGCTTATCATCCATGTTCTCTTCCATAAGCATCTGACTTATGTACTTGAGAACTGGATCCGTAGAGTCACTGTCATCGGAAGGTGAGGAAGACTCCCCCTCTGGACTCCAGCCTGTGGATGCAGAAAACGAGCTCCCATGCGAACTTACAGTAATGGACGGAACAAAAATACCCGGGTCCGGATCAGGATGTATAACAGGAAGATTCATATTCATAAAGCTAAGATCTGGAGAGGGGGCATTAAACTCAAATCCATTTGTGATATTTGGGTACTGACCAGTATTGAGTTGAAATGTGTCATCTTCAACTCTATAACCGTTTATATAATCAGAGAATTCAGTGAATTTTGGATCCATGGCCATCTAAAAAACCCAATCCTACATCACAAAAAAGAAAGTCAAACCCTGAAAAAACCCATCTCCAATTTATAATAGCAAGACAAGAGGAAGCTCAATTTGCCTATCCCACTAAGAAAAACCATACTACAGACCAAAAGAACATGGAATTTGATAACATGACAGATAAGATATGCATCAAAGGAGCAAACTTTATGGTGATCTCTGGACTACACCCTTTGAAGATTCAAACTTTCTGATATCTAAACAAATAAGATCACAAAAAGACCACAGAAAAGGGAACACATAACAAAGAAGCATAAACAAATGAATCATACAAAAGGGATGCAAATACCAGAGAAAGACCCAATTCAACTAAAGTGAAAAACTTGAAGGGTAAATTAGTGAAATGAAGAAGAGAAGCAGTAAGAAACAAGACTTAACATACCTTTAAGAGTGAGAGAGAACCTAAGAGGAAGTAAGAGGAAAGAATAGATGCAGGGCTGGACCTGGTCTGTTACATAGAATAGAAGAAAAGGGTGAGCCTGAGCCCTGAGACTTGAACAGAAGAAAGAAAGGCACTTTCTAGCAAGGGGATGAAGCTCTTAATTGCACGAGAGGAATTAAGACAAATACTACCAATTATCAAACAATTCAGGAAAGACTTTCGGAGTGTTGGCCCCGTTATTTCAGCGGCTATTGCCATTGGTTAGTCAACATGGTATCCGTAGCATGCGTCTTTCCTTTTTCGTTTTGTTACACCGTACCTATACCTTTCTTAGTAAATCCAATCCAAGTAATTGCTGTAAAACATTTGTTAATTTTCTGACAGAACTACCAGAATATTATATCACTGTTTAATGTTCATGAATAATTTGAAAATTATCCAAATTTGAGACAGTTTCCATTTATGTATATTGAAAATTAAAGATATTAAATCTTGCTTTAAAACTATTGCAACAAATTTCAGTATTAAAAAAGGAATTATGCACTTTGAATTTCATTCTAATGAAAGCATGTTTATAATCTTAAAATATTATTAATTTCAAATTCACATAGAAAAATTTCCAAGTAAACCACCAACACCATAAATAATTGTTGTCTTTTTTCGTGCATAATTTGACTGGAAAGCGTGTAGTGGATTAGGTTATCGAATTCCATTTTGATGCCTATGTATAAATATGATTCTGGGGTCCCTCTCCTCCCTGTCTGACATTGAAGTTGAACTAACAACTGAACAAGAAGCAGCAGCATGTCAAGTTGCAATAGAGGCCAAAATCATACGCATTGAGCCTTCGAGTAGCTCACATGTACAGATTGGGTTTGTCCGGTTTTTTGTTTCTTTTTTTTTTTTGTTCTTTTTCTTCTTGTCACCTTGCCAATCAATATGTAAACTAGTTTTATCCAGATGAAAACATGGAAATGGCAAGTGATTTATCACTCAAAATTTGCTCTAATTTTTTAGCTTTGTATTGCACAAATTAAATACTCAAGTAACATTCCATCATATATCAAGTCAGAATAGTAAGAGCAAGATTTTTATTGCAAAGAAAATTCTAGTCAGAATAGTCTAACAGCCAAAAGCCACCGCTGACCCGAAATTCCAACTGCTCCGATTTCAGTACATAGCTTGGAAATCAAGGCTTTCTTTTGTTTGTCTCTCTCTTTGGAACAATTTTCAGCAGTCAAAGCCTCTCTTTTTTTTTTTTTTTTTGGTATGTCTAGTGAGAAACAAGAATCCCCAACATAGGATCTGAGATCAGACAAAAAATAATGTTAGAGATAATGTTAATTATATTAATTAAGTGTTAAATCTTTTACGGTTCATGTGAATCCTGACGCCTGATGGAATGGATGGTCTCAAAGCTTTACTTATATTATTATGTATTAATACCACTTTTCAAGTTTTCAACGTCTGTGAACTCATACATCTACCAAACCCATACTGAAGAACATATAAATTAGCTTCACCATCCAATTGTCATTGGATTTTGTCAAACCTCTATTTATTCACTGTCTGTCATGCAACGTACTATAATTGTTTTCAGTTCATTTTATATTATAAAAATAAAAATAAAATATACTAATCAAATGAAACCTAAAAATTAAAAAAAAATTATTTACTACTAATTAAATTAAAATTATAATTTGCTGTATAGTTTAAGTGACCATCGTACAATAAACAACTGAAAATAAACAAGGACACCATTCATAATATTTAACTGTAAAATATTACTACAACTTATTGTTCAATATATAACCATGATTCTTTTTACTTTTTTTTTTATAATTCCTTTATATGATTTAGTATATTTAGATCACTTAAAAAACAAGATAGTATAAAAATAGAATATCCCATTATAACTGTGAGAGTTGGAGGGGTCACATCAATGCCTATGATTATACTATATACTATATAAGTATATTAATTAACTTAACCTAAAAAATTTCTTGTTCATAGCTCAAAAATGGAATCTAATACTGCTTTTTGTCATCAAAGCTCATGATCATGTTTCCATGATTTTCTCTTCTCTTTTCTCTGTCTTTCTCTTGGATTTCAAATATTGCTTGAATTAAAGTTTCAGACCCCTGTTTTCTGTGTTTAAATGTTCTTAAGAACTCATGACAATTGACAATGGAGAGAATTTTGTTGGTCCTCATTGGCCATAGAATAATTTTTGTGTGGTCAATCTCCCAATCCAAATCCTGCTTAATGGGTAGAATAGCAAAGGAAAACCAATTTGCTTGGTCCTGATTCGACCTCCCAACCCAATTCTAATATTCTATGTTGTTTATAATTCATTGACAGAGGCAGAAAGCAGCCAAGCTTTTAAAAAAGAGTTAGACATATCCTTCTAGGTAACCTTTCCACTTCAAAATCTTAATTCCTCAAAACAAATTCATTTTGATGTACTAACCAAGTATTCTTATCTTCAAGTTTTTCTTTTTAACTTCTAATGACTTTCAAAGGATGCCTTCTTTGATGGATTAGTACATAAAATATTGCATTAAAATATGTGCCACTGGCCCCATTTTTCCTACTGATACATTGAACATTTCCATAGCCGATTAAATTATTCACCACCATGTCCATCAATTCTATGCTTTTATTGGCTTATGTCTCGCACCAGGAGAGTAAATGCTCCATCTATTCAACTTTTTGTTTGGTTGGACTTGGTTGCCTTTGCTTGAAGCCGACTCCGGCGGAAACTGTGAAATGAATTTCCATTAGTTGAGGACTTGTCATAAAAAAATTTGGAAAAAAAATAGTGCTAAGCTAAGTTGGTCAGAGTAAATGAGAAGATTACTCCTGGTAAATGCAGTTTGTCAAAGTTGTGTTGTTCTTTGGTTAACCTTTTTCTCATTTGGATTATCCAAATATCTCAACCTCAAATTTTGTAGACTAATGGGGCCACCGCCTGGTTTTTTTTATCTATGTTGTAGAAAAATTTCTCCAACATGTTGAAATGCAAATGGTATAGTCAGGGTAAGACGATCCCCAAAAGATGAAAAGAAAGTATGTTGGCAGCAGCAGCCAATGCCACAAATTCAATGTCGTAAGACTATGAACAAAGGCCATGGATTGTGGATAAAAATAGTACACTACATCATCTATGAAGTTACACTAACTACATTAGGGTACAAGACTAGGTCCAAGGCGCCGAAGGGCCCATGTACAAAGCTATGTAGCATATGACACAATCAAATATATGCTCTTATATTAAGGAGCCATTCAAGGAATTGTCATTGTGCAGAATATTACTTCAACTCGGCTTGATCAAATACAAGCCACTGCCAGGTCATGATGAAACTCCAGCATGAATTACTCCCATGTCACAAATGGTAACTAATGCAAACCCCGGCTCCTTAACCTTCGTTCATTCTGAGGTAAAAACAAAACTTCTGCCGGGCCATTGCAGAACCACCATCCTAAAGATCGATGTCAATTCCTGGGTTTTACGATGATCACACTAAGCTTGCCCCTAAACTGGAAAGACTTCCATTAATTGATCTGTTTAAGTAGTTTGAGTCCGAAGCAGGTATCCACGCAGAAGATGCATAGATAATTCGACCCTTCCATCCCTGCAACATCCACTGGCCATCCACATCCACCATAAAATCGCTGTGGTAGCGCTCCTTTACCCTATCTCTCACTTTCTTCATGAGTTCAGGGTCTAATGGAAGCTGCGTAAACCCAGCCCTCATGTTACGAACCTGCCACTGCTTGTATGACTCAGGTCTCTCTACTCTTTCTGTGCCTTCGCAGGCCACAGTATTCATGATTTCCCGCCCATAATACTTTTGTTCAAGCATCGACCTCATATGATCTTCACGAGGGACAACCGTTTCACACATATCAAATAGGGCTGAGAAATGGAAGAGTGCCTCACGGAACCGTGTGACAAAAAAGGGGGCATTATGGGACCCATTAATAATGCTATGAACAAAAATATCTGGATTTATCTTCCGAATCAAGTTCAGAACAGTATCCCTTGGACTGTTCAACACTACCGTCTCATCTAATAGGTTCCTAAACCGAAACAGACAATTCACAGCAACAACCTCATTGGAATTAATCTTGAGGTCCACAGTTCCGATTGTCTCCCATTTCTGCGCAATAGCATTGTACTCAAATGGAACATTGTAACGCTCACAATACCTTGCCAAGCGATGCCCAGTCTCCTGGACTCCTTTAGCAGGCCGGAAGCCACGTTGGGGAAATTCTATTCCTGTAAGGCGTAATTTTGGAGGACCACCGGGTCTGTTTGCAAGGCGATGGATTAAAGCAGGCCACTGAAAACCGTAAAAAATACCAAAGTCTATAATATGAAGTGTTGCTGCTTTCTCTGCTACCTCCAAAATATTGTTGTTGGCAAAAAAAATTGCCATCTTCACGAATGGACAGGTTGAAATATAAACTTGGTAAGCTTTTAACATATCAGCAGCTGACGTTCTTTTAGCACCCAGAGAGGTATAAATCTGAGTTCCAGTACCAGCCATGCGTGCTTCAAGGGCATCAACAAAGCTATGTGCTAATCTCTGAGACCCATCACCAACGGGCGAAGAATGCTGCCTAATTTGCTTTATCAGTTCCTTAGCAGTCACGATGTCATCAGACGAGATAGCTTGTGCACATAAAATCAGAAGAGTCCTTAAATCCACTACTTTCTTCCTACCCTGTTTCTTGCCACGAGCCTTCCCACTACTGGCTCCATTTGTTTGCTCATTCTGCTGCAATGTCTTGCTGTGTCCATTCTGCAAAGTCTTGTCAGCATTACAAGCGGAAGACTGCCCTTTTCTCCCAGAACAAATCAACACCTTATCAAACATGTCTGATAGCTCAATCTCATCCCCAAAAACTGCCGATTGTTTGTAATTCCTCTCCTCTTCTATATCTTCATCTTCTCGCACATGATTCTTCTTTCCTGTCAACCGAGGCGGTGAGTACTCCTTCCCATCACTCTCCACTTTGACTGCCATCTTCGGAGCCTTCTGCTTCAACTCTGAAGTCCATCCATTGCTCCCAAAATCAATAGTCAGCTGTTTACCTTTGGGTAGGAACTTACTAGCTTCTTCAACCCCCCTCTTGAACTGCAATGCCAATTCACTCTGACTAAAATAGTTTGGAATTGAAAGCTTACTCATAGAAGAGCCCACCAATCCATTCCCATTATTAGCACTAGCATTTTGAAAACGAGCTGAAGACTGAGAACCAGTATTCACAGTAGACTGAAAAACAAAGTTTTCAGGAATACTTGTTTGCAACAAAGACGGTTTATTGTTGTTTTCCCCAAAATCACCATTCCACCAAGAATCAATTGAATTGCTAGTACAGGAACTAGAACCAGTATAAGTGCTATGATCACTGGAAGCACCAAAAGAACAGTTATCAGGGCTGTCAACACTTCGATCACTACAAGGACGGGCTTGATTTCGTGGGGGATAGCTCTCACCAAGAACTTCATAAAGAGATTTCTCCGCCGCTTGAAGAGCCAACGAATCATGGAACATACAGGGCTTCTCTTCCATGTCCTCTTCCAAAAGCACCTGACTTATGTACTTGAGAACGGTGTCGGAGAAGTCACTGTCATCAGAAGGAGAGAAAGAATCTCCCTCTTTGTCCATGCTCAAAAATGACGGAGAAGTGCTAGAATTATCCAAACCTAGAGAAGGTAAAAACGGGACACCTATAGAGCTGAAATCTAAAAATTGGTCATTTGATCCCACCCCATTAGAAATTTTAAATTTTGAGTATCCATTTGAATTAGGCAAAATAAACCCATTATCAAACTTGAAACCATTAGTTGAATTAAGGAACCCATTGAACTGTGAACCCATAATTTTAATTTACTTTATTATTTTACAGGCCAAACTTACAACCTAATCACAGACCATAGAATTCAACACAAAAACAGGTTTTCTCTGTAATCTTTATTAAGAATTGACAGACATGGAACAATCCATATAGAAAAAGCTGTCAAATTTGGAGGCTGACAATTAAAAAGCCAAATCTTTTCCCAACCCAGCATAACTAAACCTACACAAAGATTCTAGAAACTAAGCAACAAGAAACCTTGGAGAAAAGAAAAAAATACAAAACCATCTAAATTTCAAACAGAAAACTAAAAATTAGTTCGTACCTGAGAGCACGAGAGGACATAGAGAAGAACCTAGGATCTAGAGCTGGTGCAATCAAGCGGAAGAAAAAAAAAGGCGTTTATAAAATCGAAGAACTGAAGAAAAGAAAGTCCTTCTCAATACAGGTCATTGCATCTTGAAAGTTCACGGGAATAAAAAAACAAAAATGCTTTTTTTTTTGTTTTTGTTTTTTTTTGTTTTTAATAAATAAATCGGACTTGTGTGGAAATACTAGGCCGCAAGTGGAAATGTCACCGCACCGGCCACAAACTTGGTGTAGATGGTGGCTTTTTATTGGGGCTGATTGCGATTGATTTGAAATCGGGTGTTATCCGATGGAAGGTTTTCTCAGTGTCATACAGACAAATCTGCACTGTTCCCTCTCCTCCAAAGTCAACAACGTGGGACATAGTTTCACACGGAGCGGCTTTTACACGAGTTTAACACCAAGCAGCTTTTACATAGCTGGCTTGAACGTGAAAGCGATGCCTGTCCCGATGATATGAATCTGGGCAATTTGGGTCAAAGTCCACATGGGAAGTGAAACCAATCAAACATCAAAGTTAAACCATGTTACGGGAGCGTTAACAAGTCAAGTCTTATAAGTTATAACCTTATTAGAGTTCGACTTGAACAACACCCACAACTCAGTTCACTCATTGTTGAGTTAGCTCAACATTCTCAAGCATCTATCAATCGTTACAACGAAAGTTAACTCTATGGCTTAATATGCTGACATGAAAGTTTGGAGTAAGTTTGAGGTGATTGTAAAGTACTTTAGATATTATAATTTAAAATTCGGATTGAGGGGAGAGTTCTTTTTTTTTTTTTTTAATTAAAGTTGTTAGAGTTTTGATTTTTCATCATTGAAATTAAAGTTTAGTATTTTATCAAATCACATGGTTGTTGGAGAGTTTTTTTAGGTATAGAGATACGTAAATTAAGTTATTTATTTTGATAAACTTTAATTTAATAATGAATTTCTTTATTTAATTTTGAATTTTAATTTGTGGGGTTTTTAGTTGAGTTATACATATTGAATTTATGAAGGGATTTGACAAATGTAATAAAATTTTCCTTTATGCCTATAATTTTTAGATATTGAAATTATTATTTTCAGGATGGTAAACAATTTATAGTGATACATATAATAAAAAAAAATAATTATAATGTTAGTCTAAAAATTACATCTAAATTATATAAGTCATCAAGTGAAACGTAAGCTTTTTATGTTATTGTATTAAGTTCGAGTTTGAAATTATTATGTATTGTATTGATTTGAGTTGAATAGTTTATATTTTTTATTGGATTTTACTTTAAAAAAAAATCCTTGAATTTCTTCTCAAAATAAGTACATATCATTTTTAAATATAAATTTCATGTATAAAAAATATAATTAAATTTAAAATTTAATTTAATTGATTTATAAAATTATTCTTAAGAAATGATAACTATCAAATTTAGAATTAAAATTCAACACTTAGAATCTCTTTCTCTGTATCGATAAAACTTTTTTAATTTACATATTTTTTAACTATTGATTTTAATAAATTTAAGGGATGACATTAAACTTTTTTTTTTTTTTTTACTTGTCCCTCTTATCTTTTGAATCTATTAAAATCAAATATTAAAAAAATATATAAAACTTTTTTAATTTTACACTATATAAGATGATCCTTGTTAGTGTGTATATATATATATATATATAAAAGAATACCACCACATTTGATTGTTTGGTATTTAAATTAAATTTTGAAATGTAGAAATTTATACCTTACCACAAAGTCTAAACATATAATTTGTATAATTTGGTCTCACGTGTGATGTAGTAAAACAAAAACAAAAAAAAATTTGCCATTTCAACCGATGTAATCTTTAATTAGATTTAGTCAAGTTTACCTTGGAAAGTTTCAAATGTCATTCTTACTTGGGTGTATGTTAACTATTAACTAAGTCGTAGTTTTCACTTAATTCATGGGCTTTCTACTTACTCTTATTATGCTCCTATTTTTCTATTTAGACTTTCTTCAATCTTTAATATAATTTTTTTTTTCATTTCATTACTTGGACTTGTTTATATGCTGACTATGTTTCTGTATATATGATATGCAATAGTTCACATATGATTTTTTTTTTTTACAACTTTTTATTATATAACAACCTGCAAAATAAATTATATGCTAAATCAAAATTCTAAGTCACATATTTTATTTTTGGTTAACCCGTCTAACATGAAATCATGGACTTTAGTTTATCCACATGATTTGGTTTGCTTCTTTCTTTCAATCAAATTGAAAATAGTAGGGTTGGTAGGTTCTTTTCATGGCTTTTTCAAATTCTTTTTAGATATAAAAAATACCAACAGTTTTCAAGAAGTCAACAGGTGAAAATCATTAACAAATACAATCCCCAGATAAAATTGCATCCAGAAAGACCACTTCAAAAAAAAAAAAGATTAAATAAATAGAGAAACTAATCCAGAAGACCATTTTTGCTTGATGATTGGTGAGCTCATTACTTTCTATACGTGAGCACCGAGCTCATTATTTTCTTAGCATTCTCTGCTTTGAGCATTTGACCCAATTTGTTTAACTATGATCTTGCTTGTTTACAGCCCTTAACTTATTTGATTATTTCGTTGATCCTTTCTATCCTTATCAGGTCAGGATCGAAGCAAAGCAACAGCTTTATTTAAAAAAAAAACACGCTGTTTTGTTAGCAATAGCAGAAGAAAAAGTTGGCAAGACGTGGTTTGTCAGAGAAAGGGTATTGAATTCGAGAACAACAAAGAAAGCTTTCAAGATACGTATAACGTTGAGAGATGTATTCACATAGTCTAGAATGCTACAAAATGTGCCTGGTTTGGTATTGGTTCAACCTCCAACTACACCAACCTTCATCTTTTGTTGGTTTGACTGAGACTGAAACCAGCCCTAATTGAACCAAAGAGTAAGTTATCAGAACCTATATCCATTGCATGTGCCTCTCATCCAAGGGTGGTCCCTCAGTCAACCTTTTCTTTGCCCCATACATTCCTCCTTTACCTTAGATTTTTCAACAAGCTGAGCTTGCATGCTGTTGAAACAAACAAAGGGAAGGCTAACCCGAAGGTAAAGTCACTGAAAGAAACAGAAGGAAAACACTTTTTTAGTGGGCATTTCATAATTGACGATGCATGCATAGGGTTAGACTTGACAATCCACGTCTCAAATTTATATGAATATATCAAATGCAAAATATATTTTTTAAATTAAATTGCATTCATTTCGTAGAATTTTTTATATCATTTTCGTATGATTATTATATCGTATTTAAAATTATAGTTTAATTCAAGTAACAAATATTTCCTTGTAAAGGGTGTCACGATCAGCCCGTTTTCCTGGGAACTACCTCACAACTTAAATTTCTTAATCCCCTTTTCTTCCTCCAATTTATTGGTTTGAATTGAATTCTTCTGGTACCCTTTTGTGTTCACATTTACCAGTGAAAGCTAAATTAATTATAGTTTAATAAAGAGAGTTTGAGTCTTTGCTCATGTTAATTACGTATGCTTCAATCCTTACAGCTGAAATTATTGAAAAAGAAGCTAAACCAGCAATCGTGTGACATGTTTTTAGGTTTTTTTCTTTTCTTCAATCATTTATGTTTCTTTGGTGCACGCTTGAAATTTTACACGTATTGTTTATGTTCATAGTTGAAGAATATTGTGTTCTCTTCTCGCAAGTCATTTCAAAGTTAGAATTTTTGGGTGACAGAAAAAAAAAAAAAAAAAAAGAAAGAGATTTGTTAGAAATTTTTAGTTGACAATTTCGATTTCTTCTTTGGACTGTTTCCCTCGTTTCTCAGTCCACGCGTTGTGCGGTCCCTCCCTTCCCACATCGAAAGACACATCATGACATATGCACTCGAAGCAAAACATGCACCAATACCACGCGACACGCTCGCCTGTCGAATAGGACACATGGGAAATTGTTCGATCCTGAAATGTTTGGTCTGAGTTATGGATTCTTGGGCATGGGAAACGATGTTGGATGTGTTATAGTTCTAATGGGCTAATGATTATGTCCTTGAGTTAATGAGTTTGCAAGCTTTTGGGCTTCGCTTGGTTTTCATAATGGACTTTTGATAACTAAACTAACACTTTGCTTGGCATTTTTAAACTTGAAAGATTTTGCTGAGCAGAAATCATAGACAGCTGAGCTTGGAAGTTGTCTTAAGCCCAACATCTAGAATTTTGTTAGCACAAAAATATAAGTAGACGTGATAATTTATATATCTATATTATATTTATTTATAAATTTTTGTTTAAATTTTAAATCGTATTATTTTTATATTTATCGTATTATATTTAAAATTATCACGTTTAAATAAAAGTTAGGCTTTTATCTAAGTTTTTATTGCCACATCCAGTCAATGCAATGAATTACATTTTTTTTTTCTTTTATCAGGTGTAATTCATGAATAACTCAACAATCAAAATCTTTTGTTCATAAAAATTGCTTGAGTTTATATAGATTAAATATTTCATTTATAAAATTTAAATTTTATTTTTAATATTAATTTTTTATTAAATAATATGTAAATTGAATATAAATTTTGGTCGAGATTTATAATATATTCTGATCTTAAAATAATATTTTTTCCTTAAATTTTTTTCAACACTTAATTAAAGTAGTAGTAATTCTTTTAATCAATTTTACATGCCTTTTTTTTTTATCTATAATGAATATGGAATTCGATATAATTTGTTTAATTAATAAAATTGCTAATGAATTTGATTAATGATAATTAATTCAACTAATTTCCCCATCCAACTACTCTTGCTTAATCATGTGTGGAAGGAAATTGATCCACAAATAAGCAATGGGACAATTTACATTGAAAATCCCATCTCTCTCTCTCTTTCTTTCTTTCTTGTCAAAGCTAATACTGAAGTGAAAACGTGAAAACTTGTACTCCCTTTTTATTCAGTCCACAAATATTTTTGCTCAAAACATATCCTTAAACATTTTCTAGGCTATTATTCTTCACTTTTTTATGATCAGACATTCAGATTGAGGAAACAAAAAATGTCAAGAAAAGAAAGACAACCCATTTTATTTCAGCCACAAGAGTAGAAACCCCTTCATTTATTTATCTGCTGCCATTTTTTTTTTTCAAACTCAGATAATGCATGTATAACTTTTTGTGAAAGAGACAGAGAGTGACATAGCAAGTGTTGGCACAAGCCATCAATAAGAGAAAGGATGCATGACAATGCCAGAAAGGAACATTAATGACCTAAACCAAACAAACGAGATAGTGTACCTCCACGTAATTTAGATACCAAAAGAACGAATAATTTTAATTCTATTTTCTTTTTTCAACTTGGGTTTTCTCTAATTTTTTTTTAATAAAAAGAAAAGAAAAAAAAATTCCGGATGGGCTTTTCTTATTTGAAAATATTGAGTAAATAACCTCCCATTGATAAATTGTAGTAGTAATGCAAGACTCAAGTACAACAGATTTAGAAAATTCAAGAGTTGGAATTTCAGCAGTTCATTACAAAAATTAAGGGAAAAAAAGTTCTATGTGAATTAAATTCAGTTAGCAAGCTCTTATTCCATCAACAACCATTTACATGGGGGCCAAGCCTCTCTTTTGCAAGAGAAGAATCACGGCTAGAGCAGATCACCTAATATAACATAGATTTCTTAGTACTAATATTTCTTCCTTGTCATAACTTTTTTACATAATCACAATAAAAATACATGAAAAAAATAATTAGACAATACTTCCCTAAACCCATCATCAACCTAAGTTTTTTTCATCAACATCACATGTGCTACTCTTTCTTATTGTGGAGTTATAAATGTGAAGGCAGCTCTCTGGCTGCTGCTGCGGCTTCAGTTGCTGCTTGGCTTGCTGCTGGGACCAGTAGGCATGCGCGGTTAGAACCCTGTCTAAGAGCTCCTGAGGCACCGGCTCTCCCCGCCTTTGCTGAGGGGATATTCTTGCCGTGTGCACTAGTGTTTTCCACTTATCCTGCGTGATCCCAAAATACAATACCATCACAACCACGTGATAATGCTTCTAATCTACCTATCAAGGAGACAACAAACAATAACTCATGCTGTTTGTTTCCCTATTCCAACTGAAATACCAAAAGCAGCAGAAAGATCCAACTAGCCATATTATTATTATCATACAAATGTATTAAGCTAAAACCTAAAGGAAAAAAGTGGCATATGGTCACTTGGTAAAAGGGATAAACAAATATATTGGGGGGAGAAACCGTGCCAGGTTAGGATTCAAAAGATTCCATGTGGGATAGTCGCTGTTTTACAGATAAACCTACAAAGTTGATAAAAGCTTGTAAAGACCACCTAATTATTTACCTTTAGTACAAGCAACTATGTGCCTGAAACAGATTAAACTATGTGCCCTGGTGGGTCCCAGACATAAAGTGGACCTTTTGAATTTTAAAACAAGGGGTTTAAACTAAAAGGGTTAGGAACAAACAAATAACCGTATAAAAGGAATGAAAAATATGATATACAAGAATTCAATTACAATGACAGAGAAGCAGATTTATCAACAGATCAAGTAGAACTTTTAGAGATTAATCCAAAATCTAAAATATGAGAGAGAGAGAGAGAGAAAAGAACATAAGAAACTGTTTTGCACTGGCTATATGAAAAGCAGGACAGTTTTTACTTACCTTCAAATCCACATAAGTGCGATGCTTTGCATTATCAAAAGCTCTTAATTTAACATCACGCCACCTGCAGATTAATAAATCCATTAAAACCCTGACCATCACAGCATAAGGGATGCCTGGTATAACCACACAATTAGGCCAGCCGTTTCTAAGTTACATCCAGCACACTCCCGCATGTAAAGGATAGGAGCGAGTGGCAAAGAAAACAGCATTCTAAGTATCTTCTGAGCACACACTTTCCCTAGTGCAGCTACTGGGGCTAGGATTCATGTAAAATTCTGATTGGTTATCATGCTGAATCAATTGAAAGCAAAGAAGCAAATTTCAAAGATTCTGCCATAGCTCAAGAGCTCCTCATGGTTTCTTCATTAGGTTCAAACATACCTTCCAGTTCCAAGTTTCTCAACAGCCTGAACCAGGGCTTCAACTTCAGCAACAGAGAATGGTCGACGAATTCTTCGCTGCACAACTTCAGATCGCTTGGATTTCCTATTAGCTGGAACCACAGCTAGTGCCTCCACACTCATTGCTGGTACAGGTACCAGGGCTTTAGAATCAGTTGTGCTTTTGTCAAATGACATGTCAGTAGGTGAGGGTGCAGAATCATGATCGCTTTCAACAAAGTTGCCCAAATTAGGCATGTGAGGCTCAGTTGAGGGATCACAAGTAACCTGATTAACTAAACCAGGATTTGCTGGATACCTGGCAACAAAAAGTATTAAATCATAAACTGAAACTGCATAATAACCAAACCACTCTTATTTGATCCGATGGCCAAGAGTGTTTGAGAGAGATATGCAAAAGAATCTTGAATAGTAAAAAGTAAAACCCAAGTATTGTTAAGAACATGAAGCATGGGATGCTATCACGCAACATTTCCCGACTAACAAGCTTCATGCATCTAATCCATGCAGCCTCATGAACAAGAATACTGTTACCAAAAAATAAGTTAGCCTCTTCTTCAAGGCTGCATTTAGGAGAACAAAGTAAATTCTAGAAGATCACAATTTCCCTTTCCCGAAAAAGAGAAACCAACTAGTGAGAGATGACCATTCTTCTTTTTTCTGTGTTTAACTCTAGAAAACAACAAAATGAGACCATATTTTAAGCCATCACATACATGTAAATATCTACTAAACTTGAAAAGTATTTTTATTACCTAGCTAGAGGTAGAGGTGTGTCACAGGGAAGCATTAAGGGAGAACCTCCAGGGCATGACAATGGGGAAGTTTGTGAAGGGTTAGGCTCCAGGCTAAAACCCAGAGCATCGATCTGGTTGTCACGAGAAATTCCAGTCTGCAGCAGAGTCTTGTTGTCATCCCTAACCTTCTTTCCTTGAAGAAGTACACCAACGCGCAATCCGCCTCCAAGTAGCGCTGTTACTGCCTCCATAACAGTCCTCTACAGATCAATTTCACATCATTAGAAGGAATGCTAAGACCAAGAAAGCCAGTAGATGAGACCAGTCACTGGAATTACAATTAAAAAGAGATACCATCCAAGTATCCATCATGGGCTGAAGTAAGATAGTGCTCCCAGAGAGACATAAACACACATGCTCAGAGTGAAACAAATAGAACAGACATAATTATTCAAAGTCCAAATGTAGCAAACACAGTAAGAGAAATCCAACATAGTTCCATTAGCCAGAATACAGAAAATTAAAAGCCAAAAATATCTGTAAGCATTCTGTTGTCAAGTAACTGAACAGCAGCCAAACATTTTACCACAATTATCAGAATCATAGATCATTATACCTTCAATGAACCAACAGTTGCAGATTCTGGAATTTCAATAAACAATTCTGGCACCCTGAAAGATTTGATCCTAAGCTTCACTGAGTAAAAGGAAAGACATCTTGATGTAAGAAGCTCATTGAATGTCAGACACCAATCAAGTGAAAAGAGTACATATGAATCACTACATCAAAAGTTCTCATACCGTGAGAATCCCTGGAGTGGAATGATTTGCATTGTTCTGCTAGTGAAGATGATTCTCCAGTGCCTGCATAAAGATTTAGAATCAGTAAGCCAAATACTGCTGTCAGCAATAAACACCAAGAAAAGGAATATAATGTTAGAGATCAAAAATACACAAATCACCTCCATGCATCTTTGGATATGCACTGGAAGCATTTCCATTGATGTTTTTCTCAGGTGAATCAGACATGCCCTCACTGCTGGTTCCTCTGTCCAAATTTGATGCTGAGATATAGTGTAAAAACTTCCTTTTTTTGAAAGGGTAATTCCTTTCAGATCTTGAGCGTTTGTATGTGCTCCTATCGCAGTAACCAGACTTCAAATTCTCATCTGAAGGATCAACATATCCATTTAATTAAAAATTACACAGTTGCCAATATCCTATTTGATGATATCAGACAATTTACTCAAAGTTGCAATGATTTCAACTACAAGAAGCCACATACCAGAATTGTAATATGTCACATCCTTCAATCTCGGAGCTACTTTCCTGTATTTAGAAGCCAGTATCTTCCTTATTCTTCGGTCTCCAATGCGAGGTGTGGGCCTAAATGGTTTTCTTATAGGGCTAGGGTGAGTACACCCTGAAGATTTTTCGTCATCATCTCTACTAACTACATTTACATCATCCCGATTTGCGGGAAAATAACTAAGGGGATTTTGGTTCCCAAATGAACGTGCCTTACCGCTACTATCTGAACTGACTAGAGCAGGAGGTTTACCATCCAAGACCACTGGATCCTCTAAGAGGCATGTATCAGCTGCTTCTCCAATTGAAACCTTATCAGTTATATCCAGCTCCTCATCTTTCAACCCTTTATTTTCAGACTCTGGTTTAATACAACCACCAGATGTCTCACACACAAAGGGACCTGTCTCTACCTTACAAGGAAAACTTCCCATTTCATTCTTGATTTTGCCATTCATCAACTTCCAAGCATCAAATCTTTCTGAGCAATCAGAAGTTGTTATGACAGAGGAAAATCCAAAATGGGCATTATTTTGAAGGCTTGGTGATTCCCTAGAACTATAGTTTGGGTCATTAGTTTGTGAAACAAGTTCGGAAACAAAGAAGTCCCTATCAGTGCTGTCTTGATTGCAAGTTTCTAGCTTCAATAACTGATTTCCATCCCGCCTTTCCTCTTTAACATTATTTTTCTCAACTGCAGACTGATCTTCAGCATTTAATTTATTACTAGAAGCAGGAGTACTTTCTTTATCTAGTAATAACTTTCCAGCTACAGTGGCCAGTAAGTCAAATGCACTTATTTGGTTGTCTTCGACTCTCTTTCTAAATGGAACCCTTTTCTATAAAAAGAAGTAACAGTAGTCATTTAAAATAGATCAGTGTTTTTGCAAACAGAACAGGAAAGAGAGAGGTAAATATGAAATACAATACATCACACTAAAATATATTACCCTGGCTGATCTGGTTGCTCGCGGAGTGGCAGGCACCTGATAGCCATTGAATCCATAATCTAACCTCTTCTGCAACACCATATCTCAAAGATCCCACTACAAAGAACACATCATATGCAATTCACCAGCATTCTTGAATCAATTTCCAAGAAATTCGAATATTACGTTTCGACTAAGCTTAGAACCTGATAAGATATGAATAAGAGAGTTAATCTAAATGACATATTGAATGTATACTCAATAATAAAAATTACTACCATTTAAGTACAATTTAAGAATTAAATTGAATGACAAAAAATGAAATTCAAGGCATGACAAAAAAATCAAAGAACAGAAAACTTTCCTTCCATAAGAAAGTGATAGAACTTAATAGAAACTCATGGCAAAATAAAATTCGTATGCCACTGCAAAACAAAGGGCCTCTAACCAATAAAAAGCAATTACAGATTAAAACATTTATATACCAGAAGCCACTACATTTGGATCCACAGCCAGTCAGCCACAACAATTAAAATCGCTAACTGTGCTTAGGATTTTAAGCTTTCAGGCCTCCAAACTCCATTCATTCACTAAAGAACAAATTAAAAAAAAAAAAAAGAAAGAAAATAACCTACAGAGACATTCTCACAATTGACGGTAAACCCAGAAGCCAAGGGCACTGACTCAATCCTGTAATTATAACCTCAAAAGATCAACATGATCTGATGAGAAATGGAAAGCCCATGCCACCATCAACCCTCCCTCTCCATTAAAACTAAGGGGCTTTATGTGAAACTTTTTAGATTTCAAAAATAAAAACCCAAACACATGCTTATGCATCAAACAACAGATGCATAAAACCATAAATTTGCCTACTGAAAGAAACCTTGAAAGGAAGAGAACTGATGGAAATATTAAAAAACCAAAAAAAAGTTTTTTTTTTTTTTCAATTCTCCGTTCAAAACATCAAAATTTTCCAAATTCCAAACACAGAAATTGAGAAGAAATTAAAGAAAAATTAGCAAATTAAACACAAAAGGAAAACCCTTAAACCACAACAAAACCCTGACAAAGAGGATTCAATCCCAAATAACCATTTCAGGCATCAATCCGAGAAATTCTGAGTAATTTAGACAATTTTGCTTTTAAGAAGATCTAAAACCCTGAACAAAAAGATCCCAAAAAATTATAAATAATTGATAAAAATAAAGAATCTTTAATCGTCTCTTCGGATTTTCCAATAAATTGTCTCCAAAATCCCAGATCGAATACGTTATACCCCAAATTATCGACAAACAGAAGAACTCAACGTTGGAAAATGACAAAATTTAAGAATTTTCAAATGAAAGCTGAAAACAGAAAAAAACAAAGTACAGGCATTTGATTGCTTAAAAGTTGTAAGCTTAAAAAGATTAAAACTTTGCGGTCATTTAACAACTTTTTCCTCGAATTACCACCCAAAATCGAAGTTGTTTCCACTTTCTCACCATTTCTCGGCAACCAAACACAAAAAACCCCACCTTAACCCAAAAAAACCCATGAAAAAGATCAAAACTTTCCGAGAATTCGCAAAGGAAAATCAACAAAAAATCGATCTTCTCACCTCTAAACAATGAAATTTTCCGTCAAAGCACGAAATTCGCAGCCAAACGTAAGATCGGAAAAAAGAACTACCAATTTGAAAATTCTCTACCCGGAAAAGAAAGAATACCTTCTTCCATGTTCTATCCCATATTTTCCCGAGAAAATAAAAAGGAAATCTTCGCTACGTTTTTCAAATAAAAGCCATTTGCGATTTTCTGTCAAAATTCTTATTTCTTTTCCTCTACAAAAAGAAAATATAATTTCTTTTCTTTTTTCTCTGATCGCCAAAACCCTCTGAAAACCACCCAACTTTGCTTAAACCCCAGTTCTTTTATCATTGACCCATGTTACCGGACCTATCGGTAGTTACCATAAACTTACCGGTTATGACCGGTAGGAAGGAACGCAACCTAAAGACCGGTTCTTCCTTATCGGGTGACCCACCAGTAGTTTCAGTCCTCTCGGATCTTGACACGTGGAGGAAACTTCAATCCTGCGGCTACGTTACAGTTGAAGGATCGAGAAAAACGTTGGGTCACAAAGAGGGTGATTTATATTTTATTTCCTTTTGGATCGGGGTTTTAATAATTGTTGTTGGTAAGCCATTGACACATCCACTTAGATTTTGTTTCTTAATAAAGTTAAAATATTTTAATTATAAAAAAATTGAAATCTTTTGGTTCAAACTTACCACTCATCAAATTTTGTTATAATAATTTTAAATTCTAATACAAAAATATATATATGAATTTTTATATAAAAATTTTATCAAAAGAATTTGATATCGAAAGTGATGAAATCCAAAATTATTCATGAAAAAATCAATAATCCAATTTAAAATAACAAAAAAATATATTTCTAGGAATATTCGTTTTTTCTTTATCAGATTCTTGTGGAGATAGTGTTTTTTGTTATTACAACAAATATTCTATAACAAAAAAGTTAGAAATTAAAACTAAAAAAATCAATTTTATTTATTTATTTTTCCCTTCATCGGACGGCAAGGATCCTTTAATCAGATCTAAAAGGACAAATTCGTCATTTGACAGAAACCATACGGTGGAAGCGTATTGGATTAGTGATCCCGATAAGAATGTTACGTACCATTTTTTCCTTTGTGGCTGTATTTTTTTAAAACAAAAATACTAGTGCCACGTGGGAAAAAGAACAATCATCCTACGTGGCAAAAGGAAGGCAGCCATTGGTCGCTTTTTGGTCCGTGTTATCGCCAACGTTGTGGCTGTCGCTTTTTCTGCAATATTTTGAAACTGAAATGGCCACCCTTGGGACTTTGACGGCGATATGGGAATCTCTGTTATACTTAACGTTGACGGCGTGGTAACGTGGTGAATCTGGAGCCAAGATGGGGAAACGGCCGTTAAATTCGAGGATAAGGGTGTGGGGTTTGTGGCGGGTCCTACAAGAGTGGTGGGCCCCAGATAAAATTTTTGTCTGGAATAGTCAAAGTTTTCGGAGAGAAAGATTGGTTGGCACGTGGTGAGCGTGCGAGAAGACCGGTTAATTAGAGAATGTGATTAATTAGAGAATGTAATTTCTCTTATTACAGTATGGGGATTAATCAGTACACGTGGCGAGCTAAGAGTGGGTAAGCATACGGAACTTCTATTCATCCGGCGTCAGTTTAGAAAGAGGTAGTTACGTGCACTTGGCGAAGAAATGGCAGACACAGAGTTGGTTAAGCATCAAATGCGGATATACCTACACACAATCTGGACCGTCCATCTCACATCCAATAAAATAAAGTCAATTTAATTTGTAAATTAGTACATGATGATCGAATTAAATGTATTGTTTGTATTATTCAAACCATTAAAATAAAATTTTGCTTTTTATTTATTGAGCTATGATCGGAGACAATCGAGTAGGTGTAACAAATTAAACTAAAATTATTTTTTATTAAATTTGAAATTTAATTTAATAAATTAATACAATTATTTTTAAAATATATTATTTAATTAATTTTAAAATTTAACACGTGCAATTATTTATTATATTTTTTATATTACAACTTTTTTTATACCAAAAAAATATTTTTCATATTTATTTAAATTAATTAATGTCTTTCGACAAATTATAAAATTTTGTTAATGAATGGTTTAAAAGTATCTTTTAAAATTAGTAAAAATATTACTCATAGTAATATCTTTATATTTAAATTTAATAGTTGATAATCAATCAAATAAATTCCAATACATTAGTATGAACATAATAATCTAAACTAGAGATTCTAAGATATTCGTTAACAAATTTTATAAACTAATTAAAAGCAATGTTTGAAATGGAATACTTATAAATTAATTAAATAGGAAATGTCACTTAATGCACATTCATGTTTTATCCACAAAATCCAACCCCAATATGTGAGAGACATAGTACCATGAAATCTTGATGTTGAAAAATATAAGATTTGTATCATCCACTTATCCCAAAAAAAAAAAAGAGATCGGTATGTTCTAAATTTTCCCAAATAACTCAAGAAATCTTTGTTTTGGACCAAACAATTTGTTAGATAAAATTCCATAACCATCAAATGAGAAAGAAAGCATCATCAACTTCCAAATGTGGCAAAGAATTTCATAGTATTTATTAAATAATTTATAGCCTGCCCTCAAACAGGAATCCCAGGTGTAAATTTTACTTTGATTAAATCAAGAATTAAAAATTTGTTTACTTCTAATTAATTTATCAAATTATTGAAGAAGACTTTGATGTATCAACAACAAATGAACTACTATTAATCTTTGGTCTGTGATGGTTCAACTAAAACTCTAACACCCAAAGTTTTTGAGTATCTAGGTTGGTCTTTAATTTTTAAGAAAAATAAGTTTGAATTTTATCAAATTAGATAAAAAAAAAAAAGAATTCGAGTTTTAATTTAATTAATTTATATAATTATTTTTAATAGATAATATTTAATAAATTTTAAATTCAAATTTTATATAGAAATGAAAAGGAACGAATTTGAAAATTTATTGTAATTTAATTTGTAGAGCCAATTATGTGAATAATGTGATGGTAAATTATATGGCTAAGATAGTCTACAGTTTACTGAAACAAGGAATGGTGGGGTCGTCATTACAAGACAAGAAATTGGTGTCAATTGCTGTTTTTGAAGTTGCGGCTAATTTGTTTGAAATTTGAATGGTAACGATTGTGAGGTGGTTTCTTGTAAGAGCATTAATGCCAATGGGTAAGGACGACAAAAGTACAAAGCCAGCCAACAATATTGGAGCTGAATCTTCCATAATTGCATAAGCTTATGATGGGATGTTCGAATTTTCTACCCTTTCTAAATTAGAATAAGTGCAATTTTTGTTGTTTAGAAACAAATTATTATAAGTAGATCAATAATAGTATTATCAGTAAAAAAAAGTCGTAATTTTAAAATAAAAAAATTATAAATATTAAGATTTAAATTTTAAATTTGTTAAATGATAATTTAAAATAATTATATGAATTAAATTAGTTTATAAGATATTAAATTTATAATTTTATTATTTCAATAAGTAAAATTTAATTTTGATAATTTAATATTAAAAAATTATTATCAGTAAATAGGCAAGTATTTTTTTTAAGAAAAATTCGAAGGTAAATAAATTGTTCAATTTTTAAGTTAAAGTAAGATGTACCGTACCTGATAATTTAAGATATGTAATTATAAGTCGTGCATTCGAGATGATCCTAAAAAAATGATCACCGATAAAACTTGAACTCAAGATCTCTTCGTTGATGAAAACGACTTTAACCGATTGAATCAATCATTTGTTAATAATATACAAGTAATTTATGATCGATAGTTTTACTTAAAAAGTAAAATTATATTAATTGTTTTGACTTAAATAATTTTAAGTTGGAATTAATATTTTCAATTCTATGTTTAAACATGTCATATAAAAATGAAGAAAATTATGGTAAGTCTAAACTGTGGTAGGGAATAGTTTTGTCAGTATATGTGAAGAATGCTTTATAAATTCCAACCATTTTTTATTAGAAAAAAAAAAAAAAAAGAGCAACAGTAAATTTGATCCCTGTAGTCATCGAACTCTTGGGAAGCTTTTTGGATAATGACATCTGTATTTAGTTGAATCACATGATTAAATCAAAACCATCCATTATTCATGTGACAAATGCCATGATCGGTTAAAAAAAAAAAACACAAAAGATTATGAGTTCCACTTGGACCAGCTCATTTTCTTGAGCACAAAAAGAACCAGACATGCATTTGGATGGTGTCCCATCTCACGTGTGCCCTGTTACTAAAGTTTCCTCACTCCATTTTTCTTGTATAATCTTTTTTTTTCTATTGTATATATTTTTGAATGAATGACCTACCTATAAATTTTTTTAGATAATTTCATAATTATGTTGATTTTGATTCAACTGGTTGCCTAAACAAGGGATTTTGGAGTTAAAAATGGCTGAGAGTTAAAGTGAAAAATGGCAAATGCCAATGCTTGTTTTTGCATTGGAAGCCATAAGCCATAGCTGGACCATGGGATATGAGAGAGACAGGTCGAGAAATTAGGTTGGCTTAAGGCAAAATGTTACTACAAAGAAAAAAAAGCGACTCCCAAAAAAGCTGGAAAAAGGCGGGATTCTTTGGTTGTTTTATTCAAGAAACCTCTCTCCGGCCTGATTAATGCGTGACCCTTTCAAGTTACTGGAAGTCTGGAATTTTCAAACACTTGATTTAAATGACAAAAAAAAAAAAAAATCCTTGGAAAATCCCATTTGCCAGTTGCCACCTCGTTTGCTCAGTCAAAACCAAAGCCAGGCAAGCAGAGACAGAAGGTAGGGTGGAGAATTTTGGATGTGAGAGCCATTCTGCACCACATTTTGTTTATTCTTCTTTTTGATATTGTGAATCACATGTTGTTAATCTTATGACATTAACAAGTAATGATGTTTTACTTATTTGATTTGCTGACTGTGAGATTCTGAATTTTAAATTCAAATATTTGCCGTTTCCTTTTTTATTCATAGATTACGACTACTCTTGTAAAAAAGACCATTTCAAAAGTTTTGTTACTGTCTTTAAATGGAGGCAGATTGAATGGCAAGTTACAGAAGAAAAGTTGCTTAAATGTAAATATATAAAAGACTTAAGAGAGAAAAAGGGCATCATTCTGTTACTAAAAAGGGAAGGGGGGGGGTTAGGGGAAAGGGAGGAGTTTGGAGTTGAAGGAACTGTTGAGATTTCTTGACGTAAAAGCAATGACCAAAGCTCATCCAGTAATGTCAACGAAAATGGTGTGAGGTTGGATGAGAAAATTGTTTTCTGTTCCGTTGCACCTTTCAACATAGACTTTCCAACTTAGACAGAAAAAAAAAATAAAAAGGAAAGAAAAACAAGAAGGAAAACCATATATATATATATATAATCAGATTTGTTGAAATTATATGATTAGTAAAGACTCTCATAAATTCAATAATAATAGTCAGGGTTAAAAAAAAAAAGAAAAGTGAATATTGGTCATCCTAGCTTAGCTAGGTGGATGTGAAAATCGTTGTGAATTGATTGGATAATTGTGGTTATATTTTTTTATTTGAGATTTTTAGAATTTAAAAATTAATTATTGAAAATAAAATTTTAATATTTTATCAATAGATCATATAATTATTAATTGATTAAATTTATTTATTAATTTAAATAATATCTCTCTTAATAAATAAATAAATAAAAGGTGACTACTTTAGCTTTAAATTTGGGTTTTTGTACGACTTATTAATTTTTTTTTGGCTTATAAGCCAAACTCTTTCTTTTTGCTATTTGGTTGAAGAAAAGTTTCCTTCTCAATATTGGCAAGAAAGGAGAGCGAATCTCCAAAATTCTAAGCAAGTTGCGAATTTGTAAAGGTAATGAACAGAACAAAAAGAAAGGTAAGGTGATTAATTAAGGGTTGAACACTTACATAAATACGGAATGGTAATATCCCTTGAATCATCATTGCTCTTTGGAAGCTAATGATCATAAAATTTTCGTAATTAAGTTTAAGGGTTTTTTTTTTTTAACAAAAAATAATTATATGTATTAAATTTTAAATTTAAATTTATAGTATTATTTTTTAAAAAATATTTGTATAAATATGAATTAAACCTCAAGTTCATTGAGCTTTGATCTTAAAGATCTTACTACAGGACTTACTACTTTAAGAAGGAAATTACGCTCGAATCTGAACGATCCTCCAAGCGCCGAAGACAACATGCCGCAGAGCCAAATGCTCCCTAGCACCGAGAAAGCCAATTTTTAAGTGTGTGAGTTTGTGTACGTGTTTTCTTTCCACTTGATTAAAAAAAAAAAGAAAAAGAAAGCTAACTTGTGACAAATTGAGAGCCTCTTCAGTTCAAATTCTGATCATGATTAACGAGTCATAACCTGATTGGACCTAATCTAAATCTAATCCTGTCGTTGAATCATTGCACGTTCATGCATCGGCGACATCATGTTAAAACATGGGGACATCGACTTTGTCTTTATCACTAATCCGGTGCAAAAACAATATAAAATCTTTCAAACTTCATTTTTCTTACGTAACAATTATAAAAGAAGCATAGCTGTAAAGCTGACTCTTGCAAGTGATTGGCTTTACATAATTTTTTTGTTGTGATTGATGAACTGTAAGTGAGCTGCTCCCAAACAAGACCTTCCTGCCCCATAGAAAATCTTTTCCTAGTACGATGCAACCTTCGCCCTGATTTATAGTGGCTATAGGCGATTTATGCTACCCAAGTTTTGGAGACATAAAGCCCCTTCTTTGCCATGAAAAAAGGGGCAAAATGTTGCCTCCAATTATAAGCAGCAGGCCGCTGGTCCTCAAGTATATTGCCATGGAACACTTCAAACTACATGAAACATTTTTATCCTTCATAGGTTGTAGAGACAATTAAGTGATTTCTCTAAGACACATTTCAATGGTAGCAGTTTTTGGGTGTGGTGTTGGGGTTGAAGGCAGCATATCTTGCATATTGATTCGACCTCAAGATGGTACAAAGTACCGACACTATATGAATTCACAGCAATATTCAAAGGTAATACTCGCATGCTCTTGTAATACAAGCACTTCACAGCTAACTTATGAGTTCAGAATCAAACCTTGGATAATGGCAAATTACCGCATGCAGTTGGTTTATACATGGTTTAGCTGCATTATCGAAAACAAGTATGAAGAGCAAAGTTGTAGCAACTGGTAATTACTAAAGAAATCACAATATCATAGACTAGGAATTGTAAATACTTCAAAATGGCATCTGGTAGCAATACCAACAGTTCTTTTTTTGTTCCACCACATATAAATACGTACAGAAATGTAAATCAGTGATATTGCCATGAAATATTGAAAGCAGTTTGCCGAACATGACCTAGGAAAGTAGAACCTAGCATATCCTTTCCGTCCATCTATTCTGATGCTAGTCATGTGCTGTCATCCGCTATGGTCATGAAAAAAAAGTTTCTTGTGAAATTTGGAAGAAAAGTGATGAAAAGAGTTCTGAAACAGTTACAAATTTCCCCAGGGATGATTACAATAAGATTATGGAATGGGATACAACGCACACATACCAACAACATATTGCTTCAACATATCAAACCAAAAGGTTATATCAACTAACTGCAAAATCCAAAAGGTATACATTAAAATACCAATACCTATTCGGTAGATAAATTACCATACTGCCATGGGTTGAATTCAATTGATGTAATGTCAACCTCATTGATGCTGTCTGAGCTGTCTACAGTAGCTCGATGCTCATTGTATTTACCGTTGTAGTGATAGATTTCTAAGTCACCCCAAGGTGTTGCTGTGACTTCATCTGTCAAATCAAACCATCTAGGGGTAAACTGATCGCCCTTGGCCTCTCGTGTCCTCTTTTCAGCTCTCTGTCTCTCTTCCAAACTGAAAAAATGAGCAAAAGCTTCAAATTAAATATCTTGCAATTGTAAGGAAGAATTAATATTCTGAAACCAAGAGGTAAGTAAACATTCCAAATATGTAACTCACTGATCTTTATCATTTGTTTTTAATTTAACTGCACAAGAAAATTAACAGATGGGGCTGAAGGGAAAATAAAAAATGATGCTTAAAATCTTCCATTGAATTCTCTGTTTTCTTTTCTTCCTGGTCAAGGTACAAAGAAAGCACGTTCCTATTGAAGAGCCCCCACTAATTTTCCTGTTCTATGAACAGTTGTGGAGTAATGGTAATCAAGATGGAGAGCTTATCTTACAAAATTTTCAAAACTACAATCCTCAAGGAAGTTTATGCATCTGTTGATCAATGTATTGACATCAAAAGCATACCTGCTAGAATTGATGCATCACCATAGTGGTTTGTATTTTAAATGGCATTGACCAGGTGAGATCAGATAAGGATAATGCATGGTTAGATATTAAGAACTGGTTGCTGGCATTCTTTATATCATGCATGACAGAGACATGTATTGATTGCTAAAGATCCCTCAATTCATTTCAGTTGTTCACAGCTTCATTTTGACTTTTGGGATGCGTGCAAACAATTTTTAGCAAGTATCTTTGTTATGTGTGTGTGTGTGTGTGTGTATGTGTGTCTGAGAGAGAGAGACCTGCTCTTCTCAGCACCAGCCTTGGATAAATCACCCTTCTCAAGTGCAAATCTATCAGGTCGCAAACGGGAGTCTGATGCTAACAATTTCTTAGGAGCAGTGTCAAAGCTGTTTATTTTATGAGCAAAATATGTGTACTGAAACTTGTCGTTTTCTGGAGCATCAGCAACATGCCAAACCTGCGGACCAAAAAAAATACAGAAGTCATAAATAGGATTAAGTTCATTAGTCACAAGTCAAAAGCTTGTTCATGAGCTCAGATATAAACTAAAAATTATCAAATAGAAGCACAAACAGAAGGGTTGCATTTTATATTTCTAACATTTAGGTGAAAGCAAGAAAAGTAAAAGGCTTTGACAAAATAAAATGAAAGCCAACCAAGCATTAAACATGAAATGCATAAAGAAATATCTCAACCACATATGCAACTGATAAGAAGGCTAGCCACCACCTTACTCGTAGATATTTACGTTATGAGGAAAATTAAAACCTGATGCCATAACCAATAAGTGGCTAGGAGAAAAAAAAAAGCATCCATTCCACATTATAAAGAAGAAGTTAACTAAAGCAGTTGGTTACTATTGTATGATAAGGGAAAATGTTCAAAGAAAGAACCTCTTTCAATTCTGTGCCCTGAAGAGGTTCCCCTTCCATGTCACATGGCTGATAGCTCATTGACTCATTCCACTTCCCTGTCATCAATATTTTTGGTTCCTCAGCAGCATTATAAACATAACCATCCACTTCATAGCGACCAGCTCTGCAATCAAATAATGCCGTAAATCAGTCACCAGTTTGCCACCAAGCACTAGCCAGTTGCAACTGATGTAACAATAAGCATATTACAAACACAAAGAGAGACATGAAACAAATTTTAAGAAGAAAGGGACTGATTAAAGTACATAAAACATATGTATCTAATTGGCATGAATTGCTCCATTAAATTAGTTTAGATACAGTTCTGTGCACACAAAAGCCTCAGAGACAGAGAGAACAAGCCTGGATGACAAAATGGGAACACAATGTGATGCAAGTCAAACCTTCAAATCAAATACCATCTCAGAGCACTCATTTTAAAGAATTCCACATAGGAATGCTATTACCTTAAATTCCATATGAAGGTACACCACATACAAATGACAGAAAAAGAAATGCTTAAATTATGCTTAAAAAATAAGATGTCAGAACAAGGTACGGAGAATACCCAAACCAGCCACATGGTTGAAAATACAGAACAACTTTGTCCCCAGTAGTCAAATTTGTCATGATCATCTCTCCTGGTGAATCAACCCAAGTTCGTCCAAAAATCAGATTGTTAACCTTGGTGGGAGGAGGCACCAAATCTAAAACCACACCATCTCTTTTAAGCATAACACGTGTTCTGCAAAGAATAACCCACGTGAATATGACCTTCAAACAGAAATTAACCATATCTATAACCGAGAAACAAGAAGACAAAGGGGGAATAACATAGTTTACAGTACACAACAAGAGTATTACCTTCCAACAGGATAAACATCAAGAGAATTCCCCAAAAATTTAGTCTTTAACTTTGATGTGACGTCATAAGTAAAATGTTCATTTTCTGCATGCCCAGCACTCATTGGAGGATGATGACTGACCTGAAATGATAATATAATTCAAAACAAAAGAAAATAACAAATAAAGTTAAGAGAACATACATTTCATGAGTTAAAGTTGATAAAACTAAACATACATGATCCTAGAATTGTTTTCAGAACATGAAAGAGAGTGGAGAGGAAGGCATAGAAATTGATAGGCACTAAGTAGCACGCACATACATATAAGAATGAAAGAGAAAATGCTTAAAATAATCAAATAACTTGAAACTCACCTGCTCAGAAATGAATGAAATCCCTCCATGATTAACCATCTCATATGTTTCCCCAAGAATAGGATTAAAAGGTTTCCATGTACGTTGGTAGGCATAGTACACAGATATAGCCCATGATGCTGTACAGGATCATGAATTTCATTAATTACAAAATTAAAACTAGAACGTGCCTCATAAAATAAACAAAGCATACTCACCTGCATACACCAGCTGGAGATAGGGATCCTCACATTCATCTGCTTGGTCCAACAAGTAGGAGTATTCCATTAACTGCAAAAAGGCGTAGTGAATTCACATATTGAAAAAGAAAAATGCTAACAAACCTCGTCTAACTAAGGCAAACCTCTGCCATTTTCTGAAGCATAGTCATTGGTTCAAATATGAGGACAGGAAGTGTCACCATTGATGTAACATCCGAACCTATATATTTGTGCATCATCTTCCAGTGGCTTTCTCGTTCCTAACAATAAAAATAATAAAAAGAAGAGTAGTCAAAACATCAACCTATAAAACGAGTAAAAATAAAGTGATTAAAGAATGTGTCTTTATCTCCATAGCCCAAAAGAAGAGAAAAAGCTACAAGTACAAAGATCTATTTCTTTCCATCTTCAAATATTAATTTTCAAATACAACCTCAGTTTAATACTCAAAGAAACATTAAAAAAAAAGAGCAATTCAACCATTGTTAAAAATTCCCAGAGATAGAGAGAGCAACGCAAAAAGAGCATCTGTTCAACCGACCTATAAAACAAAGATCTAAATAACATGGTTATAAAGATGTATACCTCCTGCTTCCACCTTCCTCTCTGTGCTTCCTCCTCGGCATCTTCTTTTCCACCCTCTGGATTTATGACTTCTACTCCTTCATAACCAAGTAACCTGAAAGCCATAGGAAGAAGAAAAAAATACGATGCCTCCTTTATAACAGACGAATAAGAAAGCTTGATTAGGATGGAAACTAAAAAATAAATGGAGTCAAAGCATACCAATTATTTCCATAATTCACAATGAAAAGTGGCAAGCAAATGTAGCAAGCAAGATGTTTATAAAGTTAGACACCAAAATCAAACAAATAGTCTGATCACCTTTCTCAAGAAGTGCATAAAAGAACACTTTAGGATTAACCTATAATATGAAGTTTGCAAATATGAGAGGCTGTAAATTACTAACTTAAACTCTTACACTCACAGAAACTAACAAGATTTATTCAATCAACAATCTTTAAACAGACACCAAGAAGTTCTAGATTAGTGAGAACTAGAGCAATATTCTGGCAATTTGCCGAAACACCATCCAAGGTGTCTAAGCAGTTATGAGCCACCAATTCCACGAACAACCTTTAAGCATTCTGTTGGAAAGGCTACACTAAGAAAGGGGGAAAACGGTAAAAGCAAGACACAAACCAACTGAGTTTTGTCATATAGCACGATGCCTGGAAAGGAGAACAGAACTGCAATGCACACCTTTTACAGACAAAATTTCAGAAGAAGAAACCTATAAAATTAATAGATATTCACAGCATTAATCATGAAACATACCAATCTAGACACCCATTAAACAAACCTAGCCATCAAATCCTTCAAGTTGACAGTATATTATGTTTGATATGTAAGGAAAGCACTAGCGTTCTTGTTTAGAACGAAACGATAATATAACCAAATGACTTCAGTACATGGAAGTAGACTCAACTTATTTAATCAATTAAATTGACCTGAATTGCATTGTCTGGAACAAGAAAAAATGATTTCATTAACCATTGCATTGCATTGCATTGGATCTAAGTAAGAAAGGTGTCAAAGAAGAATCTTTATTTTATTTTTTTAAAAAATCATTTAAGTTCTGAAGCGTAAAATAAAAGATCATAATTTCAAATTGAATTTGGAACTTTAAGCATTCAATGAACTAATCTATAATCAAATTTAAACAACATCATCATTAACCACAAAACCCCCGGCAATCTTTTTCCTCTTTATCAACCTAAAATTAACAACTAACTATTTCAAGATGATGAAAATAACCAATAAAAAATGTCAAATCAGTTAAAGTAACAGATCATTAAAATAAAAGCAAGAAAATTTCAAAAATTTAAAGAAATAATCGTATAATTCGAACCGTAAACTAAACGATTTAGCTTCCCGAGGTAATGCTTAATTGAACAATCTAATCAAATTCAAGAAACAAATAATGCAAAGAAAAAAAAACGACGTCGTAAGCAGGAAAAGAAAACTCACCCGTTGACAGATCTGTGCATAGCATTGCCAAACATAGATAAACCTGAGCTCATCGCTGCGAAAAATCCTTTACTTTGATTCTTCTTCGGACTTGCCATTTTTTTAATTTCTTTTGTAATTTGTTCAAGAATTCAAGTTAAAAGCTCAATTGAATGTTTGTTTATTCAGAAAATGGAAGGAAAGTGGGGAAAAGAGGAAGGGGCATTTGGATTTTGAGAATGGAAAAATATTGAAGAGTTAAGAAGAAGAAGAAGAGGAGGGTGAATCTGTAATTTTAGTAAAACAGCGAGGATAAGAGGTGGAATTCGTTGGCGGAACCTTTTTTATTGGGTTATGTAGTAAAATCTCACGCTCTTCGTGAAGAACGTGGCGAATCCAACGACAAGATATATTTGAATTTTGGCGATTGCTCTTCACGTGTCGTGAATGGCAGGACCACAATCTAGAAAATTGGGCTGGACTTGGCCCATATAAACTTATAATATTTTTTAAATAATAATTATTTTAAAAATACATATTCTTCTTCAGACATCCGATCCAATTCCACTGGCTTTTAGATCTACATCAAAACATTTCGAAATTTTTTTAATATTTTCCCTCCCCCATTCAAAACCCTAATTCAACTTTAACCTCAAAATTAATCAAAATTCTCTCTTTTGCTTATTACTTTCAATTAAATCATAGAATTTATAACTTCTTTTTTTGTGAAAATAATTTTCAAAAATTCAATCAGAATTTACTATGAAAGAAGTGAAATCAGTTAAATTGAATGCGCAGCAACATCAGCAACACGAAAACGGTCACTTTTTTCCGTTCAAATTCGCCAAGATATTAGATCCAGAAGCTTCTTGGGACAAGGTAAATCTTTTTCTTTTTGTTTTTAATCGTTAATTTTGTTGGTTTTATTTGAAAATTTTACTATTAATTACAGTGAAATAGTAACTGTAACTTTAATTATGCTCTTAATTGAGCTTTTTCAGTTCTAGAAGCAGTTGAATTATATGGGTTCTTTTTTCCTGTTAAATGGGATTTAAATAGGATGATCATGAGTGGTACTGAATTGGGTACATTGAAAAAGAAGAATTTTGATGATGGGATTTGGTTGATTTTTGGAGCAGGATCAATTAGGAGATGTATTGCATTGGATTCGACAAGTTGTAGCTCTTTTCTGTGGTTTATTATGGGGTGCAATCCCTGTCGTTGGAGGCATTTGGATCTTCGTGTAAGTTATCAGATTCATGTTGCATGCATTTGTAAATTGCAGTGTTTTGGATTGGTATTGGATTGTTGAATCTGGCCCAAGTTTGGTGAGTTCACTAGTTTCTCAGATGACATATTGTGATGTTAGCTGTCAGGTATGTTTTTGTGATGGTTTCTCGGTAATTGTAAATAGGAGTAGGGCTTTTGGAATTTATACTGGTGTAATTGGATGGAACTATTGATGTTGACATACGGTGTTTTAGTTTGATAAAATCGTAGATTCATTGACGGTTAATCACCAATAGTTCTTAGCGATTGAGTTGTTTGTAAATAAGGATTCTAACATTATCTTAAGCTATCAGCCCGGCAAGGATAATTTGATTTTAAATTTAACTATACCGGAGTGTGTTTTAGTATATAATTGTTGGGTTCCTGCAACAGCATTTAATCTCTAAATGTGGTGGCACATTTTGCTACATGGATGGCACCTTTATCCAGTGGAGTTCCTTTATAAATCTCTGCTTTTTTAACTTAAAGCTGCACATGTCCATATACATTTGTGTACCCTGGTTCTTTTTGATGTACTTTACCTAGGTTGTATTGACAATTTAGAATTTACTAAGCATTACTGTTGTTTTGGAATTGATTAGTTAAATAGATAAGATTTCAACTTGCATTTATTTAGCATGAAATGTGCATGTCATCGTCCCATTTCTCTGAAAGGACTATTGATGTTGTCTTGATGGAGCCAACATGAAACATCACTGTCTTTTTTCAAGATTTCTGTATATCCATGTTGAGGGATTTATGCTGCCAACTTCCCCTACATTGTGTGTCTTGATTTCCACCTACTATTTGTGAAGAATTCATTCAATAAGCAAATAAGAGTAGTGTATCTGTTTTTGTTATTATTTTTCTTTGCTAAACTTTTAGTTAATGGTTTGGCATTGATTTTTGTTTGCAGTTTTCTGGTTGTATCCACTGGGATTATATATGGTTATTACGCAATGATCCTAAAGATTGATGAAGAAAATTTTGGTGGTCATGCAGCCCTTCTTCAAGAAGGGCTTTTTGCTTCAATAACTCTCTTTCTGGTACTTAAATAACATTTCATTATTTCTTTCATGTTCAAATGTCAGCATTGCCTACGGAAAGGGAGCTTTTCCCATGTTTACAGCTAACAAAACCCTCATTTTCTGTTCAGTTGGCATGGATTCTGGTATACAGCTTGGCCCACTTTTGATATGCGATGTATCATCAATTTGGCTGCCCTCTGTTTCTAAGTCCCATTTCAAGGATTTGACTCCGTTAGATGAGGAACCATTCAATATTGCCGAAAACAATGAGAAACTTTCTTACTTGAGAAATGCCAATAGCTATAGCTTTTTATGTTTCATTGTACAACATTCTGATTTTGCAAATCATGAAGCTAGTTTTTGATCAAGGTATATACATGCATGATTTCAATGTTAACTTCATAAATAACCCACAGAATGTAGCAGTTTGTCGTGCAAGTACCTGATGCTAAACAAAACACTGTTTTTCTTGCTTCAAATTTCTTCTTGCCAGTGATCTTTCTGGTTGATATCATATCAAGGCTAAGTTAGTGTGGTGTTTTTCAGCTGGATATTATCTGTTTTCTATTTTATTTTTCTCGAAGAGGGTGTATTTCAGATTTCTGGTTCTCTAGTTCAAATAATCAGATTCAGTCCTTAACAACCTTAATTATTGAAAAAAAAAAAAACCTGGAAAATTTTGGAGGTTCTTTATATTTTACAATGCGGCTGATAGAAGGGCCTAAGCCTCCCCACTTGGGAGCCAAAAATATCACTACCCATATCAAGTCAATTGCACAAACGAGGACAATGATCTAAGCAGACTCATTTTTGCATGACGATAACATTCTCCAGCAACAGAAGATTACTATTACTTTTTGAAAGGAAGATGCTCGAGTCTTTAGTTATAACAAAAACTTTAACAATTATTCTCCAACAACAACAGAAATAACTTTACGAGTCTCATCAGTTAAATTCAACGGTACAACAAGTCCAGCACTCCACCATTTAGCTGTAACAAAAAACCTTCTGCTGAGATCCTTTTATTTTATCCCTCAAAACAGATCGAAAAATAAAGAGGAAAGAATGATTGCTTCTTTTAACAGTTACGGAGTGGTGTAGGCTACTATGCTTTGCAGATGGCTCACATCAACCTCCCACTTCTGCCTCTTCATGAGACGAGGTATACGCGGCCATATACCCATCTTCTCCCTAGTCTCGAAACAGATTGCTGCACAAAAACAATCATCAACCATGTCAATAAAAAACCTATGAATATGCCCTAGAAAATAACTGAGTAGTTTTCCCCTATTTCCTATTGCTTGTTATACAGAAATTATGGTACAAAAACTTATGAAGGCACAAAAAAAAAATTGTATGCTGATTCAAGTTATTTAAACAATAAAAAGACTAGGAAACATTGAATTTAACCCGGGGAAACTAAAAAAACTGATGATAGTAAAGCATATTCAATGAAGGCATTACTTGGCAAACCATCAGACACCTAGAATGAAATGGTAGCTCACACTTATTGTCTTCATTTCTTGCTAAAGCTTGACTACCTTCTTAGGACCTCATTTAAACGAGTTTGAAAAAAAAAGGAACATGATTAGAAAATATTATCCAGGTATAAAAATATAAGCAGACTACATTACCTCAACCTTGGCACGAAATTCTAGAGCGCATTCACAGACATGACACTCTGCTCTATAGGGGGAGTCATTGAATTTATCTGATTTGACAAATGCAAATACCTACAGGCAAATGCTAAAATCAGTTAAGACTGACTGGAAGCCTTCTGAGTTAAATTTCAGGCAATGCTAAATATATGGTTATGTTTGTAGGAGAAGATCTAATATCTAGTTCTAAAGATGAGTTGAAGAGATAAGAAGGATATAACCCTTCTGAGTTCTGAGACATAAAACAAGTGCAAGAAACAATTTCTAGGACTCACCTCCTCCCCACAATTTGGGCATGCCCCCTTCAGAGCTACCAAGTCATTTCTCCACAGTCTTTGAAGCACCCGAACTGGAGAAAGTGTGATTTAGTCAACAGAACAAAATTATTTTTAGAAAAAATGATAAAAACAAGCAAATGATGATCTATTTTTCAGCTTTTTTTTTTATGATTTAAAGATTTAGCCAACAACTCAAATTCATTTGAAATTACTCAACATTACAAGTCAATATGCTGGATCAAAGACATTTTTTAAAAGATTTTATAATACGGTTTGTTGTGCGAGTAGTCGAAAGCAAGATAAATAACTGCTTTATTAGAAGTCATACCAGCAGCCGATGCAAGTGAATATCCAACCACTGACCCAATACCGATGAAGAGAATGCCATTAACAGTAGCAAGAAACTCAAAATTGGATGCTTGGCTGCCATAGGAAATATCTGAGCTGAATGGATCTTGGTACGCTAGATTAGTGGTGTAAATGATAGGTACAAGACACAATGTACAGCCAAGTGCAAAAATCAAGATCCATATGCTTGCCAACACCAAAACTTGAGACAAATCTTCCTGCCCTACATCCAGAACAACTCAATATTCAATCAAAGAAAATACAAATAAAAAAGAAAACCTACCACCATTACCCAAAACAACATAACCATACAATGTATCAAAAATCAAACTATGGAAAATATCTAGCATACAGAGAAAGTATCATATAAGACCTTACAACCATATCAGCTATAAGCTGAAAAAATCAGGGTGTAACAAATCATTCAAATTGATGATGTGCATCTCAGCATAAATGGGTTTTACTTTTTACTTTGATTAGGTTGAAGAGTCATATATGCTAACATGATTACTACTAATTCTCAATAACAAGTCGAATCCGGATTTCTTAAACCTCCTAATGGATAAAGCATTGAACAGAACTTAAAAACCAAACAACAATGATACAAAAACAAATATATGATTCTAAACAGAATTACCTCTGCATCAGCATAAGTAGAATGTCGCCTAATACTGCAACGAGGGTACTTAACAACGGATTTCGAACCATACCAACGTAGTTTTAACTGTATAAAAAAGAACCCATTCGCTATATATCAGTAAAAATTACATTAAAAAAAGCATTAATTCAAAAAGATTAAAAATATAAATGAAGTTGGTTACCTCGACTCTATCAAACATGTCATCAACTATCAAAGGCTCCCCACTGTAATAAGCATCCCGTGCCTAATCATTTCCAAGGACAAAAATTTTAATTAATTGGACTAAAATTGCTTAGTTGTTAAAATTAGAGAAAGTAATAAAAGTTTCTTACTTGGCGATAGAGAGCTTCTAAGGTTTCTTGACTGGCGGTTTCGATAGGGCCAACGAATATGCAAGAAGGACCCTCCTCCTTGGCGGTGGGGAAGCCCTGTGTCTTGGCCGAGAAACCCGAGACCCGAACCGAAAACGGAGGTTTGGTCCGGGATAAGGGTAGCTTTACGACGGTGGACCCGATCACGTGAGGTCTAATGGAATGGCACGTGCCGGCCATGAAACCGCCCCCAAAAAAAAGGTTGCTGCTATTTACAAACGCCGTTGTTAACCAAGCATGTGTGGAAATTGCTGGAAATGATTTTGTGGCCACTAAAAGGTAAGAACAATTCAATGATTTTTTAATTTGAGGGTTTGTGTTTATATATGTTGACGGTGGATTTAAGGTTGTGATTCGTTTTTGGGCGCGTAAATATCTGATTGGTTTGTTCTGATCTTCTGGCTGATATTTCCTCTTTGGTGATTGTTTCTGGCCCACTGGTTTTAGGTTCGGCCGAAAGAAAAAGACACGGTATGTCAGCTGGAGTCGAACGCCGATCTATTGTCATTCAAGCTATAGCTGGTACAGCATAGCCACATTAAATTTTATTTATTTTTATCATATTTTATATAAAAATTATATATTATAATTTATATAGTTATAAAAATATAAAATATAACTTTTTAATTTTATTAAATTTATATATAATTATTATTATAATTTTAAAATCATATTATTTTTTATTTTATTTTAATATTATATTTATATTATATTATTATATATTTTAAATTATTAAATTAAATAAATAAATATCTTAATCTTTGCACTACTATCGCTTATTTATTGTTACATGAAGATAATTCCTTACATATAAAATAAATTTATGGTGATATTTGGTATAGAATGATTACTCAAATAATCATGGTAATTCATATATGATAATTAAATTATCTTGTTTAGTAATCATTTAATAATTTTACGTAACGATGATTTTGAATCATCGAGAGTGATTAAATTATTACTTTTGAGAATGATTTAATTTCTATCCAAAAAGTGAGAAACTTTTTAATTCCTATCCAATGAGAAACTTTTTTTAATGAAATGATATATAAAATTAATAATAATCAATATTATTAATTTAATATGTTAATTAGAAACTTACTTCTATTTAAAATTAATTATTATTATTTTATATTTTAATTTTTATATTTTCAAATTAATATTCATTAGAACAAATTTTAAAATATTTCATAATTTTTTTATTTTTTAAAATTTATTTATAATATACTTTTTAAATTTTAATATATTAATTTTATTTTTAATTCAAATATTTTTTATATAATTTATACTATAAAAGTAGTTTACTATCAATAAATATATTTTTAATTTAATAATTTTATTTTATTTATTATGAAATAAATAAATATTACTAATATTTATATACAAATTATTATTTTTAAATAACATTAAAATCATTAACTTGTATAAATATTATAACATGGATTTATATTTGATGAACTGTTAGTATATAGATTTTATATATGATTAGTAAATAAAATGATACTATCTTATTGGTAAAGTGAATTAGACGATGCTACTTCATTAGTGAGTAAATTTTTTAAGAAATATTAATTTTTGTATATTTATTTTAACGATTGGTATTTATTCATTAATGAGATAATATTATTTAATTTACTGATAGTGTATAAAATTTATACACTGATAATGTATCAAATATAAACTCATTATACTAAATGCTACCTACAAGTTCCATTTTTTTTCATGTATAACTATTATAATATACATAATTATTTTTGTATTTTTAAATAAAATAATATTTAATTTTTAATAAACCAATCACAATTATCTTTAATTATTAAAAATTAATAATTCTTAATCAAATAAAATAATTCAGATCACAATTGATAAGATTACTTTGATAATTAAATTATCATGATGATTTTGAAAATAATACGACACGCTAACTACAAGTTCTTTTTTTTCTTTTCATAAAGAGAAGGATGATTCTTCCTCCTGTCGCTTTCTCCCCGAATTTACCTCCCCATTGAGCAAGATTTATATTGATGAGATTACCATAAACGTGTAAATTTAAAAACTGTTGTTACTTGTTATACGAATACACGATCATACATCAATGAAAGAGAACCTATTGAAAAGGAGTCACTACTCATCGAACAACACCAACCAGACAAAATGAAAGGAATGGACCTCATATATAACAATGATCTTCAACAAGTACATGTTCTAAATTGGTATTACTATTTACAATAATTAAAAGAAAATTCCTGTTTGTTTCTTCCTATAGTTTCTTTTTGCGAGTACTGACATTCACGAGTTAGATTAGAAGGAAAAGTTGGATCACATTCATGGACCCCTCCACCTGTTTCCCCAATGTAAATACTTTCAAGATTCATCTTCAGCACATTCACCTGCCACGTTTTCCGGGTTTGCTTGAGAAGAAAGGATCCCATTCATGGATTCCTAGTTTCCCAAATGTAAAATACTTCCAAGACTCTTCTTCATCGAGTTCAGAATTCACTTGTTTCCCTTCTCTCATTTGGTTCCTCACTGTCTCAACTCTGTCAATAACTCCCTTTACCGTGAGATCAAATGCATCTTCAGTTGTGTCCAATCTTGATGAGGGATCTGAATATATCACCTTTGGAATCAGCTTTATGATCTCCTCCCTCATAGCTACTCTTTTTTCTCTTGGGATTCTTTGCAATATTCTTTCAATATTGGCATTCCCAGATTTCACCTCACCTGCCGGTATCAGCACAGAATATTTAGTATAATCCTTGGGGAAATGCCATATATATTGAACATAAGCTGAACCTGGATGGAAGAAAACTGGAATGCAACCAGCCAAAATTGAATCAAATATTGACCTCCTAGTGTAGGAATCTCCTGGAGGTTGTAAACAGAACACAGAACTTTGAAACAACTTCATCAAATAAACTGGATTGTGGCACTTCTGGCTTTTATTACATTCAAGGAACCTACATTTCCTTCTTGAAGCTAGGCACTGATCGATAACTTCATCGCGGATAGACTCACGCAAGTTAGGCCTTCGTGCACCTGCAAAAGAGAACAAGTATCGCCTTTTCAGTCTTCTCATTCTGTTCTGCCATTGAAACACATCATCATCTCTTGAAGGATGAAAATATGTAGGATATGGTATCGCGAAGTCATTGTAGTTCCAGGGACTTGACTCAATTACTAACATGGTCATGTTCCTTGATTCAGCAAAATTCAGAAGCTCATTCCCCCAATCAGACTCATTTTTGGGGTCTCTCCTGAAATCCCAATTAATTCTTCCTGCAACCAAGAAATGGTCTCTACCCCACATCTTTTTCCATTCAGGTCTAGATGCAAGCCACTTGACAAGATTAACTGCGTCATAGTCTCTCATAAACCCATCAGGATCCCAAAGGTAGCGACCAACATCAAGGCCAGCATAATAAGGAACATAGATTGCTGAAGCTACCGATGGATCTTTGGTTAAGCACTTGTATTGCTTCATTCTGTTGTGGAAAATGACTTCCAATAAGAATTGGTTTGTAGCAAACCAGCCTGTTCTTGAATAAAGCTTTTCATTACTTGGAAGAGGGGCACCTAGGCCAAGGTTTGATGCGCACTCACACATATCTGTCCAGAAACTAAGCGTCCTGCAGTTGTCCAGTAAGTCTTGGTTAAATTTCTTGGGGAGATTATGAATATATATGTACCGCCCTGAACAGGAAGTAGAATCAGATCGAGCTCTTAGCACATTTTGTCTTCTTGGTTCCACAACAACCTTCTCTATTCTTTTCTCCATGACAGGATCAGATGAATCAACAGATTTATTCCTGTTTCTTCTCCTGGGACGATTGGCCCTGTCCCTTCTGCTCTTGACAATGGGAAATGAGTCAACAGTTCGATCCTCAGCATTCTCTTCCCTTCGTAGTTGGGAAACATTTTCAGTTCCTTTTTGTTTGGCCACTGCTTCCTTTCTTTTTCCTTTCATGGAAGATAGATCAATAGGTTTATCCTCATCCCTGGTATTAACCTCTTCCTTACTTAATTTATCTTCATTTTCTTTGCCAGAAATTGTCTCAACAGATTGAGTTTCATTATCTTCAGACATTAACGAAGCAATTACCTGATCAATTTCATCCCCATCATTATTGGCCTCTTCCACATTATCTCCGACATTAATATCTTTAACATGAGAAGAAGAATCTCCTGTTTCTTCTCTAACAACATCATGGAAAGACTCAGATGAATCTACAAAACCCATATGATGGTTCCCGAAGAAACTATCTCCTTTCTTGCTAAATGTAATAGATGAAGAATACAAGTAAAACAATGTGAACCACAAAAGAAAAGAGATCAAAACAATGTACCAGGACTGGGTTCGGCAGCGGCATTTGCCATTCATTGGTTTCTCCATTAACGCTTCACTGCTCATGGTTATATGATTCATGCAAAAACGCTTAGAATTAACCAAACGAAGAGATTGTGAACATGGACAAAAAATGAAGGGTGGTAGGGCAAAAGAATCTGGAAAGTCATGCAACGTTTGCTTGCAAAGCAATGAAGGAATTTTTTATAGGGAAAATGAGAGAGAATTGAATATGTTTGAACCATTCAAGATTTGTTGGTGCATTGAACTAAATGTTATTAAAGATAATTTTCTATAAAAAGAAAATTAGTTAGCTTTATTCTCAGTGTGACTTAATTAAAGGAGATCAACCTTCACAGTAAGAAAATTGGGGACCGATTTGCTACCGTTGGATCAAATTATTTCCAAACGAGATGATTTGTCTTATAGATCATTGATCAATCCTATTATTGTTTACATAATTTTTTAATTTATTTTTTGAATAGCATTATTATTCAATCGATTACATAATCATTTTTTTATTTTTATGGACTATATCTCGTCAAAATTATCAATTTTTTATTAAACTAATTCACTAATCATTTATTTTGATTCCTCTCCAATTCTTAACTCCTAAAGCACATAGCCTTTTATTCTTTTTATTTTTTGTAACTCCTCTTTCCCTATCTCCCAAGATCACAAAATCAACACAAAGATCTTCTAATCTAAGATCAACTCCAGTTGATCAATTCAACTTCATCATCATTCCCCAAGGAAACAACACAAAACAAACAAAAAAGAATTAAAAAAAAAAGAAAAGAAAAGGGGGGTTTCATTTGAGTGTTTCAGGGGAATTTAGAACTTGAGATTTGAAGGACAGGAAGGCTAGGATATGGGATGGGGGCACGTTGAGCAGTGGTGGCCTTTGGAGTAGCAAGGATTGATTTTTTTCCTGGTTTTTAGCAATGGGTTTCAATTATTAAAAATTTTAATAATTTAGTGAGCATTAAAAAAAGGATTTATATAGTTTGGTGACTGTTGGTGTATTTTACCACAAAAGAAAAGAAAAAATATCACATGAAAACTTAAAAAGCCTAGGCCTAACAAACTGTATAGTTCCCAAACCAGTAAAAGGGAGGATTTGTCTGAACTCTCAAACACGGAGAAGGAAGAGAAGAGAGAGTCGGTGTAATATCAGAATACCAAGCGAGCCTTGAAAAAAAAAAGGAAACAGATTCATTCACTCTCCAAAATACTAAAACGATATTGATTTGTTTCCACATTTGGAAGCCCCCTATAAGTTTTTTTCTCGTCATTGGTTCATCCCTTAACTAAAAACCAAACACAAGTATCCCAAAAGCGTGAAAAAGAATCCCCATACGTATATTCTTTGGCTCTGATGGTTTTTTGAGTGCAAAAAAGGTTTTTTTTTGGGTTTTTAGATTGGGATGGATTCTGGGATTGAAATTAAGGTGACGAATCCAAGTAAAGGAGACAATGTGGGGAATCCGGTGGGACCAGGTCATGCCACGTCAGCATCATCATCATCACCACCACCACCACCACCACAGCCATCCACGTCATCGCCGCTGCCTGATGGACGGCGGAGGCGGCAGCAGGAGCGGAGGCAGAGGCAGAGGCAAGGACAAGGGTTGATTGATTTTATGCCGTTTAAAAAGTGGGTGCCCTGGATGGTTCCAGGCTTTGTTTTGGCTAATGTAGTCCTTTTTGCAATAACCATGTTCATTAATGATTGCCCCAAGAACTCGGTTTCTTGTGTGGCAGGGTTCTTGGGAAGGTTCTCTTTTCAGCCTATGAAAGAAAACCCTCTCCTTGGCCCTTCTTCTTCTACGTAAGTCTCCCTCTCTCTCTCTCTCTCTCTCTGTGCATAAATATATCTTCTTTTATGATGTCTTTTAGAAAAATATAAGCTTTATAGGAGATCTTTGGGATCTTCTTTTTATAGAAATTTTGGATTGGTAAAGATTGCTGCCATATTTACTTTCTGTTTTGTTTTTTCTTATTTTGGGGCGTAGGGTTGTGTAAAATTTTTCATCTTTTATGATGTTTCTGCATTGCTTATATGTTGGTATTAAGGTTGATAACTTAGAAGATGAAATCATTGTCATAAGGTGGAACATGTAAAGTTAACTCACGCAAAAGCAGCTGTAGGGAAATTTCTGACATTTATTGTGCTGGAATGATCATTTATTTAGTATCTAGAGATTGATTTTGGGAAATTTAAAGTAGTAAGTGAACAAATTTGAAATTTGGATTGCCTAATATGGCTGTCAATTCCACAAATAAGCATAGCTTGATTATACAGATTGATATCTGAAATATGTGGTCATTCATGATTTATTATAGTCCACTTTTAGAAAGAAATTTAAGGTCAGTTATTACAATTTCTGCTTTAGATGTCTTGTTAGAAGATTATATAATAACTAAAAATTCTTAGGATGATCTCTTTTTCTCTGTATCCTGAAGCTGGTGAGTATGCTTTTCTGAAAAATGGTTTTCATAGTCATCTCTACATTTGGCTTATTTACTATTTTAGCTAGGAAAATATATTTGTATGGTATTGTTATGGTTGCTAAATACAAGTTCATGGCTGACCTTTCCTGATATGTTTTTGTTTCTTCAGATTAGAGAAAATGGGTGCTCTAGACGTGTCAAAAGTTGTCCATAGACATCAGGCATGGCGCCTGATTTCTTGTATATGGTTGCATGCAGGGGTTTTCCACATACTTGCCAATATGTTGAGTCTTGTATTCATCGGTATTCAGCTTGAGCAGGAATTTGGGTTTGGTATGCATCTTATTCCCAGCTTAAACTTTGTTACCTTTGATGACATCAACCTGTATGGGCATTTACTGCTTACCTTTGATATGCTCAGACAAGTGCTATGGATAGCACTTAGAGGTGCTTAATTTAAGCACAGTAGCACAAAGCCTGTCTGAGATGTAGTGCTTTCTTAAGGTCTTTTGATCTTCGTTGGAACATGTACACCATTAACTATAGCATAAATTATTATGCTGCTGTTTTGCATTCTGGGATAGTCTTGACCTGCAGAGCATTACTGCCACAATGACTTAGAAACTTTCTAAGTGCCCTTTCCTTTTCTTGAAATCAGCATTCTTCTAGGATAATAGGTAGAGAAGGATGGAAGTTGGGAAATAACATCCAAACTTGTTTTTGGAAATGCTTCCAATTTACCAACTGAAAATTTGTTTTACTAGTTTAAAGTAATTTAATCCTAAATTCCTCTTTGGGTATCTTTCTGCAGTGAGAATTGGGTTGCTTTATCTAATTGCTGGTTTTGGTGGGAGTTTGATGTCATCCCTTTTTGTTCAGACCGGTATATCAGTTGGTGCCTCTGGTGCACTTTTTGGTTTACTAGGAAGTATGCTTTCAGAACTCATCACAAATTGGACCCTATATGCAAATAAGGCACGTAAGATTGCACTGATATTTCATTCTTCAGAGTCTGTTACATCTGTGAGCAAATTCTTACAGTTTCAGTTTTCTATGTGCAGTTGGCAGCACTGTTGACTCTCATTTTGATTATTGTAATAAATCTAGCAATGGGAATCCTCCCACACGTGGATAACTTTGCTCATATGGGGGGATTTCTTTCTGGGTTTCTTCTTGGATTTGTGTTTCTGATCCGTCCCCAGTTTGGATATGTTAGTGAGAAACATGTTCCACGAGGATACATTGTAGCTTCTCGTAAACCTAAACACAAGCCATACCAGTATGTCCTCTGGATTATCTCTCTGATACTGTTGATTGTTGGGTAAGTACCTGGAGTCCTTTTCTTGAATTCATGAAACTTTGTGTATGATATATAAAAGCACGCATCTTGCTTGTCGAAATAGGCTATTGCCTTTGGAATGCATATGAATGACATTTAAACAGATTCTTCTCCCATGCTACTTGATTTCTGTGACCATTCATTTGTTCTGAACAATAATTACATGCATAACATAACCCATGTTTTTATGTATGAACAACTGGGAGTTTAATATACTGTTGCTGACGTACAATGATTGAGGGAAGACATCATTAATTGTCATGACTCATGAGTTAATGTGAATATGGTATAGTCTGACATGTTATCTTAACACAAATTTCATTATTTTTTTCTAGACTCACTGTTGGCCTAGTCCTTCTCCTTCGGGGCGTTAATTTGAATGATCACTGTTCTTGGTGTCATTATATGAGTTGCGTCCCTACCTCATTGTGGAGCTGCAAATCACAGCAAGTGTACTGTGAGGTGAGTGCTGATACTCCGTCTGTTTACTTATGCATTATCAGTTTAGTTTCTTAATCTTTGTTCATTCTCAACAAAAATTAAAGCATCACATATCTCAATCTATTCTTATAAACGGTCTTTCTTGAGATTTTTTATCATAAAAATATTTTTTTCTGATGCATGCTGAATCTCCACATTCATGTTTAACTGCCCTATTTAAAGTGAAAATACTTCCAAAAACATCACTTAACCGGTGCTCTCACGGCACTCATTAGTATTTGCTTTGTAATAAACATTTCTATGATGGCTTGTGAACAAAATGTATAACAAAAATTTTGGAGTATTACACAGCTCTCTTTCACCAATCTAACCTTTTCTTTTTATGAAGGTACTTGTCACCTATTACTTAGTTTAACTAATATTTTCTTGTTCACGATGACTCTGCATATTGCTGGAAAATGTGGACAACTAATATCTTCCATGGTTCCCTATATTCGTAGTTTATATAATTTGCTCACAAGTTGAAAAGTACACGTTATTCATTTATTCACTAATATTATTGCAGTCAATCCAATATGGGAATCAACTGAACTTAACTTGCATAAGCAATGGGAAAAGCAACATCTATACATTATCAGGTGAAAACTCTTCCCTCGTTCAGCGGCTATGTTCTAAGCTCTGCAGTTGACATACAAGCATGCATGGAGCAAGATTTATTTTTAGAAACATTTAAATTTCATTGCAGTTGTTAATTTCGAATTCGTTACATGTTCATTTTAAATATATCATATGAAAATATTTTTCCAATGATAAGTTTTCTTCTTAGAGTACTCATTAATTGTATCATTTATCAATGATCACTCATATTATTCCCTTACATGAAACTTGCAGTGTGATTGAAACACAAAAACTAGCCTAAGAGATAAAATAGTTAAACTATTTGCCAAAACACACAATTCCTTAAGGAATTCCAAAGTTTAATTCTTTGGAGTTGGAATTTTTTACTATATTTTTGTTTTACCTTTCTTCTACCTTCTCACCTTTTTTTCTAAATCTTTTTTGCCCTTGCCTTATTTTTGTTTCTTGTGAATTCTATGGAGTCTAGAGTTTTGAACCACCTTGGTACAATACAAGTTTCAGGATGAAAATTTGGGCTGGATCCTGAAATTTTGATTGGGATTGTAATGAGTTTTTAGCTGTCTTGTGGTTATTCATCAACAAGATCTGTTGAACTTGGACTGATTTGGTTTGGCCTATTGGAGTGTATGGTATATTTAGTCTTTGGGACCAAAAGCCCACAATCCTGGATCCCCCTCTCCTGGTATTCTATTTACAAAAATGGGTTTTCAATTTCATGCCCATTTTTTACATTAAAAAATGAAGAATTTGGAGAAAATATTTTTGGTTTTTTTTTTTAATAGGGAAAAGTTGTACTAATTGAATTTGTTAGGGAAGCTTTATTTGTACCTTTTTTTTAATAATTTCAAAAATTGCTTTCATTTACTCCCATTACCTATAGGGTGGCAATTGCATTTATGTATAGCATTAGTTAGGATCTGATGGTGAAGTGAAGCTTTTAATGAAGGATTTCTCAACAAGAAAATGGATGTGCCAAGGGCTTTGAATAGCCTCATCTTTCATAAATCAGTAGCAGTTGAGAAGAATAAATTGCTTTATATATCCAATCCACAATATTCTAATTCAAAACTATTTCAAATATTTTTTATGGTTACGAGCTTATTAACTTAGGGTTTAATCATAAAACGCAACTTCCAATACTCTCCCGAACGAAGCCTTAGTCTATAAAACATAAATAAATAGACTATGTTAATAAAGAAAATTATATGCATCATTACTTGGACAAGATAGATAAATAAGTTGTTACTCTGCCTATTCATTTGAAGTTATGGTTAATTCTAGAACTTGTTTATGGCTTTTTGTTCAATTTTCTAGCTTAAGTTGTTATTATCCTTTCATTAATCAATTTATCTTTTTTAATTATTTTAATCAAATTATAAGGATTTGGTCACAGAAAATTTTATCAGCTTGTAGCTTATCACTTTATTTTTTTAAAAAAAACAGCAATAGTATAAAAGCTCCTGTTTCTAATAGGGATATTTAACTTGGTTTAACAGTTACTCTAGTAACATCTAACATATTTAAAATTTAAATATTAATATTTATAATTTTTTTTATTCTTAAATTTCGACTTTCTTTGTTAAAAAAAAAAAAAAAAAACCTAAAGCTCCTCTTTGCGTTGGTTGTAACTTGATAAATTCTTAATAAAGAAAAAAAGTCATACAATAGTTATCTTTATATTTGTTAAAGTGATATTATTTTATATTTGTTAAGTATTATGTTTTCTATGATTTTATATTAAAGTTGAGTCTGTTCACTTATAATCAATTAATTTTAAGTTAAATGTTTAATATAATATTAAAATTAAGATTTTTTTAATTATTCTTTTCAAATTTATCACGTATTAAATTTCTTTCATTTTTAGTTATATATAATGAGAGTTTATTAAAGTGATGTTATACCACATTTGTTAAATATATAATTTTTTTATTTATATATACAAATTAGACTCTTCCATTTATTACCAAGTTGAATGTTCCTTTTTAAAATTGTTACGTTATTTTACACGTGATAAGGTTTATTAAAATAATATTATTTTACATATATTAAATATTTAATTTTTTATAATTTTATATTAAAAATTATTTTTTCACTTACTACTAATTAATTTTAAATTAAATACTTAACAATATTAATCTTGAATGTCACAAATTTACTTCTATATTTGTTAATGCTAGAATCAGAATCCAATGCTTATAGTTCCATTATGTACTGAATATTCTCCTAAGTAGTAAATAAGAAGAGAATGTGTAGATGAACATGAACTAGTGGCCAAAAATGCACCAAGTTCCCGTGTGGCCTTCTCTCCTTTAACACACGTATCTTCAATGTAACCACATATATACCCACTACCCGTTGTTCCAAATCCGACAAGGACATGTAAAAGACAGTCCCCTTAAATTTTGCACATGAACAATTCAACACGGTTCAAGCTTCCAGACGACTCAGAAGTACGATATGGCATTAAGTTTCTACCAAAAAAAAAAAGAGTACAATTTTATGTTTCTACTTGGTAGCTAGTTTGGCATTTGGCAAAGAAAAGGAATATGTGGCCATGATTTACTCCTAACTTATCCAAATGAAAAGGGACTATCAGGTTCTGATGCCAATGAAATTAGATAGAAAATCATGGTGGCTTGGAACATTATTGTTTATCTCCCCCATTATTGTTACCTTCCTTTCCTATCTAGCTATCATCCTCTCTCTTTCATTCCCTTTCATTCCCTACATTATCATTTCCCTTTTTGCTTTAGATAGCGAGGAGATCTTTGGCCCTTTTGAATATTAGGAGAGGTAGTTAAGTTAGTTGTTAGGGTAGTTGGTCTTTAAAAATAAAAAATATATATATTTTTTTACAATCATAAAAAAATAATTTTTTTAATGAATTCGTTAAATTTCGGATGCAATAAAATAATATATTGAATAAAATTCATAAACCTCTTTGTCACTTAAAATAATAAAAATATTGCAAAGAATCACAAAATTTGTACTTGTAAAGAAAAAGGAAAGGAATTGTGTAAGTGATAATATATGCATGGGGAAGTTAAATAGGAACAAAGAAAAGATCATAGACATGATGCCATTTTTGCTTGCTTGAGAAACATTAAAAGCTTTATTATTTATTCCCAGAGAGATTGCGTAAAGCTGAAAACTATCCCCTCAAGACATGCAGAGTTTCATTAAAATAGAATGCATGATTTTGGGGCAAAAAAAAAAAAATGGTCCCTACATCCAACCAACGGTTTGACAAAGACCAGGCAGGACTCTTAATGAGCCTGATCCTTTACATGCCAGCTTTGGGAAACACTTATTGCGCATGATCATTTTTGGTTTTAAAATTACAACCATTGGCAGTTGCTTCTAGTTTTTCAAGCAATTGAGTTTTTTGAAAGAAAATTTATGACATAATTCCATTGTTTTGGAACACAAATCAGATTAAGAACATGATGTTTACGTTGTCCCTGACATAATCAATGTGTTTAGAGATTTAAAATCAAATTGGCAACACAAGAAAGTTGATTAATCATAGTGCTTAAGTTGGCTTTAATAAGAGAAATGATATTTGGAACATGTTCCATGTGAACATAGAGTAAAGGCAAGGTCTGAATTTCCAAAAAGAAGATGACACCTTGCAGCTATTGCATGTGTGGTTGCAGTGACTAGTCATCGAGACTGGAGCAACAGCCAAAAGTTTAACAGGGAGCTCAAATCTTGTCCCTTCAATCATGTTATGGTCCTCTCTGAATAGAAGGACACCATTTATTATTTCCCAATTTGACCCATTTCATTGTTTCCCTTGATCCCAAATCTTCCATGCAATTTTATTTCAGAAAAAAAAAAAAGTCATTCCGATGTCCCATATTTGACAAATCTTTAACATGTTTGCTTAATGTCAAAGACTTGCAATGAACGTATAATAAAGTGTTTTTTAAATTGACAGACGTGTGAATCTATCTTATTCTTTTATGAACACAAAAAAAAGCTGAAAATGGGTCAAATTATATTTTCCATGATAGACTTACACAATCCATTTTTAAGCTATATCATATATCCATAGCTGATAAGGCTGTCAGTGAGGGTGAGTAATTGATCAAAAAATTTTAAATAATTGATCATAATGGAATTGATTAAAATTGATTTAATTTGATCGATTTGATTAAATTATTAAATTTTTATTTTTTTATTATAAAGAATTATTTAATTACAAATTCAATTCAAATTAAATTTAAATATCATTCAAATTAAATTATTGAAAAATTTAATAATTTTAATAATATTTTACAAAAAAAAAACTCATTTTAATTTTTTTATCTTTATTTTTTAAAAAATAATTAATCCGATTAATTCAATTATTAATTTTAAAAATAATAAATTAATTTAATTAATCAATTTAAAAAAATTAATTGTAACCAAAATCGCATAAACAAAATCAAATTAATCAAATTTACTCGATTTCGATATATTTAATCATTTCAAACCTACTTTTGTTTACCTATCTGTCGGATCCCCTTTTATGTAGTCAAACTGGCTTTAAAAAGCCGTGTGTCCCATTCCATTTTTAATCCAAGAAGTGCAAAACTTTGCTCCAGAAGAAAATCGGTCTCCGAGGCTGGCATTTTCTGCCCAAGTCCTCAACATTTGCATAATGCGGTCTTTTGCCTCATCAATGCACCCACTTACATATCTACGTACGCTTGTTAGCTGTACCCGGATTCACAGAATGTTCAACCCTCAAATTTTCTTACTGACTTCTAATGTTAACTCATCAAATTTACCATGGAAAGTTACCTTCCAATTCATCTCATTTAGCTAAAAAAAAAAATTAGTAAGTATGTCCTTGTTCTTTTTTGTTAACGATCGTCTCAAGAATACTTGTTAAAGTATGATTATGTTTATACTTACATTAAATGTAATAATTGATTGATAATTTATTAATTATATATATATTGAATGAAAATATCATTGTTGATACTAATTTTAAGGAATATTATCGTTATGGGCAGATTTAGGAGACATAAAAGGGCCATGGCTCTCCCAAAAAATTTCGATAATATTATAGTATAAAATTCGATCCCTTCTTAACTTGGTTCATTTTTTCAGTCTCTTCGACTGTTATGATATTCTTAATAGACTTATGGATACAACTTTGAGTCTTGAGACGTACCCTATTATTCTTAGTTTTTTTTTTTTTTTTGGGTGGAAAATTTCTATTGGAAATTAATGGGGGTTACATCGGGTGGGTCATGGTAGTCAAAATTAGACAAAAGAGATGATGCATCAAGGGTTTATTTTTACATGGGAAGATCACATGGAGTGAAAGGAGGATAGACAAGGATAGACAAGCTCAGCTGCTACAAGTAAGCATCCTAAATCCCCAATAACTTTACGCCCTTTCCCTTCTTCCTTATCTGATTTTTCTCATATATGTGTGACAAAGCATGTGAAATTACCCCCTTCAAATGTCCTTTTCAAGCTATCTTCTAAGGAATTGATCAAATAGGTTCCATGTGATCATACATTATATAATATATTAATATTGGCTATGATAAACATGAATCTTCCTCTAATATATACGAATATCCATGTATTGTCCAAGTATAAAATTACAAAACTTCAATAAATTAAAGGATATCAATAGTTGAAATAGTGATTGATGTTCATATATGCATTATTTGTTGATAGAATATTGAACTTTTAATTTTAGTGGTCGTAAAATTGTTTGACAATTTCGATAAAAAAATTATTTTTCAAAAGTTCTGAAAATGGAACGCTGAAAATTATGTATATATGCTTTTAAAGTGTTGTTGAATGTTGAATATAGAATTCCATTCTAAAGGGAATTTGAGCTGTTGACATCTATCTTTAATTAATACATGAATATGAGTAAGCAACAATAAACCAAAGGGGATGAAAAGGACATTTTGCAAGTAATGCAAATGAATTGCAATTGGCAACTGGCAATGTCACTAACCCAAGACCAAGGGCACCCCCAATTTCCAGCTGCCAAGGCTAAACTTCTGAGGCATCCACATGACCAAAAGAACATGCAATTTTACCTCATATCTAAGATAAAGCTAGCTGGTTGGTTGTGGAATGAGAAGAGATAACTCCATAATTAATAGAATTCAAAGTCATCAATGTGGAAATGGAAATCAAAGTCAGCTAAGTGGCATGTTTTCTAATATTATGAATTCCCACATAAACAATTCATGGTGTTAGTTAAAACAGTTTGGACCCATACATGACCTAAAACTTTAATATTTTCCCACTACTCAATACAAAGTGGCAACCCACCCCATAAGTCTTATCTTTTTCTTCTCATCACCTTTATTAATTAGTTTAATCTCTATGGTTGAGACATAAATTTCAAATACTTAGGTAGAAATACAATTGCTAAGATGTTTTACAATGTATATTACTATTTATGCCAAAAAATTAATTAATTAATTAGTAAATAAGGGGGCATGTAAGATGAAATTGTAACATGTAAGAAAAAAATTATATTAAACAGTTATTTTACATTAATATATATATATTTTTCATTCAAATCATGATACATAATTTCATTAATAGAAGAAATCAACCATTTATAAGATATGATTTCATAAGCTAATAATTGTGACATTTTTATTAATTTCTGTTGTTAATTAATTAGACTTTTGAAATTGTTTATTATAATTTATAAGCACAATAATACAAGTCAAGTCAAAATCCTTGATTTTCCAAATAATATTCAGATAAAAGAGCTTTAGGGCATCCAAAATGAAGATATTGGTGTGTTTTTAGCTCCATGGGGTTTGCTGTCCCTCAAATAATGAAACACTAATACACAAAATATATAATTACAAAAACTAACAACAAAAACAGAGTAATAGTTAATTAATTAACAAGTTAATCGTATCTTACATTGGAGATAAGAACAAGAGGAAATGGGTTTGGAAGCATATGATGTAAAATGCTTTACATTGGTAATTGACAAATAGAAAGATTATCAAAGAATAAAGAGGGTAATTAAATTAGTAAGCCGCACCAAATATTTTTTATAATCATTTGACTTAATTAAGACAAATGAATAAGTTCTTTAGCAAAAAAAAAAATTTACTTTTTTTTTTAAATTGTGTTTTAAATGAAAAAATATAAGGAAAAAAGAGATGGATAATTTTTTTAAAAGTAGAATGGTGAGTAATTACTTTGTGTTTAGTGAAAAACATAAATATTTTTTAATTTTGTTGAGTTTTTATGTATATTTTTAAAATTAATTGATATTACAAGTCAAAATTATGGTCCAAAATAACAAATTTTATAAAAAAAATCTATAATTTGAGTGCCCTAATAAGCTTTTTTTACCCAAAAAGAAGTGGCAGTCAATAAAGAATCTCAAGTGCAATTGCTTTTTCTTTTTTTTTTTTTTTGTTTTATCCTTTTTTTTTTTTTTGCATTTTGACTTTGGTGAAAGCAAATGAATCAAGAAAAAATGATTAGCAATCACATGGGAGGGGGACTGTGCGAGTGGGAAGCACGCTCTAGCGGACGCAATGATGAATCCCAATGTCAGGCGTGGTCCCCTGTAGCTGTTAGCATCAATTCCATCAATATTTTCCGTATATTACGTGGACAAATATGATTGATCGACGTAAATAACGTAGATCTTAAAAATGGGATGTTTTTGTGGCATGCACATGGTTAGAGAGAAAATAGTAAGATTCATGGGATGTTGTCATGTTTTACGATAAATGACAAATGGGCCGCCTCACCTCTTGAGCGGTAATCTTCACGCGTCCCTCACTTTTCACCCAAATTCGCCTCCCATTGTTTTTGCATGCCACCCATCCTTTTTCTACTTTATTTTACTCCAAAATTTTCTTTATTGATTTTTTTTTTTAAGTTGAAAATGGAAGTTTATTTTTGCCTTTTTTTGTAATTTTTCAAAAGAAAATCACAATCCTTTTTCTCATCGGCAACTTGTGATTAGGTCAAAAACAATATGCCTGGACTTTAATATTTTTAAATTTCCACTTTTTTTTTGATAAATGAGGTTTTTATTATTATTTGAATTTTAAATGTTTTATCAATATTATTATTTTATTTATCATTATGGTTTAATTAATACTTTTTTCATCGTCCCATTTTGCTTATATTTATTTAACTTTCACAAAATTAAAATTTTTTTTGACTCCAATGTATAAAAAAATGTGTAGCGAATTGAGTAGAGTCAAGCTTTTTAATTATATTTAGCATAATAAAACATGCCAAAATAATTAACATTTTCCATTTAAACAAAATAGAGTTGAAATTTGATCATACTTTGACTATAATTACTTTGATGCATATGCATACCAACTTTGAAAGATGTAAGCCTCTTTATATTATTTTTAGATTACAAATCTTAAATATTGATCAATTGAGTTTGTTCATTGATCTAAACTTGAATGTTCAAAAAGCATTACCTTAATCTTCTCGAAACATTCAAGTAAAGTTAAATCGTCAACCTATAGATTAGTAATAACCATATTTTCTTCAATTATTCTTTAAATTAAACCATAGTCAAACTTTCACGTATAAATAATAAAATAAAATATTTCATTCAAATAGTTTGATCGATTCAATTTATGCTTAACTTAATTTTTTTTTATTGAAATCCAACTTTTAAACATTGTCAAAGATTCACTTAAAATTTTAATAAAAAGACAAATCTTTCATTCAATTTGCTTATATCAATTCAAATTATGCCCAACTTAATCTTTTTGCACAAATACAACTTGTAAATATATTTTTGCAAAAAGTAATGATTAAAGGTATTTTCGTTTCATGCCTTTGTAACCTAATAAAGTAAATGAATTGACACAGCTCGTAGCTCAACGCGCATGTTGATTAAAATATAACAATAAAAATTAATTAAAAAAATTAAAGTTAATGAAAAAAAGACATGGCGTGGAGAGTAGAAATCAAGTGTGGGCGCGAGTGGCTTGAGATTGGGTGAAGGTGCCCCCACTTACAGTTAAAGGCTAGCGGTTTATATGGCCCGATGATTGCGGGATTCAGTGGGTCCCAGTCTCCCCACGTTGGATGCTTTTGCTTGGCTTTGGTAAGTAGTGTCTTCTGGTTGGCTTAGATTTTTGCTTCCCTCCATTAGGATCTGATTGGGTTTTAGCTTTGATCCTTGTCATACCCAAACAATCTTTTGTGGGTCCTATCTTGTCATCAAATCACAGCCGTTGATCTGGCTTCTTTTTATTTTTGCAATATAAGCACAGGCACATATATTTTCAAGCTTGTATAAAATTTTTTTTAAACTATATTTAAATGAAATTTTAATTTATACATTTAAGATTTTATTCTTAAAAGATTTATCAAATTTAATTCAAAAATTATATTTATCCTTAATTTGTACTCTACATGAAGCTTCTTGCTTTACAAAATTTTCTTATTTGCTAAAAATTAATGATGCAAATTAACCCTAAAAGCTCGTATAAAGAAGTGATGTTTGCTGCTTAAATGAGATAATCGTTTCATAATTTTCTTTTAGGTTTAATATAAATAAAGGAATTAAAAAAACAAGATTAAAAAAATTAATTTATTTTTCTTCCCAGAAATTGCCCTTGGACTTATCGGATTGCTTTTTTGATGTCACGTAACCTCAGCGTGAGACGCAGTGGCATTCCGGGGGTAGTAAAGTCAGCTCATGTTAAAAAAAAGTGAGAGCGTTATTTACTTGGTTTTTATTTATTTATTTATTTCCTGTTTTTAGATTTTTTTTTTTAAGTACGACAAATCACGTGATTCCACCTACCAACACGCAATTTACAGCCGGGCAAAAATAATATAATAATACAAAGAATTTAATAATAAAAGACAATTTTAAGTATATTTAAAATGGCAACAATATTTTTTTTTAATACTAATAAGTACATAAAATCTTTTATTTAGGAGTTGAGTTTGAATTTTTTTAAAACAAAATAACTTTCAACATGGTGATTATTAAAAGGAACGCTTACAATAAGTTTCAAAAAAATATATTGTATTTTTTTGGTAGAAAAAGAGTTTGGTTTCTCACAAAAGCAACATTAATGATGATTTGTTTGAATTTTCCGAATAGTGGGCCTCTATCCGTCCATAGACCTTCCTCTTTAAATGCCCCCCTCCCTCCCTCCCTTGCCCTTAACTCTCACCCCCCACCTTCCCTTTCCCTTTCCCTTTCTCTTTCTCCTTTTTGGAAAAATAGAGTTGATTTAGTAGTTTGAGAAGGAAAAAAGAAAAATGGCTGTGGTGAGTGTGGTATGCGTTGTGCTGTTTATCTCCTCAATGTGGATGGCTGAAGCTAGAATTCCAGGAGTTTACTCTGGTGGAGCATGGCAAAGTGCCCATGCTACCTTCTATGGAGGTGCTGATGCTTCTGGCACCATGGGTATGTCTCAACTTCTTCTCTTTCACAGTTATTTCTGACTGTCCAACTACATTATTCCTTTGGACGACATTTTGGCTTTCATGTATCACAAATCCTCCCTAGTGCTACCAATAAAGGGCAACTTTTTACCCTGCATTAATGGAAAAGCTATGAAATTTCCCTCATTATCAAAAACCCAACTCTTCATTTCACATTTAACACTTAAAATTAACCACCAACTCAGCTACATTACCTTCACTTCCCCACTAATTATCTTCTTTTTTCTTTAATAATTGTTGCAGGAGGAGCTTGTGGGTATGGAAACTTATACAGCCAAGGGTATGGAGTTAACACGGCAGCGTTGAGCACAGCATTGTTCAACAATGGCTTGAGCTGCGGTGCTTGCTTTGAGATCAAGTGTGCAAGTGATCCAAAGTGGTGCCATTCAGGAAGCCCTTCCATCTTCATCACAGCAACCAACTTCTGCCCACCAAACTATGCTCTTCCAAACGACAATGGCGGTTGGTGCAACCCTCCTCGCCCTCACTTCGACCTTGCCATGCCCATGTTCCTCAAGATTGCAGAGTACCATGCCGGCATTGTTCCCGTTTCCTACCGCCGGTATGTGCTCTGTTTCCCTCTGTTCCCTTCTCTGCTTTATTAAAAATGTTGTTTTCATTACCTTTTAAGAGTCAAATCAACTAAAGCACGTATTTTATACGGTAGAAACAAGAAAATTACTTTTAATCAATAATTATGCTTTAAAATGTGGTGATAACTTCTTTCTTGTGTAGGCAGTTCATTTATTTTGTTTTATAAGGGGGTTTGGTGCTTTGATTTGAGCATTATATCCGTTAATTTCATTTTTAAATACGATTATATGAACTAATTTAATTAAATTTCGGATTATAATTCTATTGTTTATTTCATTTGTTAGTAAATTAATCTAGAAGCATAGTGTTAGATGTGGGTAATAATTCTGATGCAAATGGTTCGAATCTGTTGAGGTCTGTGTCAGAGGATTTACTATCTTTGGTCATTTCAGATTTACCAAAATACCCATCAAACCCAAACTGACAGGACAGCACGGTCCCCAAAGTACTGTTTTTTTCCAGCCTTACTTCCTGTTTTGTTGACCAGATCTTTGTTCCACTTCAACACCAGCAATCACGCTCCGCGGTTTCATGCTAGCATTGTTCTTAAAGGAATAAATGACATTATGGTTGTGATATAATTACGCAGGGTGCCATGCCGGAAGAGGGGAGGGATCAGGTTCACAATCAACGGTTTCCGTTACTTCAACTTGGTTTTGATCTCCAACGTGGCGGGTGCAGGGGATATCGTGAAGGTTAGCGTGAAAGGACCAAGGACTGGTTGGATGAGCATGAGCCGAAACTGGGGTCAGAACTGGCAGTCAAACGCTGTTCTGGTTGGTCAGTCACTCTCATTCAGGGTCACAGGGAGTGACAGACGCACTTCCACCTCTTGGAACATCGTCCCCGCCCATTGGCAGTTCGGTCAAACATTCACTGGAAAGAATTTCAGAGTTTGATGATTCCACGTGAGAGGAAAAAAGAAAAGAAAAAGAAATTATTAACCCCATAAGTTAAAAAAAAAAAAGAAAAAGTAAGCGGTTAAAAACAATTGAAGTTTCCCGCCATAATCCATCTCCATTTTTACCCTTGATGGCGCCAACATTTATTTTTAGGGTGATGTTTCTTTTTGACCAATTGGGTTGATTTTTCTTTTTGGTTCTGACTTTTGGATTGGTGGGTTTGTTTTGTTGTGTGAAGTAGTAGTAATAATAGTAATAGTTCTCTTTTGTTTTAGGGTTAAGAGAGAAGGAGAAAGTGTTGGGGAAGGGCTGAGGCGGCTGAAAAAAAATATAGCCCGCAGCCTAAGTAATAAAATTTTGTGTTACTAGCTTATACATTCTGATTATATATATATATATGGGAAGTGTATTGTAGTAACTTTATAGTTGAATTAAAATATATATATTTGGTTTGTTTCTTATGTTTCCTAATACTATCTTTCTATCAAGAATAACCTTTCCATATGTATATCATAACTTCAAATTTTTAACGAGTTATTGGTAAAGCGATGAACTATTACCTTTTGATCAAGGAAAAAGAAATTTTTCATCATGCTTGATGTTAGCACGCTTTCTTTGAATGCCCTATATATCTATGCAATTGAGAATTCAATGTTAAGAGCCATCTATCTGAATTAAGGGTAACAATCCAGATGCTGGTCAGCCCTCATTTTCACCTAAAGGTATAATGTAAAGCTAATGGCTTGAAAGTACGAGTATCATGGCTTCAGTTTCTGCTGTTGTTGTTTTCTCTGATTTTACTGGTGAAAGTATAGATAAGAAACAAAATCAACTATTTGGGATATGGGAATGTTCCGAGGTTGCGAGATTTTCAGTGTTTATCCAAATGAAGCTTCCCTCTTTTTAACCTGTTGGGGCAGCAAACAGTGGGGTTTTACAAAATTTTATCCTCCTTAGAATGGAAGTAAAAGGTAATGTATTTTTGGATAGAATTATAAAGCATTGATATTGTTCTCTCTTACCAACTCCTGCCACTTAGTGGGGGGTGGGGCGGAAATTTCCTGTTCGTTTCCAAAAGCAATGGAATCTTACTTTTTGAAATTGTGATTTTTATTCGCACAATGTTGTTTCAATTAGTTTTCTTTTTCGTTACACGAAATTACTATCTAATTATTTTTTAATTAAAAGAAAAAATTAAAAATTAAAATAAAAGTTTTCCTTCCAAATTGATATCTTGAATTTGAAGACTTCACAGAATCATCAGCATCAAAATTAAAACAAACCATGACCACGTCACTTCATTTCGCACCGACATCTATAAAAATATATTTGATAATTTAAAATATTATATAATAATATTATATAAAAATAATATTAAAAATTTTAAAGATAACAGAATTTAAAATTTTAATAAAAATCATAAATTTAATAAAGAAATAAAAATATATTTTTTAATTTTATATTTATATAAATTATGATACATAATTTTTATATAAAAAATAATATAAACATATAAATTATTAATATTTATCAATAAATGATTGATTTAATCGAATAAAATCGTTTTTTTCGACGAAAAAACTTTTGGTTCAAATTTTGCTGATGATTATTTTTTGAGGTCATTTTAAATGTATAATTTACTTTAATATGAAAAATTAAACAGTTTATTTACTTTTACATTCTCTTAAAAATATATATATATATATTAATATTTTATATGTTATAAAAACACGGATTATCACGCATATATAAAGCTCACTCCTATGAGTTTTGTCTGATATTTGAAACTTTACATACACGATCAGACAGCTTTGTTTGTACGCACCAGAGGATTTCAACGAAACAAAATCAATTTTTTTTTACCAGCAAACCTTGTTCAATGAAGATCCTAACTAATTAGGCCTGTTCGCAAACTTCTTTGTTAGGAAGGGGTCACTATCCTCTCGTTGTATGATCCAATATCATGTTCAGATCTCATTGGAATCTAAAACTATCCGTTAAAAAGAGTAAGATTTTTTTTGGACTTACTGAAGGAATGAAACCAAAAAAAAAAAAAACCTTTATTTCTTTCAAGCAGTATAAAGGAAAATTACAAGTAACAAAATGTTGGCCAATAATTCCGTAATCCGTATTCGGAGGTCACATCAGAAGAAGGTCCAATGCATTTACCAAATTTGCTTGAGCACATGGGCTGTGGGCCTTTTGGCCTATACACATGTGAGTTTGGTGGAACTTGTTCTTTCTCTCTTTTTTTGTTGGTTATGTGAGGGAGAAATATCTTTGGATTCCTATTCTATTTAACCTTAAAAAGGAAAAAGCAAAGGTAGGGGCCTTGGACTCCTTTGTTCTTATTTCCTTTCTTCTGGTTTGGCCCTGGCTAGCTGGCTGGCTGGTTGGTGGGCTCCCTTGCTCTAAATTCGTTTCACATTAGAGGAAGAGTTTAATAATCCTTCCTTTAATGATTTCTGCTATGATATGGTAACATGGGTATTGAATAAAGATAAAGTAAAATCATGTCAAATGAAGAATAGGAATAGAGCAACTGGAAACTGACTAAGTATTGGGCCACACTCATTTTTAACCCATGGATTGGACTACCAAGATTCACCAGCATGCTAATTTCAATCAAGTCAGATCAGCCTAAGATTATGCTGAAATTGTGGAAGAATTACAGCGTGAACGCATTCTCTTTCACTGTAAATGAAATTATGTAGAAATATTTAGTGTCTCCTTCGCTTATGCAGTTTCCATTGCTTCAGCAAATGCTCAACTCCCTCTGTTATTTTTGCCTTCCTCCCTCCATTGAAATTCCATAGTTCTGGTACTATGTACCTACCACTTGGATTGTGCTCATTCATCTCTGCCAAGGCGGTTGTCACGGGGTGTATACTTCATCACCAAGCTCAGTCTTAATGGCAATCAATTTTTCATCTTCCTCATCAAGTATTTCCTGTAAAATCACATTTTGCATGAATACTTCACAGTCAATGGGGAAAGGGTGTAAAAAGGAAGCCACATAATTTTAGCATTAGAAGGATAAAAGTATACCACAGGAGCAAGGCAACTAGGCAAGTTAAATAGTAGGGAACTGGAGCAAGATAGAGAATGGACTAAACATTGGAAGGCAAGAGCAATGAACTGACCATTTCTATGTTGTTACACCTTGAACAGACATGAGAACAAGATAAGCAGATAATGATAGTGAAGCAACATTGCTTAGAGGGGAAATATGAATTATTACAAAGCACGTGTATGCCAACAGAAGATTTGGCTAATAGACACATATACCTTAGCATTTCCTTCCTTGTCTGTGAGTATCTTAAAAGGATGCCAGCTAGGATCTCGAAGGTGCTCCTGCCACAGTGAACATAGCTCTGCTGCTTTCTCATCAGCTTCTACAGCTGAGTATTTGTTCTCGGTTGCAGTCTGGAAGGGTTTAATGTCCAACTCTCCCATTCTCTTGACACTAATAGAAGCACGGGTACGGGTGGAAGCATCTTTCAAACTCTGTGAAACAAGGAAATTAGTCTCTCCAAATCTTATCAACATTATAAATAGACGTTATTCAGATTACAAGCATGAAAAAAAAAAAACATGTTTTAATCATTACAAATGAAATTGGGGAAAATAATGGAAACTAGAAGCTACATAAATCTCTAGCGAAATTCACAGACAAGATATATATATTGAGAAGCGACTTCTAAATGTCCTATCTTCTTCTAATTGGATGCATGGCAAGTTGATACATGTAAGTTCTCCATCTAATTGGATGTGCATCCACCATTTATTGAGTAAGCAATGCATATGGACAGCCTTACTTTAAACTAATGCAGCCCCTGCAAGCACTCATCGTTTTTTCTGTAACAGAATTAGCAGATTTTTTTTTGTAGCTTGTTGTTGTCTTCTTATAATTGATCATGATGAACTAGCCCAACACACACAACTGATCCAATATCTTACACATACTATACTGATCAGACATGAGAAACAAAAGAGTGTTATAGATCAAGAGAAAAGAAAAGGGGAATATAAGAGACACTTAGTGATTAGCTCCTTTCGAGCACCCTGTAATTCATCATTGATTTTGCGTTCCTTGACAATAAGAGCTTGATTAAGCTCCTCCACGCCGTCCAGTTCTTCTTCCTTCTCTTTTAGTTCTTCTTGCATTGCCTCCATCTTTCTCTTCATTTCCATATCTTCATCCCCTTCTATGTGCTGCATTATTGTAAACCTCCTTTCAAACGCTGTATCTCCAGCTCCAGTGCTTGTTTAGCATCAAGTCGCTTTTTTAGCTCAATGATTTTTCTATGAAGTTTCTCTTTTTCCCTCTGACATTGGAGGTAAATAAGAAATAAATGAAAAGTTTCTAGAATTTGTAGATAGTTTACCACTATTTTAGATAGTACTAAATAGGAGGAAAGGAAATATACTTTCTGCTCTTCTGCCAGTTTTAACATACTTTCATCTGCCTTCTTTTGCTCCAAGGTTGCCTTCTCATTCTGCAAAGGACTAAAGGGGATGCTAGAATAATAATACATATTTTGATCACTAATATCCTAATGTAAACACTCTTAATATATCTGTTATACTAAATAAAAGGTGCGTAAGGTACTGGCTCTTAGTATTTTAAGTCAAAAGCACATTCAATAAAAATATATTCAGATATAAAGGAACATGATATGTTCGCTAAATTATTTGTTTTTTTTTATCCTACTCAAGCTGTGCATGCAAATCAGCTCACCATGAACAAATCATGGTTTAAGCTAAAATTGCAAATACGAAATTTTAAGGAACAAAAAAACGCAATGCAGCATTACTTACCATGATCTTCTCATGCCGAAGTTTTCTTGTCTCAGCCTCATTTTGAGCCTTGCGTTGGAAAAATTCCTTCTCACGCTGCTCTGATAATCTTTTCTGTTTATATAGATGCTGTGGGAAATTCTCGGGATCTAAAGAAATCTTCTTAAAATAATCATGAGCATTCTGCTGCATCTTTTTAGTCTCTACACTTTATATATCATAAGCCATTAGAAACTAGAATTTCATTAGTTTAATTTAAATCCATTTCAGAAATTAAGATTGTAGCAAACCTTCATTATAGGCTTTGATCATCTCATCCTTCTGCGCCATCAATATACTAATCGATTGACTCACCTCATTATATTTGTTCTGCATTTCCTTAAGGCATAGGCTCTTGGTCTCCAAGGAGTTGCTAGGTTGTCAACACTTTTTCCTTTATCTCAGGAACATAGGCTCATTTTACAAGATAGTCAATCTCTGAATAAAGGACTTGTTGCTAATGAGTAATCCTTCTTCCCACAATTCTCCATTTCGAAGCTCTTCTCAAACATGATGGCATTATTAAATCCATCCCACTCCTTATTGAACTCCACTATGGCAAATACCGAATGACCATCTCGGTTCCAAAGAGGATGAACCCTCAATGGATTAAATCCCTTTTCTGTCAAATTCTCCCGCAGTTTCCTTCCACTTTCCCCTACATGCATTCCATCTTGCACTGTTGTTGGAATATTGGCAATGATGCCCGTCCACGGAAAAACAAACATCTGATCATCACAAAGAGACATCTTTTAAGTTTGTAAACAGCTCGAAAGTTTATGCTGATACGATGCAGGATAATGACAAAATCCAATAATTCCACAAAACCCTTAGCAAGAAAAAACCCTTATAAACTGTCAAAAGAAACAGAGAATAACAGTTTAATAATTCCTTAAAAGCCTTACATATTTCAAAAGATTACGCAATAGAAGAAAGTGAAAAGTTTTATAATAAAAGGCAAAGCATCATACAACTCTTTGAACTGTCCAAACCATTTCAAGGACTTAGTTTCCTAGAAACCGAACAGACAATCAACATGAAATTTAAAAATCAAGTAGCAAAAGAACCTTTAAATACAGAAAAGGAACCACATTCAGCAAACAAAGATATATCATATATGATATGTATAAGCAAAACATCTATAGAATCGTACATATGAAACATATGAATCATCTAGAAACCTAAATCCAGTTGTCTTCTTATTACAAACAAGTATTTAACAGCCAAATTAAACCCCAAAGGAACAAACCAAACAGAGAATCAACATGGAAACTCCCCCTGTTTGGTTGATAGGCAGAGAATATGAATGTAAATGAAACAAAGGAACCAACAGCTAATACGTACACAACAGAAAAATCATCGAAAAGATAAATTTAAAAAAAAAAAAAACGAAAAGCACACGAATATTCGATCATTCTACATTAACATTTTCCTTTCTATTTTCCTCACTTTCTCGTTAAAGCTAAACAGAACAAACATATATATATATATATATATATATATACAAACACGCACACACACATACATACCGCATGCAAAATACAAACGTCCCCCTTTGAATAAAAGAAAAAAAAAGCAACAAAGAAAGACGAGACGACTTGTTTTGGAAACTTTGGCGGGAGGCTTGAAAACCGATCACCGTCGTCGCAGCACCACCGTGAAAAAGAGGAAAATTTAAAATCTAAGTTTTGAAAAAAAAAAGTAATGGAAATTAAATTTAAAAGAAAAAAAAAATGAAGAGAGAAATAGAGTCGCGCTTAGCAAATTATAAGAAAGTCGATGTCCTACAACTATTGCAAAAAAGTTAGTAACAAACTGGTCGTTTCAATTTGCCTCGTGTTTTTTCTTTTTTTTTACCTAAAAATTTGAATAACAAGAAAGACGTCTTCGCGTGTGTAAGACAAAGAGTGTACTCGCGAAAAGCCATTGGATCTGGTTTGATGAACATCGATGGGCAGTATGAAATAGCGAGTGGGGATTGTGTATGTCAGATAGGCGTTTGGTTCATGGTGGGATGATACAGTGGGTCTATAGAAGAACGTGGAAGTTGGAGTATGGATATTATGCAAGCTGACAGTTGGCAAGAAAATCGCAGGATTTTGATTTTTTCACAATAACGGTCTATTTTTGGAGTGTTTTTAACTTAAAAAAAAGTAATTATAAATATTAAGATCGTATTTAATATAAGATTATAATAAAATAAAATAATATTATATTATAAATAAAATAAAATAAAATAATATTATTTTATCTTATATTTGATATATACAAAATTTAAAATAAAATAATTTATTTATTAATCAAAATTATTTTTTAAAAATTTATATAATTTAAATTATTAATATAATTTTTAAGAGTATAATAAGATATATAAATTTAATTTAAAAATTAAAAATAATTTTTTTACTTTAAAAAAATTAAATCATCTTATACTAAAATAATGATAATTTTTTTATAATTATATTTTTTAAATATAAATCAAGTATAATATAGATGATTATCATTTTATTTTATTCATTATTTTATACATCAAACATAATTTAAAAATTTTATACCTAACAGTAAAATACAATTACATCCCAAAAATCAACCAAAAATTATTGAAATTTTATTTGGATGTCAAGAATAGGGCACAATTTGATTTCCTTTTCGTTTGGTCATTGACCATTTTTTGTCCTAGAGCTTTAACCCTAATACTTTACTCTCTGAATTAACAAGCCTTAAATACAAGTAAATTGTGCGCAACAAAAGGCCCATTCACCTTTGGGCTTAACTAGAGAAATCCAATACGACAATATATATTTTGAATGACCCTAAAAGAAAAAGGGCAAAAAAAAAAAAAAGAGTGGTTACATACAAGTAAGCTTCTTTCTCATTACTTAACCCTCGACCACACTGCTTCATCGATCATAAAAGGGTGAATTTGTGGCTTAAGTGAAGAATAAGATAGATTGCTGTTTTATTCATTAATTAAATATATACAAATTTCAAACCTGGATGGAACATTTTCAATTGTTTTTTAAATTAAAGATGATCCGAAAATAAGAAAATGAGTTGCAAGCATTTAAATTTGAATTTTAAATCTATTAAATATTATTTAAAATTATATGAACCATCTAAATTATATTTTAATTAATATTATCAATTGTGCTTCCTTTCGTCAAATTTCGTATGAAGACAGAATATATGCACGTTAATTTGGATAATTAGAAAAAGACAGCATATATACATTCTGATATACTACTATATATGAGCAGACATTATTTTCTTCCAACGATCAAGTTGCAAGAGTGTGGACAAAACATTTAAACAAACAAAGAAACAAGTGCAAAAACATATCGTTGGTAGTTGGTACATCGATCTCCAAGTGATTGATCTTCCATTTTTAGCGTCTAAGAAATTAGGAATTTGATCCAATCACCCTTCCTCAAGTACCCCGACATGGGCGTACCTCTACTATATTACAGCATCAAACTTATCCAAGAACAAAAGCATGCATGCATGCATGCATTAGCAACAACATGTTCAATGTGCAAGACCAAGACCAAAAGAAAAACAAAACCCGATAGGGCGAGAGCGGCTACTTGGCACACTAGGGTGTTTCACCAAAATGGGAATAGTGGGTTACCATTACCTTGGTTCGCCATGAAAGTGACTCATCCTCTCGGGTCCTTTGACGATCAAATGCCGCAACCGTGATTTTGGGGTTGTGGGGGAGGAATAATCGCACACCTTCTTGGCCCAGTATAAAAATATTCGCCCACTGCCCTCGAAGCCATCTGCCCTTTTTTCAATTTTTATACAAGGAAAGAATCATGAGGACAGACAGCTATTTGTACAAACTTGCAAATTTGATCCAATTCATTGTTTCAATATTGTATAAATTTAAGAATACGGGTCCAAATATTAGGATTTTTTTTTTTTTAATCTTTAGTAACTATATATATTGAGTAAATTTTCTAAGATAGTGCCTTTTTTGAATTGCTTTTTGTACGGTTAATAGTGTTGAATTGTTAATATTGAAAGTCAATAAAGAACCATTGTTTACACTTGTTGTCCATTGTGTCCTATAAATGTGGCACCACCTTTCACGACCTAGTACTGCAACCATTAGCTACCCATCTCTCGCTAAGTTGTCTCTCCTAGTGTGCGAGGCGTACAATGGCCGGTGTGTGGATATTTGACAAGAATGGTGTGGCTCGCTTGATATCCAATCCAACCAGAGAATCCTTTGAGGAAAAGCATCCAACTTATCCAGGTACATCTACCGCACCAGGGGCTCGACCTCGGCTCCTAGTCTACCTCCCAACCAACCAAGTGATCCGCTCCTACTCCGAACTCGAGCAGCGTCTGGCTGAGATTGGTTGGACTCGCTACAACAACTCCAGCCAACCAGACCTTCTCCAATTCCACAAATCAGAAAACTCAGCTCACCTCATTTCCCTCCCAAAGAATTTCGCCAACCTCAGGTCCTTACATATGTACGACATTGTCGTCAAGAACCGCTCTTTCTTTGAAGTACGTGACCCCTCAGTGACATGACATTGTGATTGCTCCACGACATCAAAGTTCAAACGCAAAGTATACAGAAACATCGATGTTTGGTTATTCAACAGACCCCATAGCCTGGACAAAGTGATTTGTGCAGCGAAATAGTTAAAGAATAGCCGACTGCTAGAATCCATCTGTAAGAGATTCCTAGTTACGTTTAAGGATAAAAAGAAAAAGAAAAAGTAGAAAAAGAGGGATGTTGGTTCTTTCTTAACTGTTTTAGTATGCTAAATCTAGTGCCATGTGCCTCAAGGTATATATGATCTCTAGATAATAGGTCCGATTCCAATGAGATGAGAACTTTGAACAAATTAAAAAGTTGTTCATGTTAAGTGGTTTGAACGACTGATGCTTGGTTCTAGTTTTGCGTAATGTTGTTGTTTGTTCAAACTTTCTTTGATCTGATTCCTTCTGCTTTCTCATTTCGATTTGCCTTCTGTTTTTCTAATTTTCTTTTTGTGTAACAAAGCTCACTTTTCTCTGTGTGCATATATGGTTTTTGTTTGATATTGCATGCATGTGAATGTGATGGGTACTGCACTACTGCTGTGATTAATTAGTATCTTTAATTACTGATTCAGTCCCTGTAACTCTATACGACTGAGATCAATGGTCTAACAGTATAACTGGTCAACGCTCGACAGTACTCAAGAATGATCAATTATGTATATATAGCAGATGTAATTAGGTCTCTAAATTTTCCTTCTAAAGTTACTTTTTGTGCAAATTAATAGGATGACAATCGCAGTTTATGATTAATTTGTTCATGAACAACTAGACCTAAAATTAATGGGTTTCGATCCCTGTTGGATCCTCTTGTTAAAAAATTGCATAAGAATGAGAGAAATTAATCAAAATCTTTCTTGTTTGGAATCAGGGAAGGAAGCTTTTCCAATTGATTTATTGACAGCTAGCTAGTAGATAAAGAGAGTCTAAAAGCTGAGCTTTCATTGCAGATCCTGTAATATATAGTGATCTCCTTACTGCTCGAAACAGGTCACGTGCTTGTACTATGTACCACCCAGAGATCAGATAACTATTGCGGCTCTAGACGAATAGGTCAATGTAGATTTCCAGGGTGAGGGGGGCAGGGGGGGTCATATCTTCCTGGACTGCTATCCAACTTTGAATGTTCACGAGCCAGCTAAGGGTAAAACAATTATTCATCTTCAATTTAATGTTGTCATGATGCAAGAAGGCCTCAGGCATGGCAATTTGGTTAACTGGTAACAGGGTAAAACCAAAGGATAGTTCATTCTCTATTCATGATTAGAAGAAACTTCATTTGGAGGAAAATAATTACAAAAAAGAAAAACTTACGTGCATTTATACCTTTACCTTACCAAAAAAGGAAAAAAAAATGGAGGAAAAAATGGGTTTCGAGCATTATATTTTGTTGGATATTTAAACCTCTGCGGACCATTCTCCATCACAGGATTTGGCCAAAGGGGTGATGGAAACAATGAAACTGTTATCATTAATTCAAAACTTAATCATCTCCAACAACGTTCAATTCCAGATAATTAACTGTATATTGCTTTGGCCAAAGGTGTTATTAATTCGGAACCAAAACTTGAGAATTGGTCAGAGACTCAAAGGGCAGTCAAACAAAGCGCCAGTGTGGTAGACCTCAGGTAAAAAAAAAATGCTTGCATCCAGCAGAGGGAATACGATCAAAAGAGGGTTGAAAAAAGTGAACAGTACACAGCAACTTTTGATTTGACATAACAATCGGCTCATGAAGTTTTCAGAGTGCTGTGGCTGCTGCAACGTCGTACATATATGTGATAACTAATATATTTATAAATATTAGGCAATCCTCTTTCTTTCTATCTCTGTCTTTGTCAACCTTGACCTGTGAAGCTAGAGGCTATAATTTCAGAGCTGAACTGCTCATGCATGCTGCAAACAGGAGCTCCCAATCTTCTTCCTACTATGCCTCTACGTTCAGATTCTGTTTGTTACTCTTTGTCCTTTTTTTTTTGAACCTCCCCTCGCCGTGATGAGCACCCTTTGGGCCTTTATCATCATTGCAATTAACATGCAGTCTCACCGATCCGTGGCACACGCTTTCGCATGATGCATGTTGTTTCAAATTGCAATGAACAAGGTTGGTTCAAGCTAGCCTTCTAGGATGTAAAGGGCTTCCATTATACACAGCTCAAGAGCCAATTTCAGTGATTCCCTTTCCTTGGAGCAGTTGTCGGCTAACTTCAACTACCAAATGTTTATTGACTTAATTAATTAAAATTCATCATTTTTAATAAAAGAAGTTTGAATTTAAATTTTAATAATGATTATTTATTAAAATTATCTCGAATATATAATTTATAATAATTTATTTTAAATCATCGAATATCATATTTTTTATTTTGATATGAGAATTAAATAATTTATTTATTTTTAATTTTTTTTATAAAAATAAAAAAAATTCCAAATACATGGTCTGAGAACTGTTTAATTTATAAATCACATGGTTCATGGTCTTTGTTTTGTTAAGGTGAATTTCACTATCCATTAATATAAGCAGAAACCACATAATAAACATTGAAATGGATTGACATCTTTGAGGATTATGGTATTTTAAAACCCAAGTAGTCATAATAATAATTATGATAGTGTTATTATTATAATAATAATTAGAATTGATGAATTTGGATGGAACTTTTTTTGTGGAGCACAACACGTTTTCATGGTAAATCTGAAGAAATGCGCTTTGCTTGTTTCCGAGGGAAGACCGAATAATTTTTGCTTTAAATGTGGGTCCCATTGCACACATTATTGTTGCTTACGGAGTTGTTTTCCATTCTAATCATTTTCACAAATCTCAATCAAGTGTGAATCACAAGCCCAAAAAAAAAAATTTAATTTTTTTATTTGAGAAAGAAGAATTTCAAGCCTAATTTTTAAAACATATATATTTGTCGTTAAATCAATTGAATGAATATTTATAATTAAATTCGTTAGATAAAAAAATAAATAATGAAAATTTTTAATTCAAAAATAAGTTAGAAAATAACAAATATTGTGATTATAAAAGACTAGTCATTGAATTGAAAAAAAAAAAAATTATTCAAATGAGGACAAACATCTATACAAAAAGAAAGGGAGATGGTGAGATTAGAATCAACGCTCACATATTTTTTTAAAAATCTTTTAATTACTAAATCAAGAGATAAAAAATAATAAAAAAATTACATCATTTTTTCTTTTTATGTTCCCTATCAAACAAAAATTAATGAAAACGTATTTAATGAAATGATGTGGCATACTTATATATATATATATATATTTTTTGAAGAGAGTCAATTTTGGATGTTATGGCAGGTCTTATTATCATTGGAGTAGGGACGAATAAGTCAAATTTTGGTGGAATATCGAGTCAAGATAATTTTTTTATTATTAAAAAGAGAAAATTAAATTAAAGGAACTTCTTTTAAAAAAATAAAAAAGTGTTAATGTATGATTTAGCTTTTAAAACTATATAATTTTTCATGATTTAATATGTATCAAAATATCACTATTAAATATCCAAATTTTATTTTTATTAAACATTTTATCTCACACGTTAATTCTATTAATGAAAAGTTAACATTATAAAAAATAATCAATAATATTCTGACACGTGAGCACATTTTTATTAATCAATATTATTTATTAATGTATTATTGTATTAATAATATATTATCTATTCATATAATATTATTTATTAAAATATTGTAATATAATATTATTTATTTATGAATATAATATTATTTATTAGTAAATTTATACTTTAAAGTATTGATAAATAATTTTACTTATAAATAATTTTTTTTAAATATCTTTTTTTTATTTTATAAGATAATTTTTAGAAACATGATCTTATTTTTCATTGATTTGTAAATTATTTTTTGTTGATCAATTAAATTTTTATCAAATAAATACTTAAAAATATAAAAATAATTTTTTTAAAAATAATTTTTCGTGAAACAAACAAGCTTTAGCATATCAAGATTTTAATGGATTATTTTTTTCTTTTTTCAGAGGAAGGCGTAACCTTAATTAAAAGGAAAGAAAATATTTTGACTGAAAATTAAAATTTGTATATTTTCATAAGATCTCTTTAATCTTTAAATCAAGAGATAAAAGGATAAATTTTGACGGATTTGACCTCTTATATTTACATATATTTTGATAATTATAATTAGTAAAAATTTATGAAATAAGTGAACATTATTTTAACTTTCAATCTCTAAATGCTAATAGGTTGTTTGTTTAATGACACTGAAATCAAATTTATAATCGAGAGTTTTGAATTTAAAATTGAATCATAAATCAAAAGATTTGAACAAAATCTTGGTGTTTGAAAAAAAAAAAAAAACTAATAATTCTTTGTTCTATAATTTTTGTAATAACAAAAACACAAATACAAGAGTACAACAAAGGGAAAAAAGATTATTTAATAAAAAAAATATAATCCATTTCCAAGTCCGACAACAAGACTATAAAATTCCAATCAAACCCCTTCAACTAACCAACCTCAATGGGACCTTTCCCTTTCGTCCTGTCCGATTCTTACAGTTCTCAGCATCTCTCCTCCCCACCCTCTCTGCCATCGCCCTCGTGATCTCTTCCTTTTTTTTTTTTAAATTATTCTATGGCAAAACGACAACTTCCTTAATAAGGCTCCCAAACCAAGCCAAAAGTTTCAAACTTCAACATTAAAAAACAAGCTAAGAAAGAAAAAAATGATTTTTTATTAACAAATCTGAGTTCGTTATCTACTCGTCTCCTCCCGCTCCTCCCATTTGACCCCAAAGGCTTTTTTTTTTTTTTCTTCTCTCTGCTTTTTGAAACTCTGCGTTTCGTATAGTTATGAAGTGTTTTCATTTTACTAACGGGGACAGGCGAGGTGGGGGAGACGATGGCGGCGCCGCCGTTTCTAGGGCGTCATCAAAGGTGACTTGGACGAGGTCGTTAAGCGTGGCATCAAGCATTTTCGACACGCATCGTTCCGAGTTCGACTCCGAGTCGACTAGGGACTTTGCCTCAGACTACTCGGCGGTGAGTTTCTGCGAGTTTCTGACTCAGCGTCGAGCTAACGATCTGCGGGTGTTCACATTCGCGGAGCTGAAATCTGCTACCCGCGGCTTCAGTAGAGCTCTTTTGATTGGTGAAGGAGGGTTCGGGTGCGTTTACCGAGGTGTTGTTAAGGTGCCCGATGAAACTAACGACGGTCGTGATTTAAAGTTGGATGTCGCCATCAAACAGCTCAATCGTCACGGTTTCCAGGCATAGTCCCTTTTCCCCTCTGATTTTCCTACTTTACGTCTTTTTACCTATCTGTTTGACAAGTTTAACGTTTTTGATGTATAGTAATTGTACTGATGAGAAGTTTAATCTTACTTTTGATCTGTATAATGTTGTAGTACTGATTCAGGAATGGCAAATCATTAAAATTTGTAATAACGTTAGAAAAAGTTGGATTATGAAATTATGAATCATAGTTGTATTTGTTTGTAATTAAGACCTTACGGGATTTGGATGCTTTTGGTTTGCTAGTATTCAGGGGCATAAGGAATGGATCAATGAAGTGAACTTTTTGGGTGTAGTTAAGCACCCGAATCTTGTAAGTTTGGTGGGATATTGTGCGGAGGATGATGAGAGAGGGATTCAGAGACTTCTGGTCTATGAGCTTATGCGTAACAAAAGCTTGGAGGATCACCTCTTGGCTCGGATGCCATTGCCGTTGCCATTGCCTTGGGTGACAAGATTCAAAATTGCTCAAGACGCCGCCCGGGGCTTGGCTTACCTGCATGAAGAAATGGATTTTCAGGTATACTGTTTTGAAGACAAAAATGAAACCATTTTCGTGCATATATCATCGGCATTAGTTTGATAATGCCTGTTTTTACTTGAAATTTTGCTTTTCTATTCTTTCTATTTTTACTGTTAACTATGCGAATTCAGTGCTTCTCTTCATGATTTTGATGTACTTTATAATTTGTGCAGCTAATATTTCGAGATTTTAAAACATCAAATATTCTACTAGATGAGGACTTTAATGCAAAGCTCTCAGACTTTGGATTGGCGAGGCAAGGACCTGCTGAAGGATTTGGCCATGTTTCAACAGCAGTAAGTTAATCACCTTTGTCTAAGCTATTCAAGCATAATGTTATTTTGGGGTGTCATGATATAGATTTAATAGCTTATACCTTGGAAATTTAGTTATTGCAATAGTAAACTATCAGGCTGAGATGTCTTTTAAGTGGGATACATGGAATCTAGCTGTTACTAACAAATCATTGTTTCCCTTTTGCTGTTTCAAAAATCTTTATAAGGTTGTGGGCACAGTAGGATATGCTGCCCCTGAGTATGTGCAAACTGGCAAGCTAACTGCTAAGAGTGATGTTTGGAGCTTTGGGGTGGTTCTATATGAGCTCATCACAGGAAGGCGAGCACTGGAAAGAAATCTACCTCGTAGTGAGCAGAAGCTCCTGGAATGGGTGAGACCTTATGTGTCAGATTCAAAGAAATTTCACCTTATTGTAGATCCCCGCCTTGAAGGGCAATATTGCATCAAATCAGCTCAGAAACTAGCTTCCCTAGCAAACAAATGTCTAATGAAAAACCCAAAGTCCCGCCCTAAAATGAGTGAAGTAGTTGAGATGCTAGGTAATATTATTAGTGAGACTTCATCTCAAGATGAAGGTGTGTCTGAATCTGTCAATGAAACTGAAGATGTAAAGGAAGAAAGTGCAGTAGAGACTGAGGTCGAGTCTACTAAGCAAGGGCACAATTACCTGAAGAAGGTTTTTGATTTCAGAGAGATAATTAGCTTAAGAAACAGATCGGTTGGGAAGTTGGATTGGAGAAACTGGACACCTGGGCTGGTGAAGACTTGGTAACGAGCTTTCAGCTTGTGACCAGGAAAGAAATAGATATGTCCCTCGCACTGGTCAATGAATGCATTTCCTTAATCAAATACATAGCATGAATATAGATACGTTTCAGTTCTTGAACATTTGGAGGAGAATTTCTTTCTCTCTCCAATTCATTTTTGTTCAAAAGTAGTTGTAAATATAGTTTGCAAGGAAAGCTGCATCTGTGGTTAATGCAAGCTATTCCTTCACGGTGTGAAGCATTAAGTACATGTTTTATATTTTCTTTACCCACGATATGTATTTTTTTCCAGTGGCCATTGATGGCCATCTATTTTAATTGGTTTCCAGCTCCATTTTTAGTTTCCTCCTAAGGGTTCCTGAGGTTGTTGATTGACTTGGATGGGGTATTTCTGGAGGACGGAAATGGGGAAAATGCCTTGCCTTCTGCATCATCGTTGTGAAGAAGGTGATATTGTACATGAATATCTCTCCTACATTTGCTTGAATTGATAAGACCATTAAGTCCAACAAAATACCTAAAACGACTAACAGTCTTAACTAACAAGCCAATTGAATGCCAATCTTGTCCGCTGAATTAAAATATCCAACCACTCCATTTTTGACCGGGTTTTCGGGCACACCGGCAAGTAGGGCTGTGTCGGTTGCAAATGGAATTGTCCTTTCGGTAACAATCTAAGCCCTCCGTACCCAAGGAATTTTCTCTGAAGAAATAGATGATCAAGAGAGAATTTGATTATTCCGGGACTCTGATTTGAATATTACACAGTACAGATAGACAAAACACCTGGAGAATGAAGCAGATTCTTCGTGATTGTATCTCCTCCCATACTCCAGCATCTTCTGTTAGCCTTTCTCTGCTCTGATGCCGGGTCTAGAACGTGGATTCTTTGAAGTAAGCCGTCAACTTTAGTGCTGCTGACATTTTTTATAGACTTTATATCGGAAAGATGTGGAAGCCTGAAAACGCCCCTACTTTAATGGTGAAAAGATGAAAAGACTCTTTGGACTAAAACCCATTTCTAGTTTATCCATGTCCTAAGCTTCACCTTCCATTCCAGAAAAAGGGATCTTATATATATGTATACACACACATCCTTTTTTGGACTACTTTTGAGCTTGCGGTCCCAATTGACATATCTACCATTCAAATAGGTTCCAGCCAAATCATTGAGCCTCTACCATTCAAATTCTCAGTTGTCATCCTCAAAAGACAATCAACACATCAAAAACCAGTGCATGTAAAGGAAAATTTGACAGATTCACCTGAAAAAAAATTAAAATAATATGATGATAAAACTCACTGAACTAGCTGGAAAAGCAAGACCTGACTGTGGTCATAGAAAAGCAATTACACCCTTTACTACAAACACTGTAATCTCAAAAGAAATACAGCATTGCGCACATTCCCCTTGTTGTGGGTCTGAACTTGTCGCGAAGATTGGTTTTAAGTACATTAGCTAAAACAAGAACTATACAGTCGCAGAGCATAAAAAAGTGAATGCCTGAGTTCCAGAGATTGTTATGAAGCCACCTGAATATAGTTAGAAGGAAAGCAGCTTTTTTCGTGTGCCTTTGTTCCATTCTCAGGCATAAAGAAGGGAAGCGGATGGCCGAGGGTATGCAACAGTACTCCTTCCATCACTAGCTTCACCAGAACTTCGCCTACCTATCCGGGGTGTGCTGCTATTATTGTTCTGATTGCTTCCAGATTCACTGGAATCCTGGAGCTGCTCCAATGCTGTTACAACCTCATTCATGCTTGGTCTGAATTTGGCATCTGTGGACAGGCATCGCAAAGCAAGGGTAGCAGCCTTATAGGCTCCTTCCGTTGAATACTGGGCTTCAAGGCGGTTATCTAGGATGCGGTACATTTTACGTTTGTTGGCCAGGCAAGGTTTGGCCCATTCCACCAGATTACGTTCTCCAGACGGTCGATTCTTGTCAACAGCTCTACGGCCAGTTAACATCTCTAGCAGCACAACTCCAAAACTATAGACATCACTCCTGGCAGTTAGATGACCTACAGTTGGAGAAAAAGTGGAATAATTACAAGTGGAAAATTACATCCACTACAACCTGTGTTGCTCAGATATATATGCAATGAGTAAACGAATAAATAACAGAAGCACCACAAAAGTCTTGACTCCAAAGGTCTAAAGTTGACGAAAGTGAGTCAAGCAAACTAAATGGAGCACTTCAAAATTATGTCAATAAGTACCTGTGGCTAGATACTCTGGAGCAGCATATCCATAGGTCCCAATGACCCTGGTAGAAACATGGCTCTTATCACCTGTTGGCCCATCTTTGGCCAACCCAAAATCAGAAAGCTTTGCATTGTAGTTCTTTAATGACATCACAAGAAAAAGATTCTCAGACAAGTCAGTGAAAGTTTCTCAGAAATTATCAAATTAAACAATGTAAAGAAGTGCAAAGAATGATGGCTTAACAAGTCACATACTGAATCAAGCAAGATGTTGGAAGTCTTGAAGTCTCGATATATCACTTTTGTTTCAGCACTGTGAAGAAAGGCAAGCCCCTTTGCAGCATCAAGAGCAACCTTCAAGCGAAGGCTCCAAGAAAGAGGCTGGAAATAAGAACCTCCTGGTACAGATAATTTAAATGTTACAGTTTAACAAAAAATGGCATTTAAACAAAATTGTGTTCAATGAAACCAAGTGGCAGGCAGAAAGAACTTACTCCTGAATAAATGATTCTCCAAAGTCCCACGAGGCATGAATTCATACACCAACAGACGGTGTTCATCCTCCAAGCAATATCCAATCAATTTCACAAGGTGAGGATGATAAAGCTGTCCCAGATAATTCACCTCTGCCTATAAGATTGAACAAAGACCGTGAGTTAATCTCTACACTTTGATCTTGAAACATCATTTAAAAATTTTTAACCATAAGGAAGGCCAAAATGATAAAAATAAATCAGTCAGCTTCCCAAATAAACATCTTAAGCAACCAAGTTCAATCCCAGAATATATTGAGTAAACTTCAAAAAATTGGCTGTCAACACAACCATAATTTAAACTTTAAGCTTAATATTTCCTCCACCTAATAAATGTGATTATGAAATGCAAAACCATTTGTATGCTCCATACGTAAGAAGAATGATGAGGTCAACATGGACTCACCAACCACTCTTTGTGACCTTGGAATCCTTCCTGGTTAAGCCTTTTCACAGCAATAACTATGCCAGCTCCAGGCTTGGCAGCAGTAAATGAATTTTCATCAATCCACCCCTTAAACACCGAGCCAAAACCACCTTCTCCTAGCAAACTATCCGGACGAAAATTCCTTGTAGCCATTTTGAGATCAGCAAAACTGAAACTTTTCAGATTAGGGGACTGTAAGATCTCAACCTCACTCCGAGGTGTCATAGGGGCTGAAAATGATGAGCCTTTGCTGCTTGTACTGCTCGTATCTTTCCCATCGCTGCTAACATACTTTGAACTTAGCCCTGTATGCATGAAGATGTAATGCATGCATTAATTAATTGACATATTCCATTTTAGAATTACGATTCCTGGTGCCCCATCAAATTCAATCTTCTAATATTTCAATTCAAACAAAAATGTTACAAGAACCAAAATTATGTAACCAGGAAAGATTTTCACTATCGCCCTATGCTCACAAATAACAAATTTTAATTAACCGCATTTCAAACTAGAGAATATAGCTCCAAGGCGAATTAACTATATATTTAACAACAATCCACAATGGCGACATTCTCAGGATCCCAAAGCAAGCCAGACAAAGACAAAATAGCTGCTTGGTTGGGAAGAAGACTAACAGAGAAGCAAATGGTGAGATAGAAATAAGTGAAAGTTTGTAAGATTTTTATTCAGTTTCAATGATGACAAAATAAATCAAAGCCAACCTCTACCCAATGATTAGAAAAGACATAAAGTCACATAATATCAGTTTGGTTGTTTATTGAGGTAATAGTGCCAAACAGAGGGGTGGGGGATTCAGCCTTCATTCTCATCTTTTGCACACCAGAAAGAAATCCAAAGGCAATTATGGAAATTTTTACTGTATCCTAAAGTTTTCTAATTTGCAGCTTGAAAGTTCAACCAAACCAGAATACCCCCACTCCCAACACCTCGATAAACCTAGAAAGGAACCCAAATGGGAAACAAACAAAAAAGGAAACCCACCAAGAGAATGGAAAGGAAAACACCAAGTACTTATAAGACAATCTGAAGTCCAGAGCAACTAAAAGAAAATCAACTAAATATGAGTATGATGCACAAGAAAAGAGAAAAATAAAAGGCTGTTTAGAAAATCCAGGTACCTGTGTTACTGGGGCTCTCATTAATTCTGGTACTTAAGCAAACCCCCATCAAATCAAACCACCCTCTTCCCCTCTTCTTCTGTAGATCATAAAACACAAACAAAAATGAATCTTTTGCTTATAAAAAACCAGAATTCAACAATAAAAAGAGACAGATCTACGTTTTAAAACCAAACCTTGTCCTGTCTATCAAATAAACCATCCCAAACCGACCACTTTTCATTACAACATCAAGTTGTTGTATTTAAAAGTTGAAACCAAAAACTGAAGCACTCCAAAGAAAATGAAAAAGAAGATAAAGAAAACTAGAAAGGAACACTCAAAAAGCTTAACCACCAAAAAAGAAGAGAAAAACAGCCCACCTTTGTTCTCTGTAAACCAACCCAACCCAACCCAACACAGAATCAGAGTAACCTCAGCAGAAAGGACGTAAGGACCTAAAAGAAAAAGGTTTCGAGAGAGAGGAGTTGACCAGGTTGTACCAATAGCTTGAATGTTTCTTGATTAGTAATGGCAACCGGCCAACTAGTAAGTGAATAATGATGATGGTCGCAAAAGAAGAGAGACAGAAAGAGATAGACTTTTAGAGGAAGGTGGGAAGAATTGCATTAATGGCGGGCTGGTGTACCCACCTTTTAAGCCTAGCGTTTTATACTTCTCTCTCTCTCTATCTCTTTAACTGTTAAGAGTCAAGTCATAGAAGATAAGCCTTGCACAGCATCTTCATATTTTATCAGCCGTTGGATTCTTTTATGATGGTGGCTTAGCTTCTCTCCAAAAGCTTTCTTTCATAGCTGGCTTTTTCTATCCGTGTAACTTTCAACGAATGACAGTGTCAAGTACATAATCTATTGAAAAATGACGGAAAAAATGCTTTTTTTTGCTTTAATGGATAATAATGGTCCTTTCAGGGGCAATTAGCCAAGGCCCTACATTTTCAAGTTGGAATTTTGGCTTTTGATTTTTAGACCGCCTATGGCCATGAATCTTGATGGAAGGAGCAAAGCAGTTTTCCATGGCTCCCATGGATCAGGAGGTAGGGGTACACTTTTGTATTCCCATGGTATATAGGTTGATTCCTGGAAACTCCAGGGAAACCATTATATCTACTTCTTTTCTTTATTATTACAACTTAAATGATGAACACTTCAGATAGTGACTTAACAGCTTTACTTGCCTGGAAAGTTCAGAGCTTTGGATACTTTTAATTGTGACAAAATTGAAAGATTTTGTTTTGCCCTATTGTTTGAATATTCATAACTTGGGAAACAGACAACAGGTTGAGACAAAACCTTAAATTTCATTTGATGTTGTGATTCCTGCAAGTAATAGTACTAGAAAACTTCACATTTTCCCAACTTGAATGATTAAGGATAACTGTTTCTTTTATCCATTAAGGTTCATCTTTATAAAATATTATGCCAATCAAAATTTTAAAGTATTAAATTCATGTAAAAAAAGCGGCTTTAAAAATCGATCAATGAAGAAATTAAATATATGACAAAAGCCAAAAGAAAGACAAAATGAGGGGCTGATGGCTTCCTTTTTCGGGGACTTTGCAAATGTTGGAAACCAAACATGTCCGTGATACGCACCTAACCAAACAGCTTCCACAGTTCGATTTAAGCCCAATTTGCACCCCGAACGGAATGACGTATGATCTTTTGTATTGCTTGCATTAGCGCCCAAATCAAAGCAGATCAAAACCGTCCGATTTCATCACCATAATCATTGGATCCCTTTTTGTTACGGACCCAGGAATCTTAGCTATGACGTATTCAGAGTATTTTGACCTTTTGATCCTACGTGCGACCCTTTCAACGTCACAGTCCACATGTACTGGCCCCCATGCATGCTTAGCAAGTCTCGGTTTCCAAGGGGCTTTACTCTTTAGCTGCTGAGTCGCGAGCCAGTTCCATGGACAGCTTCCAGAAACTTGGTTTAGCGATTAGGAATTAGGAGTTAAAAATTAAAAGCTTTTTTTTTTTTTTTTTGACATTTTGGAAATTTTTTTATTTATATATCATTGTTTAAAATTAAGGAGAATTTTTTAGTTCATTAATATATAATTTTTAAGTGGAGTTTATTAAAAAATTTTGGCCAATATAATTTAAGGATTGAAAACCCACTTTAAATAATTAACCTTTTTTAAGAAATTATTAACTTCTTATTACTTGATCAAAATTATAATTAACATATTAATAATGAGTAATCTAGTGCAAAAAAAAAGTGGGGGAGGTGAGGCAAATGTCAAATAGGTGCCAATTTTGTCGGCTATCGAACAAACAAACGAGATTGGCGCCTTGACGGGGCACTTGGCAAAGGTGCTTAAAAGCCTAAAATGAACTACTACTCTATATTCCATGTGAATATGATTATTTTACTTGGTTTTGTTTTTAAACTCTGAAATTTATGATTAAAAAATAAATTAAAATCAAATCAACTAACCCATTTTAATGGAAAAGCACAAGAGTTGGAAGAATTGGCGACAATCTTTTGACATAATGAATAAAAAGAAATCAAACAACTTTAATCCTCGGCCCACTGGAGGTATTAAGTCTAAAAGGCTGATTTCATTGACAAAAGTAGTTCATTTAGTTTATATGTTTAAATCAAGACATCCCACCAACTACTTGCAGTAGGGCAGAGGATCAGCAATATATTTGGTGGTGGACGAAGAAGAGCGGTTAATTAATGGTATAATTACTTGATTTATTTTGCAGATAATGAAGACTTGACCACTTAATCAGTGATTGGGTAACTCTTTTTACGTACTAATAATATAATTATGTCAAAATCAGAGGAATTTTACAGCATCTGACCAGGCATATACTTACTATATTTGTAGATTTGAGACCATGATATGAAAGCACCCCGAGGAATTTTTCTTTGGACCATTACTATGATTAGTAAACCTATTTAAGGATGGAATTATCAATCAAACCCCACCCCCAACATGCACCCAAGAAAATTTGAACAAAAAATTAAAATTTAAAAAAAAAACCTTGGTAAGCATGTTTTGATTTTGAATTGAAATTTGAAATAAAATTAAAATTCAAACTTAACTTGATACAAATAAAATTATAATTAAAATATTATAATTATATAAATAAATATATGTAAATTTTTATTTTTATATTTTTTAATTTTTTATTATATAAATTAACTTTAACAAGTAAACTTGAAGTTTATTTGTTAAAAATTTGAATTTAATTTGAAAAAATTTTGAAATTTAAAATATTGAACTAGATCAAATATGCTATTAATACCAAACATAAATCTAACTTAAATAAATAAATATATATATATATATCTAGCCCGGCTCAACCCAAGAACACCTCAAATTTCTGATTTATTCATATTTCTAAACTCTATGATAAAAACATGAAGCAGTAATCGAAATGTGAAGATAAATCCATTGGAAGTCCAAATTGAGGATCTATGCCTCAAAACGACAAAAACAAAGTTAAATTTGGCTTGTTACACTCAGAAAAATCTGACACCAGGTTCTAAAGAAAGATCACAACTACAAAATTAAGTTTCTCAGAAGGCTGTTCCTGAACTTCAGTTCACGGTGGCAGACTTGATGATATCAACGAACTCAGGCTGATTGAGGAAAAGTAAAAACAAAAGGTGAAAGTTAAACTAAGCGGTACACAAGCTGAAGACGAGGCATCAAATGAATGAATCAACCGTGGCACATGGAAAAAGAAAGAAAATTGCTAACCTTCAGAGAAGCTCCACCGACCAAAAAGCCATCCACATCTGGTTGTGCAGCCAATTCCTTGCAGTTTGCTCCATTTACAGAACCTACATTTAATTTGCAACGGATGCAAGGCCTCATTTAGCAAAACTCTACCTAGGATTGAAAGTTGAAACTGAAAGTTTTCAGATAGGTCAAACAAAGTTATAGTTTAATTGTTTAGAATGGCATACTTGGATAGAAGAATCCAACATGAATAGTTAAATCTATTTAGTTCAAACGGGATGGATGCATCCGGATTCTAGACTTTCGGAGCAGCCGCTACCAACCACAGGTCAACCACATGTTTACATGCTAACAAAGATTATGTTAAATTTTCTTAAAAGCACTTGAATAGGATCAATAGTAAAGGAATAAAGAAAAATACCTCCATATATAATTCTAGTCGATGCAGCAACTTCAGCACCAACATTGTCATGAAGCCATTTCCTCAACTCACAATGAACCTGGAACATACAATCACGTATTTGTAAGTAAAATAAAAGAGGATATGATTTCTGTAGGGACAAGTTAAAAGCAACAGCTTAGACACAAACACAAGCTAAAAGCAACAGCTTAGACACAAACACAAGCTTGGATGCATGATTTTGAAATTCACAAGGACAAATTGCCCTAAAACAGTTATATCATAGCAGTCAACATTCATGGGAGGACAAAGCTATTAAAATACATGAAATGCAATATCAAATGACAAATGATATATGCATAAAACTCAAACTTACTTCCTGAGCCTGAGCGGGGGTTGCAACCTTCCCTGTACCAATGGCCCAAACAGGTTCATAAGCCAAAACAACATTATCCCAATCTGGTACTTTATCTGCAAAAAACCAATAACAGTTAAACAAGGCACACCAAAAAAGAAAAAAAAAGCAAAACTCCATTCCAATGTGGTTCAATAAATACCTATAGAGACCACAAGTAAACAATCATAAACTTTAAACACGGAAAACATTGAACCTATGGTAAGTTGGTAACATACATCTGAAAAACAAATAATTGCTTTGGTTTTTTATATTTTAAAAGAAAATACCAGCAATTGCTTTGGTTTGTGCAGCAACGACAGTCATGGTAGAGCCTGATTCTCGCTGTTCAAGAGTCTCTCCAATGCAAGCAATCACTTTCAGGCCCTGAGGAAGTGCGTACGCTACTTTGTCTCCAACAAACTGCAGAGACATGCATTCAGAATAGACAACAACAACAACAACAACAAAAACAGGACCTCAAATTCGTCAACAATAACAGGAGCCTAATCGTATTACTTACTTCATTGGACTCATTCAAGAGAGCCCTTCTTTCAGAGTGACCAATAATAACCCATGGAATGCCCAGATTAACAAGCATTCGGCACTGTTCAAAGAGAAGAACAGGAAGTTAACCGCCAATAAGCAGACGATATCAATCAGATCCAAATTGAGAGCTGTGAAAACAAAGCAGGTGATAAAACCATACCTAACTTCTCCAGTAAAAGCACCACCTTTGCGAACCCAACAGTTCTGAGCAGCAACATGGAAATCAAACCGCAACAGACTTTTCACAAGCGTAAGAAACACAAAAGGAGGGCTCACAACAACCTCTGCCACAACATAAACCTTAACTTGGTAAATCTTCAAAGTAAATTTAAATTTTGGACCCAAAAAAAAAAAAAAAAAACTAACCCACAACATCCTCAGAAGGAACTTCAGCTTCATTCAATGTGGTAACAATCTTCTTTACCTCCTCAGTTGTCCCATTCTGCAAGAATCTTAAACCTCAAAATCATTTGGGTTAATATAATTTATTTATAAATATATGTTACAATTACCGATCAGCTAAATATTTTTACAAAATAAAATGATTAAAAAACATATATCACTGCAAAAACATAGATCGGTTGATTTTGACCATACGCATTTCCAGTTGCCGCCGACGAAGAATTTGCGAGCCATGAAAAAAATATTTTTTTTTTGTGATGAAAAGGAGAATAAGGAGACAAACAAGAAATCCAAAGCTTAAAGAGCTCACTATAATAAGAGTTTGACGAAATAACTGCGGGCCGTCACCGTGGTTTCTATACTGCGGATATGTGAGTGGAGCGAAAGTTTTGATGTAATCATTAAAATGCCATTTTTATTATTTTAATAATTTTGTAATTACAATTCCTATTTTCTTCTCGTAAACTTTTTTTTTTCTATAAATGAGAAAGTTGTATGAAATCATAGAAATTTGGCAATTGAAAATTTTTCCAAATTACCCACAGACAGTGTGATAAACATCTAAAGCACAGCAATGAGCATTTTAATATTAATTAGGAACACTAATGAGTTGCTCATTACTTTAATGACATTAAAATCGACTTCAAGATAGAGGATTTAAAGTTTGAATTTTAATCATAATCCAGAAGACAAAAATTATCAATTAGCCACCAATATTTAATAACAATCGACAATAGCATTTTAAGGTAAGAATTTTACAAGTTTTTAGCAGTAAAAATATAAATAGAATCTATGGTACAGAAACAATTAATAGTAATACACAGGAAATTAGTTGCTGCTGTTTGCCAAGAGAACAATCCTGAAAAAAAAAATAATAATAATAATAAGTGATTATGGGGCTAATTCTTCCAAAGGGCGAAGCAGGCTTCAGCTATCATCATACCACGAACTCGTGGTGGGCTACAATTTGCAATCCCACAGTAGGCCCAAAATGAATAGGCATGCCCTCTAAGAGAAGATCCTTTTTACTGTCTCTAATTTGTTGGATGAAAATCGAATAACTATCAAATCTTCGAAAACTGCACCCAACTTGGCTCAACGGCATTTGATTTCAGTGATCAACTTGTTTTCCGCAGTCAATGAAACAATAGGAGATGCACATTTTACTTGTAATGAGAAATGCATTGCTGAAACAAGATGAACTAATCCATGAGAAACCCAACAGCAGGCTCTGCATTTCATTTTCTAAAAATTGAAGCAAAACCTATCTCTTCTTGAGTTTTGAAACAACAAGGCTATTTTGAAAGGAACATCTAGTTTATAGGTTACATATGACCAGAGGAAAGAGAACAAAAAATGAATACATGGGTGTATAACAAACCCATAACTAGAAAGGTCCTAACTCTTGTTGGTCCTGGCTGTCGTGTGAAATTAATCCCATCAAAGATGAAAAGACATGAGTGATTAGAGGTTAAACAATTGGAGATGAAAAAAAGGCCTATTGCTGGTCAGAATGAAACATGCGTTTAAGGATACAGTGAATCTAATAAGATGTAGAATGTCTTCAAAACATTGCTTGACCACTTTTGCTGGCTGTTAGCGATGTAAATGCAGCAGCCCAATCTCGTGTGGTAGATTCAGGCACTTGCTCATCTCCAAGGAATGGAGTCCAGGAATCCGCAGAGGCATTCATCAACAACCAATCAACTTTTTCCGGCACATTAATAAAATCAAAGTTCAAAGGCTTCGGTTTTTTATCAGACTTCTTCTGTTTGTTGCCAGAAGTGATCCCTGTAGACTGCATAACACAATTCAAGCATTCACCAAAAGCAAGGTAGTAAGAAGTAGAGAATTGGATAAATATTCAGCATCTCCAATCAGCAAGGCTTTTATTTCTGACTTACAACTTCTTCACTGCTAGGAGTCTCTGTTCCTTTCTTCCTTTTAGAAGGGGGTATTCCAGTTTCAAGATAGTAAAGCACTTCTTTCTTCGATCTGAATTTCCTGCCCGAGGATGGATCAACATAATACTGCACAAGAAATGTTATCATGTATGCTTATACTTCATATTATCACTGCATTGCCAATTATCTCCTCGCATATTACCAAAAAAAATTATCACCTTATATAAAAATACAACAAGAGGGTCTCAATTAAATTTTAATACATCCTACAAGCACAAGAAACGTATTAAAGATGCAACAAAATAAATTGATCTCAACTCAAATGCACCATAAATGAAATGAAAATTTCGACCATGTAACATTCTCCCAAGTCAAATCCATTTTTTAGGAACCAACTTAACTTATACTTTACATTCATTCCCCAGATTTTGTAATGCTTCTCGTTTCGGTGATGGGACAAAGACAAAAACTCTTATATGTGTGTTTATGCAAATAACAACTTTTAGGCTCTCAATCAGGAGGACCAACATTTCTGTCATTCAATTGAATTTCAATAAATTTCTTTCAAAATAAATGCTTCCACACCCCATGACTACCTTAAGAATTCAAAGGATCTATAACCCTAAGATCCAATTCTGATACAAGGAGTATGCATATAAGCTGAGAGGGGAGTGCGTTACAACTAATCTAACATTTAATTTTCCTAGGCTTGAGAATAGAAACAAGGAACAAGAAACTTGAACTTGTTGTTAATCAAACCAAAGAACCCAGCAAAATAAGGATATAATTTTTAATCTACCAAATGGAAAAGACAATCATACTCAACTTGATATCAGATCATCTTCGAAACCCAAAGAGAAAATTTAAAAAAATTTTAATCAATATACTAAGATTAAACTTGACAGAAGAAAAAAGGATTATGTAAGAGCTGAGATTAACCCTATCAACCAATCCAGCTGTTGCACCGGAGCTCCGAACCCTATCTTCGATCAACCATCCAGCTGGCAACCAAGTCTCCGGAGCCACCACGCGCCGCTTCGCCCTGGGCTCTGCCGAGGACGAAGAGTTGTCCAGGCCTCGTCCCGGCGTCTCCGGTTGGGCACCATTAGGCACCATTGGGAGATTTTGACGGCTGATATGATTGGTTTTGGCCGTTGACGTCGATGAAGGCTCCGGGTTTGAGAAGCGGATCGGAAGGCAAATCGGCTGTGGAGGGCTGAACCGGGTTTGACATTCGAGTAGATGGAAGAGCTGGAGTACCTTTTGCTACCGGAAAGAACGGGGAGAAAGGGTAAGTATAACAAATGAAACGCCACGCCAGTGGATTTCCATTTCTGATATAACGGCGTGACACTATTACAGTTAAACTTGATGCAATGTCAGTAGCTTAGCATAGTGTTACTAAAGTTCCCGTTAAACTTAACAAAACCTTCCATCTGAAATTTTTGGAGCAAACTGTAAACGGTGACCCAACTAGCATTTCAATTAGTGGTAAAAACTAAAATGAAGTGTAGCTTTAATCACGTGGAATGGATGAGTGGTAATTTTATTTTTATATTATTAATTTATTAAAAAATATTAATACAGATTAAAAAGTATAAGATTTTTAATGTAATAAAAATATTTAATTTTAAATTTGAGAATGTGGAATATGATTTATGTATTATTTAATGAAAAAATATTTCATATATTGAGTAATAAGTGAAATAAATATGTATTTAATTTATCAATAAATTAATCATTATTTTTAAGTTTCATTCATGAGTTTTGTTAGTAAATTATCTAACATTTATTTAATATATATTTTAGTAAAAATTATCATTCAAAACTTTAATTAATTTAGTAATAGATTCTCAAATATCTAATAAAATAATTCTTCTAAGTATTTTAATAAAAGTTTTTTTATAAAAATAAAAAATAATTTATTAGTTAGTGCATAAATTAGCATACTTATTCAGAAAGCAACAGTTTTTAAAATAAAAATATGTTTTTACATAGACATTGAAAAGTATTAGGAGCTTGTAAAAACAAAATTATAAAATTAATTAATATATAAATTATTGAAATAAGTTATAATCAAATAAGTGATTAGTTTAATTTGTTAAAACTCGTTTTTATTGAAGAAAATGTCATAGGTTTGAGTTTTATTGGTTGTCATTTGTTGAGGTTATTTTGAATGCATGACTTGTAACTATTTGTCTTATGTTATCAGATACGACATATCTTACATTGACCTGAGGGATTAAACAATTTATCTACTCTCGTATTTTTCTTACAAAAAAAAAGGAATAAGTTACAAAATAAACAAAAAAATTATGTAATTCATTTCATTTATAAGCTTAAAATTTTAGGATAATTTTTGTTGGATGACATGTATATAGATGAAGTAATTCTTCAATTCAGGATTAAGATTGTTATTAAGCAAAATCTCGCTAAATATGTTGATTAAAGCCGTCCTTAAATGAAGTTCAATTATTACTTAAGTTTTATTTGGATGTCTAATAGCTTCTAATGAGGTGTGATTGATTAAGGCACTTTAACACGCTAGCCATGCATTTAGCACATCATTTAAATAATGATTGGATGTTTATAAATTCAATTGAAGTTTCATTTAGTTCATGATACTTCATATTTCATAAGAAATTGTGCTTTTTCACCATGCATTTTCCCCCCATGATGTCATTACCCTTTTTTTTTTTTTTCAGTTTTGTTTTTGGATTAAAATGAATTGCTTGATATATCCTGCCACTTTTATGGTTTTGATTTGGCCATTTTCATTATTTATTTAGTTTTCATATATTTTTATTTTATTTTTTTATTTCAAAAATTTCAAATTAATTTACTATAATTAATAATATAAAAGAAAATATAAATAATCAAATATATAATCAAATTATTTATAAAATAAAATAATTAAATAAATAGAAAAATAGGTACATAATTAATTAAATATAAAACAAAATATGAGACCTTAAATAATTAAATAAAAATTTTGTTGAATTTTATTTTATTATAAATTTGTAAGAAAATTATTATTTGATATAAAAATAAATTTATTAAATTTTAATTATTTGTTAATACCAATATATTATAAAATTATTATATATAATATTTAAACTAATATATTTAATAACTATTTTTTATTTTTATTATATTTAATATTTTTATTATATTTAATCTCATTATTATTATATTTATATCAAACACATATTTTATTATTAATTTTAATAATTTTATTATTACAATAATTAATGTTGTCATTATCATTGTTTTAAATTTTATCATAATCAATTTATTTGTCAATCCAAATAAAGACTTTCCATCGATCATTGTTTTAATTAATCTTGTCATTATCATTATTATCATGGTATTTATATCATTGCTGGCTTCACTAATATATTATGAATAGGAATCATTGAGATAATTTAAAAACTGTTCTTAGATCACTAATATTATATTCTCCTAAATAATGGCATCATTTTTGCCAAATTTTCTTTAAAAAAAAAAAAAAAGAAAAAGCTTTGCAATGTTTCACAGATGCAGGATATTCCGTACATGAGGATATAGAAACGAAGCAACTCACCATCTACATCGGGCAACCGGTTCTACATGTCATGTATTAAGTAGAGGAAGGTGCCTTGGTATTATACAAACCTTTGTATCAGCTGATGCAATCTTTACTTATGGATGAACGAAGCATTACTATTAAAAAAAAAAAAAAAACAAAATTGGGAAGGTTAAAATAATAAAAAATTCATAAATTTTATTATATTTCTTAGATAAAGTTTTATATTTTATTATATTTAAATAAAATTTTTATTTTAATTTTACACTCTAACAAATTTTTAAGTTTGAATTTCTATTCAAAATAAAATTTTATTTTTAATTTATATTTAAATAATTCTTTAATATAAATTAATTTTTTATTCAAAGTAAAAATATATTTAAATACCATAAAAAATATAAATAAAATAATAAAATTCAAAAGCTCTTTTAACATTTTAATCATATGGACCACCGAATTTATACCCCTAACCTCAATAACAAATCTTGTTTATTAAGCAATAAACTTTATTTAATCCAATCTGGCAAGTTTGGTACATAAAAAATAATAGTATTAAAATTAACAATCAAACAGCAAGGAGACTTGTCACTGTTTTAGTAGTCTCGTAGTCTCCATTTCAATAAAAAAATATATATAACACATGAAACGCGTTCAGAGCACTATCAACAAATCAAAGAGGGCACAATCGTCTGTTTAAGCATATATAAAATTGGCCCCACACACCCATGTACATCAATATCATGAATCACGCAACAATCGTATCTTGCTCTCCTCTACACTCAGTCACTGTCTCTCTGTCGTCTCAGAGCAAAGAAAATGGCAATCCTCTCTGCAGCTAAGCTCTTCTTCTTCTTCTTCCTCTTTACTTGCCACGTCACCATTTTCTACTCCAGTGTAACCGCCGCCTACTCCATCGGCGTCAACTATGGAACCGTCGCAGACAACCTCCCATCTCCACCGCAAGTAGCAAACTTCCTCAAAACCAAAACAAAAATCGACCGTGTCAAGATATTCGACGCGAATCCCGACATCCTCAAAGCCTTCGCCAACACAGGCATTTCTGTGACCGTTACGGTCGGAAACGGCGACATCCCTTCACTAGCTAAACTCCCCGGGGCCAAAGATTGGATCGCCAATAAAATATTGCCACATCACCCGCAAACGATCATTAGATACATCGCCGTTGGTAATGAAATCCTGGCCACGTCAGATAAGTCCCTCATTGCTCACCTTTTACCCGCCATGAAAGCTCTCCGATCGGCTCTCGATTTGGCTAACGCTTCAAGCATCAAAGTATCGACGCCGCATTCCCTCGGGATCTTGTCCGCGTCAGAGCCGCCGAGTACGGGTAAGTTCCGCAAAGGGTATGACAAGCTCATTTTCTCGCCGATTTTGGAGTTCCACCAGCAAACAAAATCGCCTTTCATGGTAAATCCATACCCGTACTTTGGCTTCAAGCCTCAAACGCTAAACTACGCTTTGTTTAAACCAAACGCTGGCGTTTTTGACGCGGCTACAGGGATGAACTACACTAACATGTTCGATGCGCAACTGGACGCGGTTTATTCTGCTATGAAACGGGTCGGGTATGGGGACGTGGATATTGTGGTGGCTGAAACCGGGTGGCCTTCTGCAGGTGATCCGGGTCAACCCGGTGTGAGCTTAGAAAGTGCGTTGTCGTTCAATGGAAACCTCGTGAAGCATGTGAACTCCGGTAAAGGGACTCCTTTGATGCCGAACCGGACTTTCGAGACATACATTTTCGCTTTGTTTAACGAGAACCTGAAGCAGTCCATTTCAGAACAGAATTTCGGGTTGTTTAAACCCGATTTGAGTCGGGTTTACAATGTGGGCATTCTCCGTAATGAACAGGTAATTTCCTTGATTTTTGCTTCATTGGTTTTAGATCCAGCTTCTAAACCATCCGCGTTAGATTATGGAAGGGCGCTTTCTTTTTTTTCCTGTAAAACTCTGCTTATTGTTTGATTTTGTGAGCTTGATGTTGCGTTAATCCTTGTTATTACCATGGGACAGGTAATTGGTTTGTTTGTTTGATCTCCATTAACGTTAGTGTCAGTACAGTGTTGGAATTTTGTATTTGTGGGTTCAGACAACACGTGATTGCGTAGCCGACTTTGATCGAATACAGCCGTACACGGCTTAGCTGTTCTTTTGACCGAGCTACCCTCACTTTAATGTCGTACTTTCCTCTTACTTAACCCTTTTAATCGTTTGCTTTCAAGGATATTTCTGTTACAAAATAAAAATCTCCCGCGCTTTCTTGTTTGTCTGAAAAAGGTATCGTAATTGTAGTAACAATAATTTTTTAATTCCGTACATTTTAATCAAGCTAGTAGGACCGTCTGATTTCCCTTTTGTGATGCAGGGGCTAGGTCCCACCTCTCCTCCACCAACTGCCACAGCACCATCAGCTGGTTCAGGGAAGTGGTGCGTGCCTAAATCGGACGCCAGCGATGCGTCATTGCAAGCGAACATCGATTACGTGTGTAGCACTGGAGTGAACTGTCAGCCCATCCAAGCAGGTGGGGCCTGCTTTAACCCCAATGATGTGATGTCACATGCATCGTACGCAATGAATGCATACTATCAAGCCAATGGTCGGCATGACTTCAATTGTGATTTCAATCGTACGGGAGTCATCACCTCCACTGATCCAAGCAAGTTCCCTCCCTTCTTTTAACTCCATAAAAACTTGGAAATAAACCAAAATATCGTGGCAACTAATAAATTTTTGTATGGGTGGCACTGTCAGGTCACGAGGCTTGTAATTATTCAAATGGTCAAGCGTCAGGGTTAAAATTGGAAAATTCGAAGGCAGCAGATTCGATGAGATTTTGCACCTTTTGGCAGATGATATCTTTAGCTTATTGTACCATTTTTCTGCACCTGCCTAGAAGACTTTTGGAGTAAGTAGGGGACCAGCGGCTATCTGCTTTCTGTTCCACTGGTTCTTTAAATGGCTTTGATTGCGGACCAAATCCTAAAGAACGTGATCATCTGATCGGTGTACAAAGAAGTTGATTCATGATTGTATTAACGTAGTGGTATGTTTTTGTATCATCTCGAGTTCGCAATTTAAACTTGGCAAAGGGATTAATTAGTTTAATCTTTGTTTATGTCCCTTTTTGGTAACAATTACATATATTTGAACAGATTTCAACATGGAATTTTCCTTTCGATTATTGGGTTGGGTTCAGTTAATTAGTTGGGTCGATGTCCAACTCAGTGGTTGGTTCCAAATTGTGGACAGAAACACGACAAAGCGGGCAATGCATGGCCTTGATCAGCCACTAATCTATGCAAAATTTAAGGAATAGATGTTTGAGCTTGGAAAGAACCTTACAATGATCCCCATCTTTGAACTCTTCCAAGCACATAATAGCAGATGAGTCGGTGCAGTTTGATTTACCTTATTGATTCTTGTAGATAATAATGGTCCCAACCAAGATTGGCATTGAAGCCTTCTGCTTCTCTGCTGGTGGCTGTCTTTGGCCTCAGGCACAGCCGCACTGGATTACTAGTAAAAAGAGTTTAAGATTATTAATTAAAACATAGTAAAAGGAGGAAAATGATTTCATCCATTGTTTTTAAACTTTACGAATGGGATTATTAAGATGATAAATAATATATTTAAAAAATAAAAATAATTAATTAAAAATAGACATGTGTCAATATATTAATTATACTTGTGAAATTAATAAATTACACAATCAATATATCAAATACTAATTTGCAAAAAAAAAAAGAAATATTTTCAAAGCAAACCACGCCTTGAGCATTTTTTTCGTGTTTGTTGGAGGTCCAATGGATCCAATGATTAATGTCTACAATCAAACTTACAAAATATTAAAGTCAGACTTGGGCTTGACCCAGATACGGGAATGTCCAACCAAGGCTCAAGGGAGAGAATTGATTGTTGAAAATCCGAAGAATCCGACGTCGTTATGTTATAAAGATGCTAACCACAATTCTTACGCGCTTTCCCTTTTCGATTCTTACCCCACCGACCTTTTTGGGCCGTTTTAACCATAAATATAAACTGATAGACATAAACTTCAGAAAATCAAAATTTCAAAATCCCCATTCCAAAATCCTATCTTTCCCCGGTCTCTCATCTCTCTCTCACCCTTTGTATTGGCTCTTCGATTTTCATTGTCAATTCAAAGTCAGGTAAATCCCCAATTACCTTTTCGATTTTACTTTGCTAAGAAACCCTAGATTCATGTCCAGTTTTCCAATTTTAATTTATAACCCTAACTTTTCTCGTTTTCTGCTGTTTTTCTCAGATTTTTGAAGCAAATCGAAGTTCAATTCCCCAATCCAACAATAAAAACCTTAAACCGCCAAACTTGGGATCATCAATTGCTACAAGATGCCGGCCACCGCAGGGAGGGTTCGAATGCCCGCGAACAACCGGGTGCACAGTAGCGCTGCCCTACAAACTCACGGAATTTGGCAAAGTGCTATTGGATACGACCCGTATGCGCCCAATAAAGATGAGTCAAAAAATTCATCGAATCAGATGACTGCTGCTGCTGAACCCGAAGGTGAAAATGCATACGCTAGTTTTCAAGGGCTTTTAGCGCTTGCCCGAATCACGGGTTCGAATGCTGATGAGGCTCGTGGAGCTTGTAAAAAATGTGGGCGTGTTGGGCACCTTACTTTTCAGTGTAAGAATTTCGTGAGTTTGAAGGAGAGTAAAGAGAAAGACCCTGAAGCGATTCAAGCCGCGGTTTTGACTGGATTGGATAAGTTAAAGGGAGGGAAATTGAACGGGAAGAAGGAGGTTGAGAGTGAGGAGAGTGAGGAAGAGGAGAGTGAGAGTTCGGATTCTGATGCGGATTCGGAGATTGAGAGGATTATTGCTGAAAGAAATGGGAAGAAGTCATCGAAGAAGAAGAGTTATGGGGATGATGGATCGGATTCAGATAACGGAGGAAGAAAGAAGAGAGGGAGGTCGAAGAAAAGGAGTGGTAGGAAGAGAGGAAGTGGTGATTCGGATGATGAGAAAGAAAGTAGGAGGAAGAGGAGGGAAGAGAAGAGGAGGAAGAGGGATGAATCTTCTGATGAGGATGATGATCATCTTCGTCATAGGAAAAGAAAGAGTAGGAAGGAGAAGAGGAGAAGGAGAAGTCATAGGTATTCTGATGATTCTGAATCATCGGATGTGTCTGATGATTCTGGTAAACGGCATAGGAAGAAAAGCCAGAGGTACAAATCCCCATCTGATTCTGATGTTAGTGGTTCGGATGATTCTCGGATTGGAAGGGGTGCAAAGCGATCTCAGAAGAGGAGCAGGAAACGCCATCATGAAGATGATTAGTAGAGGTTTGTGAGCAAAGGTAATGCTTATTCATCAATCTCTTTCTTTAAGGTAGTCTATGATCATATTTGGTTCTTTGTCTGAGCAAGCTTCAGATAGTTTTGTCTGCTATTACGCTTTCACTAAATAAGATTCTATAGTTAATTTTTGTAACGTGCACTGTCAACTCACTTTTATTTAGATTGGCTGAGACTTTTTAAAAAAAAAAAAAAAATCTTGAAAGTGATTTTATACATGGTAAAAGTCATATTAAAAATGGTCGATCTTATGAAGGACTACATAATGGTATTTCAGTGCTATGGTTTCATAGAAGATTATTAATTCAGTGGCGGGCCTTTTGCATGAATGATATAACTCTTGCACACCAATCTTCCTTTGGTTCTATTCCTTGGAACATTTAAGAAGTGTATGTTAACAAATTAGTAAATAAAAGAGATGAAGAAAACAGAGTGTTTGGTCGAGGCTTAGCTACATTAACTGATATAAAACGTGAATGTGGAATTTCATTTTTGAAGATCTACAAGTCAGCATGCATGAGCCTTAGAAGAAGTTGAAAGGGTTGGATTTACTTGTTTTCTTCATATCTTCATCCAACAACCTCCTAACCTGTATTTGTCTGACACCTCGTCTTCCTCATCTCTAGATCCTTCAGAGCTTTCTCTCTCTATATGTTGCGTCTAGTTTTCGTTAGTTTTCTGCTATCCTCTGCTTGGAAGCTTTTCTTGGATCACACAAACTATGGAAGCGCCACCACTACCTTACTCGGGAAATGAAATTCTTGCGGAAAAATTTATAGTTCAACATCTTGTTTCTTGTTTTGCATGTTAAATCCTATGAAGTGGTTTTCTTGCCAGATAAGATGAATGCTTGAAGAATGTTTAATCGCATCAGTGTTTTGGTACTTGATTTATTCTGCTATGAGTTACATTTAAAAAAAAAATCTGAGATAGGTGCCATTTTTGAAAGGCATCCCACAGCTTATATTCTGCAGTTGTCATTTTTGCAGGGATCCAAAAGGGTGGATATGATGTTTGTGCCAGGAGTTGTTAATGTCTTGGAGGAGGAGAATGTTTAAGTTATTTGTTATTGTGTGTAAGATTGCAAACATCTTTAGTTGCCCAGTGAATAAAGCTGACATGTTTTATCTCTTACTTAGGGCATCAGGTAATGTAAGATTGTTATGTGCAATTGCTTGTTCTTTAAAGAAGTTGCCATGAGAAGTGGCTAATGACTATTCTTGTGTCTTTTGCTTATGCCCCCCCCCCCCCCCCAATTTTTCTTTTCTGACCTTTTTGGTGTATGATTAGTCAAACACTCTTTCATCTTTGTGGAGCAGTTGCATAGAGTTTTAAGGCAGCTTGAAACATAAACTAGAATTCAATCATAACTTCCTGAAAAGAATGAACATTGCACAATGGATATAGTGTTTAAATAAATAAAGATAGTAGGTGACCGGTGATCTTGGGGCAACTGTTTATAAAGAAGATCTAAATCATTGGGACGAAACTTCTCAAGCAAATCCTTGGCTTTGTGTTTGTGGGTTTTGCAAAGAATCTATATTTGGTGATCTGTCGGTAAAACTCTATACTTGATGAACTGTCAAACTCTATATTTTATTAATTCCACTCCAACAGCTCAAAGGAATCCAACAGGGATGAAATATTAATCCGCATAGAAATCATGTATTGAAAAAGACAGTTGTACTGGGAAATAAAGTCATTCACTTTTTGCTCATTAACTATCAAGGTGAATGAACCATCCTGCATGACATGTATCTATTCAACAGTATTTAATTCCTCAATCGGAAATCAACAACAAATTCTTTCAAGAGCAACAATCGTTAACCCCCTGCAATATCTTGCCTTTCATCTGTCGAGGGCAAACCGTATTTATCCAAAAAGAAAATTCTACATGTTAAGCAAAAACTTTTTAACGCCCATTTATGGTTGTTTATTACGCTTTAATCTTGTGTTGCTGCCTGCGAGTTAAGTTCTGCAAACCTCAGGCCTACACGCATAGAATGCTTCAAGAACTTCTCTGCACACCGCATGACACAGGTCTCCTCTTGCTTCTGCAAAGTCTTGCGAGTAAAGTTGTCCACACAATCATTGAAGCATCTCTCCACAAGTGAATTGTACATTCTCAGACTGGACATCAAATTAAAGGATATAATTAGATCAATAGACACCTCCCTAGAAGCAAGGTAACAGGTAGAATCAAAAGCATCAATTAACCAGATAAGGGTTTCTTTTGGTTGGCTAAGGGGAACTGGTCTCGCACTTCAACCATAGGAAAAGAAGTTTACAAAGCCCTTCAAATCATGGTGAAGATTAGTACATGGTAATAAGTAGATTGTATAAACCTCCAACCTCTACCCCCCCCCCCCTTTTGATTTCTTCTCTGGTGCTGTAGAAAAGCAACTGAAATAAAATTGGAAAACTTCATCTTTACGCAAGGAAAAAGCTAAAGTAAGTTGACTCAAAAACAAGATGAAGGGCCAGTGGTAACGAGAAACAGGAAAGATCAATTAGGGGTAGCTATGTGTGTCAACCAACATACCCAGTCCTTCCTAGGAAACCAAATATAATGACAAGCTGGCAAAATGCAAGCTAAAGCATCATTAAAAGGGGCTTACAATATAGAAATGTAGTTCCCTAAACATCCAGAGGCGACATAAAAATGCTGCACTGGTTTTAAGGAGAACATCTCTTTAGCTTCTCATCAAACACAGAGCAATAAAACCCCGATGTACCTGCATTGTCTACAATCTGAGAAGCTAACCCATAAACAAAAGAAAAAAGGACCCAAGAATCATAAACCCCAAACAAGCTGAACCCATTTCCTAACAAATTCAGAAATCTCATTTGCACCAATTTTCGGATTCAGGAAACGGATAGGAAAGGCAATAAACGAATTTGAAGGGGGTAAAACCTGTCACGTAGCTGTAGGTGGTCGATCATGGCAGACATTCGGATCTTATCTTCTTCAGGGAGACCCTCGAGCCCTGCCAACATGTTCTTGTCCATACTGGATCTTGTCTTTCCCAATCGAATTTCTTTTTAGAGTTCTTTTTGTTCTTTTGAGTAGGGTTTATCGAAAGGGCTTAACTTTCCGTTCTTTAAAGTAAGAGAGAAACCCTCGGAATATGTGGACTAGAACGGCGTCGTTCCAGCGCTTAATGGGCCGTAATTTGAAACTTCACTTGTGCTCTGGGCCGCGTTGTTCATGGTGAATCAGGTCCGATACGGATATTCTCACGCCTTTTCATAGTAACTGTATAACTGTTGCCCCCTTGCCTGCCACTCTGTCTTGAATCTCTTGAAGAAAGAAATAGAAGTCATTGGATTCAGGAACCTGATGGTGAGTTTTCCGTGAAATTTCTTTTCTGTAACCATTATTTTAAATGGATGGTTTTCTTTTTCATTTTTGTTCTTTACTTGATTGATTTTTTCAAGAAAGAACTCTATTTCTTTTGTCTCAGAAAACCATGGCTGGAGAATTTGGAACTGGTGCTGTTCTTTCTGAAGTTGCTGGTGAAGAGTTGAGCTGAAGGTATTTTCTTTTTTTTCTTATTCGTTCATATTAAAGCATTCTTTACTAGATTGAAAAGAAAAGGCGTCAATAAATTTAGCCCTTAAGCACAACTTCCCAGCCATTCCTTGGCATAAACATTGGTGGAGGTAGCACAGGCCAAGCCCATCTACGTGACATGGTCCTGCCCAACTCTCACCATTCTAGCACCATGTTTCCTTAGCCTACCTCTCTCAATTTGCTGGTTTTGGAAAGAAACTGATGAATTCTACTACTACTACTGCTAGAAGTTCCTCAATTCAGGAATTTTCATGGAATTCACCATGAAGTCTGCATCACTATCGGTGATACGGTGATAGAATATTTTTATATTCATTCATATATAAATTACAATAGGGTTCAAAAACATTCTTATTAATGAATTCGTTGCATACATAATATGCATACATATGGATATGTATACAAGAAGCATATCCAATCCAGCTAGGGAGCTTGGAATCAGTCAAATGGAAATAAAAAAATCTCAGGCGGATGTTACGGGTTCGTAATTTTTTGTTAATGGCATTTTGGGATACGCATCCAAGCAACGATCTTTATTCGTTTTCTTAGTAGCCCATCAAGCAAAGTAATTAGAAGATAAAATGCATGCATTGTGAAGAAAAGAGTGAAAATAGAGTTTCTTAATTTGTTTTAAAGAAGAAGAGGACATGGCATCAAGCAGGTTTTCGGGTTCACTGTCAGCTCCAAACGTTGATGTTTCAATAGACACGGGCATTCCTTTTGTCAATCACACTTTAGATGGTTTCTTGAAGATTGGAACTGTAATTTATTTTTCATTTTTTAAAAACTTTTTCTAGGGTTTTTCCATCATTTAAAATCATATTACACTGCCATGGCTTCTTTTTCAGGTTGCAGCTACAAGGGCAGTTGCAGAGGATACGTTCAAAGCCATCAACAGAGGTTATATTTACTTTTTCATTTTTTGTTCGATGGACCCAAATTCAGTTTGAGTAATTAAGTGTTATGCTTGTTTTGGTATCAAGTTCTTGAGATTTGGCTGAGAAAACCCACTACGTCCGGTCATTTGTTCCTGGCCAGCCCCAGGGCCCAGACTAAAAGATTGCTAGATTCTTGAAATTTCAACTTAGTCGTTATATTGATTAAGATCATATCTAAAATATGGTCGCTGCCATGTTTGCAGGAAGGGTATCAAGCCACTCTTAGGTGAACTCAGTAAGTATTTCTTTTAGGTGCTTTCTATTCAAGAAAGTATGGTTCCTTTTCTGTTCTTAGCTAAAATTGTAAGGATGCATGCATAGGATCGCCATTTGTTGATTGCTTTCCCCTTTTAACTGAGAGCCTTCTAGTTGTCATTGTCTTATCAACTACGGCATAAGTAAGAAGATTATATCTCCAGGATATAGTGAGAAATGGTAATAGTTTTTGTTATACAAGTTGTAGCTGCACATGAATTTGACACAATATTCTTTTCCCTCTCTTGGGTAAATGTTGTTATTGCAGCTCAAGAGGATGTGTAAAGTGGGTGCTTATTGGGGTAAGTATGTAGCCAGTTCCTGTACAGACATAGTAGTTCTATGAGATTTTGAAGGTTGTTTGGATAATTATTGTTGCATTCTTTATTGCAAAATTAAAGAAGATCTGTAAATTTCTTTGTTGCATATAGGAACTGTAGCCAGAGTATATGTGGGAATGGAATATGGAGTAGGGAGAATCCGAGGCATAAGAGACTGGGTATGTTCACTAGACTTTGCACTAAATTATCTAAAACTTCACCGTAAATGGGAAAACATTGCTGCTATTAAAAAGATTCAAATTCCATTTTGATCATAACCTTGATATATTAGAGATTTAGCATGAAGTTCGCTTCCATTCTTTTTGGATATGCTGGCACATTGTGTCGCAGAAGAATGCCATGATTGGGGGTGCCATTACAGGGGCCATTGTCTCTGCGGCCGGCAACAATAACAAAGACAAGATGTGGCGGATACCCTCACTGGAGGTGCCATTGCAACTGCCTCAGTGTTCCTTTATTATCTCACGTTAACGGATCAAACTGGATTTCTTTATCTTGTTGCATATCAGAGTATTCGTATGTAGTGTGATCCCTTTTTTCATTTCCTTCGTGAATTTATCTGGTTGTAAGAGAAAAGGATGCAACAATTAAATAACAGGATATTATTTGTTTCTTCATCATTGTTTTCATTTCAGCTAAATACCTCATTGTCTGCATGCCACTGGGCTGCCAGTGAAACAAAAGATAACTTACCCGAGGAACATACAAATTTTTTCTCCTTAACGTATATTTTCTTATCTAGCTTACCTATGTCCAGATTTTGAGGCAGAGGAAGAGGTTGAATTGAGCACATTTAGTTTGCATGTTCATAATAATTTAAGTTTAATAAGATCAATGATCTTGCTAATAAGCAGAAGAAGTTTGTCAAGAATATACTTTTAACATCAATTTATTTTCCACAATCACATAATAATTTGACCAAATATACAAAACATTCCCTCTCTTGAGAAGAATCAATGGAAAAGAATAAATACAATTAACAAATCACAACGATAAGGCTTACAGTCATCTTTGAAGCTGTTCACAAAGTTTCAGTAGGCTATAGGTTTCAGCATCGGGCCTAGACCCTCCAAGAATCATCCTTTTCAAAAGATTAGGATCGTAGATTTTGGCCTTCACATAAGCCTTTATCAAAGTATTGTACACGAAGGTATACCGGGTATACCTGGCTTTTCTAAGCTCTTCAAACAATTTCTCAGCATTCTTCACATCACCTTTTTCAGCAAAAATCTCAATCATCGAAAAGGTGGTCTCCAACCATGGTGTTGAGTACCTGACTTTGTTGCTTGTTGTCAAATTCATACCCATGTCTAGAGTTTTCAAGCATTCCTCCACAAGTCCTGCTTTTAAGCACCCCAGAGCAAGTTGTCGAAAGGTAATGGAATTTGGTTTGCATCCATTCGTCCTCATTTCTCTGAAAACCTCAGTTGCTTTGCTGAGAAGCCCATGTTTGCAATATACAGATATCATTGAATTGAACTGTTCAGTTGATTTTAACACTTTCATTGACTTCATTTGTAACCAAAGCTCTTCAGCTTGATTTAGCTGTCCTATCCTACCATATGCTTCAATTGCCAGAATATAACTTTTAGACCGAACATGGGGGAACTCTTGCACAGTGCCCCAAGTCCTCTCTAGTTGCTTCTGCTTCCCCAAATACCCATACAATATAATTAGGACATCCAGTGTCGACCAGTTATTCCCTCTCATAACTTCCTCCACAGCCTCAACATAAGCTTCAGCCGCAGTGTATAGCCTTGCCACCGCATGTGCAGTAGCTAGCATGCAGTAAGATACCTCATTTGGCTCAACTTCTACTTGCTTCATATCATTGAAAACCTTTACCAACCCTTCAATATTATGCTCATTTGCCTCCATTTTCATGAGAATATTGTAGGTGGAGACATGTTGCACCACCTTATCTGCCTTCATTTGATTTAGAATTTTTGGAATGGTCTTCCTGCGTGCTGGAGATGAATGGAGGATTATCAGACGATTGAAAACCAAGTGTGATATAGGGTGTCTCAATTCCCTCATTTTCTTCATGCACTCAAGTGAAAGCCTTATCAGGCCTTTATCCAAGCACGCAATCACAAGATTATTGTAGAGCAACTCTTTCTGATACTCTTGAGGGACACAACTAAATAGTTTTTCACCTTGTGATACGCCATGGAGTTTAGTTGTAAATTCCAACAGGTAAGAGTAGTCTAATTCTTTCGGCCTGTATGGTCTCTCTCTAATCACCCATTCCATCACCTATCAGAAGTAATAAAATATTCAGAGTAAGATCCACCTACCCTAACGCGGCCTTGTCATACCAAGATCACAAGTACAAATGCAAATTCAAAAGGTTCACAAATTCCCATCTTGGCTCCAAAGCTAACAGATTTCTATACATATACATTTATGGGTATGTTGATCAATTGCTCAACTAATGAAATCTATTCTTTTTCCTGCCATAGATAATGTTTCAGCGTTCTAGCATAGTAGGACTCAAACATAGACAAAATAACAACTCAAAATTGTATATTTAAGTTCTTCAGCATTTGGGATTTCTTAATGCAAACAAAAATAAAAATATATCCAAGCAACTGAGCTTATTATAACCCTTTGGCATATTTCAGATTGAGCTTCTTCTTTATTTTGAAAAAAAAAAAATCTTTCTTTTGTCAGTTATTCTTAGAAATCAGACAAGAAACTATAAAAACCCCAAAGTTTTAGACTAATTTCTGAGAAAGAAATTTACCTCGAGAGCTCTTTTATTCAATTTAAGTTTCCTCAAACGATTAATGGCGTGAAAAATATCACCTCTATGAACAGGAAACCCATCAGCCATCCAGCTTTGTAATGCTGACCCAACTGTTTCTCCTTTAGGGAGCCTCTCAATTCTCCAAGATAAGCACTTGGGTTCTTCTTGTTTGGACTCTGAAGTTTGTCCTTGAAGGTTATCAGCTGTTTGGGAAGAAAGAAACTTGAGAGATAAGGCAGTAATATCAAGTGTTCGATGTATTGCTTGAAAGAGCCGACGGCGCTGTAGGAGAACCAGTGTTTGCATGCTTCTCTGCTCCAAGTTTCCCAATAAAAAATGGGGTTTTGTAGCATGGTAATCATTGGGCTCCAAGATAGGCCCATTTTCCGAGACTGAAACACCAGACCTCAGCTAGTTTTTTTATATGGCATATTTCAGTGGAATTGGGTGTGTTTCGGGCTCGTTACTTAGATCACTAGGCTTTGACTTAATTTTGTTTTATCTATTTTATTGACATAGAGTAACAATTTAGTTTAGATCAAAATTAAGTTTTAATCATTTTGGATTTAGGGTCATTACAATTTTGAATTAAGACAAATTTCGAGTTATATCAAGTTAAATTCATTATATCTTTTATATAGATTTAGGTTGAGTTTAAAGTAGACTAGATCATATGTTTGTCTTAGATTACTTTTTTCATGCCTTAGGTTAGGCCTTAGCATTTAACACATTTATACATTCAAATAAGGATAGAATAAACCATTTCATACACTGTAAGATGCATTCCTTAGTGAACTCAAAGAAAGTTGGTTGACAAAGAAGAATAATTATGAGAAAAATCATTTGAATTTCTTCGCTAGGATTACCATTCAATTTTTTTTTTTTGACAAAAAGGTTGCAATTTTAAATAAAAAAATAAAAATATTGAAATTTAAATTTCAAATCTATAGGATAATTGTTATAAGCTATGAAAGAGTGACAATCATGCTGATAGTGGCCTCTACAAAAAATATGAAACATTAATTATATAAAAATTAAAAAAAAAAAACAAAGTTTTATGTACAAAGCTGGCCAATTCAAGGGTATATATCCGACAATTATGAAATCTTGTTCATTCATGAACATGGGTTTCATCAAGAACCCACAGTTAATGAATGGCGAAATTCATGTATTTTTGAACCCGGATTTGAGGAAGCAATTTATTTGGCCTGAACTAGTGTCTCACAAACAAAGAACTTCATCTAAAAGCTCATCAAAAATTAAATCTTCTAGCTCAAGTGCCACAAATTCTGATTCGGCTTGAAGGTTCAACCAAGCATCTTTGGCCAAATCTCGAGCTACAATATCATCCAATGACTGGTCAGATTCTGGTTGGGAGGCAAGGTTCCTGCTGACTTTTGTCCACACCTCTTGAAGAACATTGTCGCCCTTGAGCACTGGACTAATACGACAGTTAAAGGAGAAGGGCTTTGGAAAATATATAGGTGATTTTTCACTGATCTCAAGAAGTGCCTCATTAACTAGATCAAAAACAAGCTGGTGATCACAGTTGCTTCCAACTTCCTCAACGGAGTATTCCGGTTCATCATGCAAGAAAGTCTCCAATTCCTTGAACAAAGAAGGGTTCAATGGTTGGTCTGGTGAGTACCATGTCTGGAGGCAGTCATTTTGTATGAAGCCTGAGAGCTCAAGAACATCTCTAACATAATTGTAGCAAGGGTCATCCTCTTTATCTGATTCAAAGAACAGGAAGCGACTGCTGATTTCAACGGTTTCATATTCAACACTTTGGCGGCTTATTGTGCGCCTGTGATCTTTTAAGAAGGTAAAAGACTCTGCTTCATTTTGAGGAAGGTTTGGACGATTCAATCCTAGACCTGATAAAAGTTGAGCCAAAAGTATTAGCAGCCACTCCAACAATATATAAAAAAAAAAAAAATTATTATATATGGAAAGGAAATAACTTGCATACATCAGGACAAGTAATTTGCATAGATCATCAAGTTTAAGCATGCTTTTCAAGACTACATTCCTAAAGCAAATTACATTTGCTCCAAAGAAATAAAAATGTTTTAATTATGTATCGGAGAAAATAGTTGAATCTAACGATTTTGAGAAGTACCCATATTTTCTATTAAGCAAGAAATGCAATCTCCATTGTGCAAGTTCATATTGTAAGGTAGACATATTTACCTTCTGAGATTGAACATTCTGCCCCGCTGGTTATGTCTTTTAAATCAGAAGTTGGTTGTGCAAGTTCTCTGCTTGGATTGACTGCAAAGACAGTCTCCTGCTCTTGGTGAGGACTGCTTTTCTCCATTGCCAGCTCAATTATATCTTCATCGAAGCCACATGGTTTAGCAATTTCTTCACTATTTCTATCCACTAATAAACCAGTTGGACTGTGGTTATTTCCTTCTGTCATTTTTTTCTGCAATTCAGCCTCTATAACAGCTTCTACTAGTTCAAATTTATCTATATCTTCAGGAAAACTAATTGATTTTGGATCATTATGTGCATCACTTTCCTTGTTTGCATCATAATTTAGGATACTCCTAATAGGCATCTCTGAAGAAAGAGCATCACGAGACACCTCATGTAGAAGGGAGCAAAAGGACTCAAGATCGGATAGAGAGGAAATCCTTCTGAAAAATTTCGGAGCACGTCCTCTTGATGAAACTTTGTCTTCTGTGGGCAATTTTAAGCTCTTAGAGTGATGCAAATCAGCTTCTTTGCTTACACTATGCTGCAACAATTGAGTATATCTATCTAGTGACTCATCTATAGACTTTGTTCTTCTTATCCTCTTGCGTCTACCATTGCTGGTATCAGGATCAGAAGCATCGGTGTGATGAGCATGATTGAAATTGTTTGTTCTATCCTGCTCCATAGTTGTCTTTTCCAAGCTTCCGGACATCTCTCCCTCATTTGTGGTTATTGTATCTCTTGAAGAAACCTGGAGGGTGTGTCCATCCACCATTGTGTGGTTAATACTCTTTCTTCTTTCCTTGAGGGCCTGCTTTATTCTCTTCTTAATATCCTTGAGACGATTCATAACTAAATGATTCCACCTTTGGGAATCATATCCCTGGGATGAAGAGCTAGCTTCTTCTGTTATGATTCTCCTAAAACCATCATCAGTTCTCAAAGCCCTTGACTTGGATAATTGAGAAGCAGCGAGTGCTTTTTCTCCTTTTCTGAAAGACCAAACTTCCTTCTGCTTGTGCTCAAGTGTACCAGACCTAAGATATCCAGTGCGAGGTGAATCAGGTAATGGAAATGACCCTGATTTGGTTAATTTTGCTGTCTTCGGAGTTTGCTTCCCAGGAAAATGCTGTGAAATACCAACCTCAGGATCCTGAAGAATATCTAGGAATAAATGTTGGTTTATCTTAAATATCTCCAAAACATCCATGCCCTCCTTTACCTGATTGTATGAAACTTCTTCGTTGTTCTTCTTAGACATTGGCTTCTGATTTGTTAAGGTTCTGGTTCCCTTTCCTTTATCAAACTTATTCTGGATACTAGCATGCTTTCCAGAATTCTCTTTATGTTCTAACTCCAAGTGGCTGTCTGTATTCACTCTTTCAGAGATATCAGGCTTCTTACTCCTTGTAACTTGTTTCCTCAGGGTCTCTGGCGGAGAGGAAGTCGAGCTCGCATCAGAGTTGTCAGCTTTCTTGCGGATGAGAATAATTGGATTCATCCAACCTAGACCAAAACCTGAAGGTTCCAGATGATGGGTTGAACCATCTTGCTGCGACTGTGGTCTTGCAGAAAAGCCCGAAATCCAATGTTTATGGTTCTCTTCCTTAGGCTTTTCTTTACCAGTTAACCCCTTCGTGGAGGCTTTACCAGAGCTTTTGTTGGTTGAGCCTGTTTTTCTTGTTTGCTGTTGAACCTGTTAAATTAGGCAAGTCAATTAATATTCTGTTGCATGCAAAAGAAACATTTCCGTTGCATGATTAAACAACTAGAACTTAATATTTGGCTGTTGAGTGTTGATCATCATATATAATACTACTATATATGAAACACTAAGAATTTTATGTCAACTTACTTGGATGTGACCCGCCTCACCATCTAATAATCCTTGGGTTCCAACAGGTTCACGTTCCATAGAAATAGTTTGTGGATTTGCACAGCCTGCAATTAAGAAAAAAATATGCTGCTGAGCATTAAGAAATTGCAATGAGTCGCTTAGACGGACTGTCCAACAATATATGGGTACTAAGATCTGCTTAGATCAAGTTGGCAAGGGAAAATCAGATTTCTTAAGACAAGATCCGAATGTAAATGCATATTATATTATTACTGCAATCAAGCCTAGATCGAACCATACAAATCAAGCATTTTGCAGCTTTATAGAAAAAATTTTGCTGCTTGGGGTGTTAGAGGATACAAACTTTTGCAGCCTTCTAACTTTGATGCTATGGACTATATATTGGATAAACTAGCACCAAGGCTATAACTTTTAACAGGGGATGCATCAGAATACTTTTTAATTGCAGTTTAGTAACAAAAGCATCCAACACTGTTATATCTTTCACCTAACTGCATCAAAACAATACATTCTTTAATATTGGAAACAATTTTATGTTAATCAATCCTACACTGGTTTTAAAGTTGCAGGGGCTGAGAAAAATTATTTGACACTTTTAGCAATAAAACCTTAAAAATGAAAAAAAAAAAAAGTAAAAATTGATTTATGCCATGTGAAAGCATGGTGTAGGGAGTAGGGTGTTATTACAACAATAAATAGGGTGTCAATATCAGCAGCAAAGACATAAGATTAAAATCAGTAGCTCTAACATTATTTTCTGAACCATACATAGGAAAAATGGTCATGCCCCCAAAAAATTTATTTTTTTATTTAAAGTTTTTTTACACATCTCAATATAGTATTAAGAGAGAGAGAGAGAGAGGCTGAGATTTGCTTACATCTGGTGTGTCTTCCTCTGTTGTACTTTCTGTGTGGGAGCATCTTTTTGACATTATACCAATGATGGTTGTCAAGAACGTTAAATATGCCACCCATGCAACCTGGATGATATCTCTCTAATTCAACATCATCAAAATGTTCATGAAACTCCCTTCCCATGTTGAACACGAAAACAAATTTGATTCCTTAAAGCCTGAATCCTCTGGAGTAATACTTGATTTCAACTAGTAGGCCAACTCTCCTGTAAAACATGATATAACAGAAGAATACAAGAACTTAGTATTTCCTATAGTTGCAGATTGTTTCTTCTGCCTGAACTATTGATCAGCAGAGAGGACTCATTCATGTTTGAAAAGTTTGTGAAAAATTGAAAATTTTTAACTAGTTTTTTGTCCTGGGGGAAACATCATCAATTATTTTTTGTGAACTTCAAGAAACCAGGTAGATACCTTTTGATCATTTCAAAGTGAATGAGTCCTGAAATAAATTTCTAGAAGAGAAGATCAACAAGAAAGGGTCAACTTCGTTAAAGAAGTTCAAGGTGATCAGCTTCAAAACAGAAAAAGGAGAAAAGCTTGCAGATTTGGCAGCTTTGGAATCTGTTTTTTTTTTTCCATATTGATACCTTTTAATCAAATTTGAAACATCAGAAAAATTTATTAAGCAATGAAAAACAGCTCTTTTCGACAAAATTGGTTATGCATCACAACAGAAATAACATAAATAACAGAGTAAAAAGGCAGAGAGAGAAACAGAGGAAGCAAGTAACTGAGAAAAACGCATTAAAACCTTGAAAAGCATACTTGAAACACACAAGGGCTTTGAAGCAACGAAGAAAGTGAAAGAGACGAGAGAAAAACCAACTAACTATTAAAAAATCTATGGGAAAACTAGTTTTCTAAATAAAGATATGAACCCAGAAGACACGCTTTCTTCGTAGACAATGCTGAAGGTCGTTAGTCCTTGCTCAAATTCTAAGAAGACCAAAAATGGAAGAAAAACTAGTAGACGCCAAAGTTGGTTACATAAAGGCTCACTTTGCCTTCCAAGACTGGTCCATGGTTTTGGTTTTTGGCAGAGACGACTAGTCCAAATCCAAATGGCAAAAAGAGTCACATTTATGAAGTAAGCGATGGGCTAAAATTTGCTGACCAACCATATTAATTAATAATATTAAAATCAGAACTGTAGATATAATGTTAAATTCCCACTTTCTGCAGATTACCTACTCTTTTTTTCCTATCCAAAGCTACTATATTCCCATTCACCAGCTATTAGTAGGAAGAAAAAAAAAAGGGGCCGGGCATGGAGACTGGAGGTTAGGCTGTTGTGGGAAATGAAGTTGATGTCAGGCTTCTGGTTTCAATGCCCACATTCTCCTGAACAAAAACAACTGATGACCAAAATCTGACATGCACTCTTTGTCTTGTCTCTCCCTTTCAGTTTAATCTGAGAAATCCTTTCCAAAGACCAACAACAGATTGAGCTTTTAGGTAAAGAATCCAATTCAGGAGACATGTATCATTTCTTTTCTCCACAAACCTTTTTCTGCCCTCAAATGTTTTACTTAATTTTTGGTAGAAAACATGCATATGCATGATGTTTTAGTGGTTGAGAATTCAACAGGGAGGGAATCAACTGAGAGTATAAGATCCTTAAGAATGAATAAGATACTAATTAATGTCAACTTATTAGAGGCTAGAATCAGTAGTGAGAATATGTCATTGGAAGATATTTTATGAAATATATAGTAATTTGAACAAGTTACATATGTAGATTCTTACTTAATTTCAATTGAGTCTCCTTCAGCAGCTGGTTGTACTGAAGTTAGGAATTGGGTGGTAGGGAGCTTTCTAGGTGAGAAAAGGACCATGTTTCATAACCTTTCATTTGCAATGATTCAAACCTTTTTCTTTGATTCTAGAAAAGAGGATTTAATAAAATAATGAAAGTATCAACTCAATTAGCCTCTTAATTTTTAGAGGATAAACTCCTTAATATTTTAACATACAAGTACAGGGTTCTGTTTATTTTAGTAAAAGATAAATTTTGGGCTCCTTTATGGTTTTTTCAAGTTTTTAGATAAAAAAAATATCAAATGGCATTTAAATTTAATCACTTAATAACTATACATAAAACTTATTAAAATATATATACTATAGGTACAATCGACCCCTAAATTAAGATATTAATAGTATTATTATGGTGACATGATGAATTTTAATTTTAATAATTATGATTTAATTTTCAATAGTTTTAAATATAAAATTATAAAAAAAATAATACTATTGGAATATTTGAAAGTTTAAGGCTTCTAGAGATTATGGAGAGAAATTAATTATTAGTAACATATTTTAAAGAAATTGACATTAATATTATATTTTTCATTAATTTACTTCGACCAGACATTCATTTGATCTGTCAATTTTAATTAGTATCGTCTACTAGGCTACTTGTTTCACCACAAATCCATAAACATATTTACATTTTTGGTCATAAAATATCAGAGGCATGGGTCCAAGCTGACCACAAATATATGGCCTGCAAAGAAATGATGCAAGCATATTGTCCTGATGCTTGCAATAATTTTCTTACAGCCGCCAATGTTATACCTTTTAGCTATAAACTTGGTCAGGTAGAATTACAAAATCCAGTCGAGGATTAATGCAAAAAATAGCTGGTTTTTCATCTTTTCTTATGGCAGTATCACGTTATATTAAGACATCTGACAAAACTTTTAAACTGTTTTTGTCAATATTTCATGAATTTACCTTTGAAAACAGTGAGGATAAGTACAAACTGTTCTTATTATTACATGACTTGTTCAAAGCTTTTGATTTTGATCAGATTAGATATATGTATTTAAAATGAAGGTTAATGTAAACGGGTGTTTATTTGTACGCTGATCAGTCAGTCAAGCAACAATAATTCAATTATTTAAAAAATAATAATGAAAAGAATATTTTTTTATTTTTATTTGAGATCTTTAAATATTTAAAAATTATTTTAAATTTCGATTAATTTAAAATTAAATCGAATCAAATCTTTTTTATAATTTATCTCAAATACAAACTTTAAAATTGAAATTTTATTTTAAAAAAATTAATATTTTATCACTCAATTAATAAATATTGATAAAAAAATATTTATTATAAATTAGAAATATGAAGCTTGTTTTATTGAGATCACGTCAACTAAATGTCATACTTATAGTCTAGCTTTGCTTAAAGATAAAAAGTTAGATCAAAGTTTTATAAAAGTTATTTAATTAAAAGCCTTTAAAAATGGAAAGTTGTAATGTTAATTAATTAATTAATTCGAATTTTAAATCAATTAATTTATATAATTATTTTAAAAAATTATATTTAATAAATTTAAAATTTAAATATCAATATTTATAATTTTTTATTTTAAATTACGTTTTCCATTGCATAAAAAATCGACTAATTGTCAAAGAAATACAGCGGAATTATCAACTTTAGAACCTCAAAATTTGACCTAAGAAAAGGACTGAAAATCAAGGGTTTCAAATTAAAATAATCCCTTTTCCAAAGTGAAATTTCTGGGAATGTTGATGTCCACCAACTTAACTTAAAGCTTTGATTGAAACGTTGGCATGGTTTGTTTACTCCAAGTTTTCAGATCATTTCAAAGTGTGGACTGAATCAATCAAGGGCTTCAATTCAGGAGAGTGTGTTTCATGGGCACTCCAGCCATCCATGCCCGTTGTAGAAGCATTCCGATTACGTGGAAACTGCAGACAAAGCCGAATTTTCCAAGGTCAATTAGAACCTGGGACTTGACTTCAGGAAATGTGTTTTGTGGTTGGAAAATTGAAGAGCTGCAGATGTCAGAGACATCATCGTAGAAAATGTGGTGTAATAATATTTTCTTCTTATAAATTCAATACTAAAATTTTTAATATTTAATTTTTTTAACATTGAATTTTTAATTTATCAAATAACACCTTACTCCATTTTTTATTAGAAAAAAATTGAAGAACTTTGTCGTTATCTATTTTTTATTATTATTCTATTACAAATAATTTTCATGTAACTTAAATTTTAGTACTATAAAATATACTTATTTTTTTAGGATTTAAACCCTGAACTGTTAGCATAAATTATACTTATTTTAACAATTTTACAATTTTTTAAGTTAAATATTAAATGGGAGTTTGGTTTATGAAATTTTAGATTTAAAAGAAAATGTAATCTCTAAAAAAATGTGATATCCAATTTTTTTTTTCAAGATATTTCATATTTAAATTCATTTATTTGGTTAGGAAGAATCCACTTATATTAATTATTATATAATTATTATACTTTCTTTGATATATATGATGGTAATTTTTTATTTTATTTTATTAATAATAAATACTCAAATGATAAATAATAAATTTAGCAACAAAAAAAGATAAATATTTTATTTGATTGCTATTTTTATTTATAAAATATTATTAATTGAGGTATTTGACACTTTTTTGAATAACAAAAATTGATAGAAAAAATTATTAAAAAAAATCAACTAATGCGTTTGTCACTTTTTTAATATCATGAAAAAATTTTAAAATATTTTTTTAATTTATTTATAAAATGATCATTTAAAATGTTTTTGTATAAAAACGCTAAAAAATGTATTAAATAATCATTTTATTTTTTTATATTATGAATCATTTAATAATTATTATTTAATTTAATAATTATTTATAAAAATATTAACCGTAAATTTTAAAATATAAAAAGATTATTTAATACATTTTTTGTACAAAAACACCTTAAATGATCTTTTTATCTTTTTATAAAATAGTTATTTAAAGCATTTTCTATATATAAACACCTTAATTATAATATAAAAAAATATTTTTTTGTACAAAAATCTATAACTGAGTTTCAGTTATTTTCAAACATATTTTTTAAAAAGATAACAACTATTTCATCATTTTTTATTCATGTCAAATTTAAAAATAAGATAATTTTCTCTTGAAATCTTAAAATACCATAAGGTGATGTGAGAATCTGATTCTGGTACTTTAGATACTATTGAAATATGATATTTTCTTTCGTAATTGAATTACTTTAAATCAAATGTAAAAATCAAATATCCACCATAAAAAATTTAGAGAAAAATTTGTAAATTCTCTTGAACCAATTGCACTTTAAAGGGATAAGTTCCAAATTTATAAGGATACTAATGTATGTGGTTCAATTTTACCGTTAATCTTTTTATTGGTACAATTTTATCAATATAATTTTGAAATAAGTTTACCATCAAACTTCAAATTTTAAAACAATTAAACGTTAAAAGCTATTTTACAGTTTCAAAAGTAATTGTAAAAGTAATATGACAGGAAAAAAAAAAGCAAACCATAAACTTAAATTTAAAATTATTATTTTTATTTCCTTATTTTATAATGATTTTTTTATTATTACAATGTCATAATCTAAATTTTTTATTTTATTTGTTCTTATTTCCTCATGGCATTTTTATTTCATATAATTTTTTTAAATTATAAAACAATTTCTAACATAATTTTATAATTAATATTCGTTAATTTTTATAAAAATTGTATAATAATAAATTTGCTTCAAGCTTAAAATGTATAGCGATAAAACTACACCATTTGAAATATTGGTGATATATTTGACCAATTCATATAAGTGATAAAGTATACATAATTGGGCAGCCATTGGCATAGCCCAAATGATACAGCAATAACTGGATCATAAAGCAAAAATGGCTCAACTTTAAAGGTCTGCAGGCCCGTATAAATCTCAAAGCATCAACAAATTGCTTTTAATAAGCCCACTGTATGTAACTATATCGGATAGAAGTTCAGGTGTGTTCAGGACTGATGTTTTGTGCTATAAATTTATGGCTCACATTTGCTTGAGGAAATCCTACCCCCATTTTTTATTTGAGACATAGAAAATGGAGGGGAGATATTTGAAGCCTTTGAGGGAATTTCAATTTCCCCAATTGAGATTTGAAGGAAATGATTTTCTCATTTATTTATTTTTTAATGTCAATGAAGTTACTTTTATTTAAATATTTAATTATCATTCCCTTCTAATTAAACATTATTTAAACAAAAAAAAAGGATTTATACTTGCATTGATAATGGGTAATTGCTGAAAACTATAGACTAAAAAAAAGACTAGACTAGGGTCAAGATTCTCAAGGGCCAATAGGGTAAAAAATTTATTTTATATATATTTGGTAATTAAAGTGATAATAATTACAGTTAAAGTAATATTAACATAATCAAAGAGTCTATTACAAAGATCAACCTTTGATTAGGACATTAAACTTGAACTCTTGTTTTAATTTGCATTTATGTTAAAATGACTTTAACAAAACCGGTCTTCCACAGCACTAACAGCACGTGTATGCACTCACATCAGAGCTGCGAGTGAGGAAAAGCTTAAAAAAAAAAATGTGTAGATTTGTATAGAAATCCAAATCACCATCATCATAATCATTATGATCTCTACGTCCATTATCCCCACATAATTAAATCATACTCTCTTTCTCACTCACTCGCTCACCCCCCTACTCTCCATTCTCCAACTGCACTGTTCAAACAATCAAAGCCTCTCTCACTCCATTCTTTTTCCTTCACTCTTAAAAACTCTGCAAAGGACAGAGAAGAGACCAAAGACATGGCAATTTCATTCTCTATTTCCCATATTACCCTTATAACATTCTTTTATTTACTCATCCTATCCTCCTCCTCCTCTTCCGCCACCACCACTGCTCTTAACATAACCTCCATCCTCTCCTCCTTCCAAAACCTAACCTCCTTTTCCTCCCTCCTCTGCTCCACGTCAGTTGCCTCTGACCTCACGCGACGTGACCCGATTACTTTGCTCGCCGTCCCAAACTCATACCTGTCCATTTCTCCTTCCTCAGACCTCACGCGCCGCCTCCCACCGTCCTCACTCGGTGACATTCTCCGCTACCACATCCTCCTACAATACTTCTCTTGGACCGACCTCCTCAAGATCCCTCCTTCAGGCGTCCTCGTAACCACACTTCTCCAAACAACAGGCAGAGCCCATTCCAACTTCGGCGCCGTTAACATCACTCGTAACCCTTTAACTAACTCCATCACAATCCAATCGCCCGCCCCTTACTCCCCGTCAAACGCTACCGTTTTATCCTTGATCAAAACCCTTCCTTACAACATCACTATCCTGGCTGTTAATTCTCTCCTTGTTCCCTATGACTTCAATCTAATGGCTTCTGATACGCGTCCTCCCCTCGGCCTCAACATTACCAAAACCCTAATCGATGGCCACAATTTCAACGTCGCTGCTTCAATGTTATTCGCTTCCGGCGTTGTTGATGAATTCGAAGCCGATGAAGGCGGTGCGGGGATCACTCTCTTTGTCCCCACCGACGTTGCTTTCGGCGATCTGCCGGGCAACGTACAACTGCAGTCGCTTCCAGCTGATAAGAAATCTGTGGTTCTAAAATTCCACGTGCTTCATTCTTATTACCCTCTGGGTTCACTGGAGTCGATCGTGAACCCAGTTCAACCCACATTAGCGACCGAAGATAACGGTGCTGGTAGCTTCACTCTCAACATTTCCAGAGTTAATGGATCTCTTGCTATTGATACGGGAATCGTTCAAGCATCGGTTACCCAAACGGTTTTCGATCAAAATCCCGTTGCCATTTTCGGGGTTTCCAAGGTTTTGTTGCCTAGAGAGATTTTTGGGAAAGCTTCGGCTGGGATAACGACGAAGCCAGGGAATGGGGTGGCGGTGGCAACGGTTCAGCCACCGGAAACATCTCCATCACCGGTGAATGCACCTGGGTCAAGTGATCCAGCTTCAAATCTTTCATCACCGTCGGGGTTTCATGAAGAAATAAAATCGGACTCTGAGAGATATCAACTGCAGAGCTGCATTGTTGCTCTTTGTTGTATAGGATTCTATGTAGTGCTATGAGCTTGATCCTTGAAACTTGTTTTTTTACTCTAAATTACAGATTTTTTTTTTTTTTTGGGTTTTTTCTTTTACACAGTGTATTGAATAAATGGCTACAAAAGAAGCCACTTTTTTCCTTACTGAAAATTAAGAGAGAGAGTTGTATGTCTTAATAATAATAATTTATATTAAAAAGGCATCATTTTTTCTTCCCTTTCCTTGGTATAATATGTAAAGCTTTTAATATTGGTAATATATATCCTGCTTTGAATAAATAAAGTGAATAATTAATAGAATTTTCAAGAACATTCGTGCTTGATCTCTGTCTATATTCTATGTACATATTTTTTGTTATCTCCCGCATAAAAAGTCCGGGTTTTTGAAATTCAATCAGAGTTAAAAAAAGGAAAGTTTTGGGTTGAATCCTCCAAATTCAAGACCCATATTTTATTTCTTTTTTGTGTTTAGCCTTTTTGTTTTTCCAAAAAAACCCGACTTCTCATCAGAGCTTTCTGGACCACAAGTTTTCCCCAACTTTTTTTTTCTAAAAGAATGGTTTTTTTTTGGATCCTTGGAAAGAGGTACTAGTAGAAGCTGAGTTGGGGGCATTTTAGTAAAAAGAGAAATGCATGCATTCTACAAGAAAACTGCAGAGAGACTGAGAAAGAGAATCCAACATATTTGGACTGTAATGGCGTTTTGCTAGATTTTTTTCTTTTGTTAAGTCATTGCATTGCTGTAAGGGCAATAGTAAAGAAAGCAAGGAAAGTGAATGACAGTAGGCAGGGTGGGGGACTCTGGTCTGGTCTCATCATTTTCTACGGTTGAGATACGAGATTGAGTTCAAGAGAAGGCGTGTTTTGCCTTCGGATGTTTGTTTAGATCAGTGTGAAGAAAACAAGACAGAGTACGATCGAGATCGAGGGTGCCAGAGTACTTATTTGATTCCAAGTAAGATGCGGCACGAGGGCACTTGTCTGATGGTTGTTGCACTTTGAGTGTCTATGTTAGGATTCAAAGGGTTGATGGGTCCGGTTGGAGAACTTTTGGACACTACCTTTGGCAAGGGAAACCCCACAAGAGTAGAAAAATTTCTGATTCGATGATCAAAGCACCCTTTTCTTCGTTTCTTTCTTTTCTTTTCCCTTTCATGGTCAAGATTTGTTATCCAAATTCTAAGCTTGAATCTAGTTCTAAATATAAACAGTCATTGGAGCCATTTCTCATACTCAAACAGACATACCAAATACCCATTGGTATTTAACTTAAAAAGGAGCCCAATCTTAGTTGATCCTTTTCTTTATGTAGGCCCAACAAACTAGGAGCCAAACCAAGTCATGCCTTCTTGGGTCTTCTTCTAGAGCCTACATGATTCCCAATTTACGATTACAACTCAATAGGCTACATTGGGGGAGCCCATATAATCAATTTGGGTTTAACCAACATTTCACTCCCATCTATGAGGAAAGAGTGAAGCCCAGGGGCTGTCTTTGTGCCTACTTTGAACATCTCCTCAAGTCGACGTGTGTTCTTTTCTTGGAAACCTGTCACCGACACACCACCAAGAAACCATAAGAGATATGGTCAATTGAATATGAACTTGAGAGTTGTGCTGTAACTGAACTGTTGTTTGAATTGTGAGTGTATGAAATGGTCATAAGCAAGAAACTTTTGGGTCAATTAAAACGAAATTCAAGATGTTGGTATTTTACTAGTAATTTATTTATGGTATTATATACTTTCTAAAAGTTTGAGTAAACCGGAACCAAAATGTCAAAGCAATTGAGTTAGTTGGAAATTCAGCAATATTGACAGGATCAAAGCGCAGGGAACAATACAGTGATTGCAATCAGGAAAATCCTATTCCCTTTGAATATTGATCGGCAAATAGTAAGTCAAGACCTCCCCATCTGCCTGCCTTGTGCAAGCATACATAAGACAAGATGTTACCCCATGGGAGCGTCTGGTTGAGTTAGAGGTGTCCAAATGAGTGGCCAACATGAGGTTCGACATGGCTCACCATCGTATCAGCACGACACGATACATGCAGTGCATAGATTAATATAGAAATCACATAAATCCTTGTAATTGGATTTTTTTTCCCTTAGTTCTTTTGGAGTTTTGGCTTCATTTTCTTATCAAATCTTTATTTTATTTTTTTAACAAGTCGATCCTGCATCCCACTGCACACAAACCCCATCAATAGCCATGATGGTCGACACCCATCCCCGCACCATTCAAAATGATAATCGATCATTTGTTATCCGCTCTTCCAATGATGACCCATCGTGCCATACGACATACCCTGGCCCTTAAGTTCTATGGGTCGTGCCGTATTTTTTATCGTGATGGGCTAGCTTGTCACACTACAGTCTAGAAAGAGCCACCATAACGTGCCGGGTCAACCCAATCTGCTTATTTTGTCAGCTCTACATTGAGTTGAGAGGCTAAATATAGCCGGAGAAAGACAAGATGTCACTTGAATGGTGGCGTGCGTGTCTTTAAGATCTTTAATAAACAGCGAAATTGGGGCCCAAATTGACAATTAAAATTGGTACTTGAGATTTTGCCATCTTAAAAGTTAAAATTATACCTAACACATTTTTTAAGATTTTTGTTTATTAGTCCTGTTAAATAGGGCTTCGAAAAAGAAAAACAAAAAAAAAAGTCAAATTTGGGTAAAACAAAATAAAACTAATAAAAAATATTGACTGAATAGATATATTATCATAATCGCAAGTAATTTTATTTTTTATTTGAGGGAAGAAGAAACCAAACTTATTTTTTTAATAAAAAGATCGTACATCAACACCTAAATCAGATGTTAAGATATTATTTTCACACTATCTTATGGCATTTTTTATTGAAACTCTCACAATTAAAATGAAGAAGATAAGTTAATACTATAAGATTATATTTGGAGTATAGGATAAAAAATAAGATAAAATAATAATTATTTTATATCATGTTTAATTTGTAAATAAAAAAATATTATTGTAAGAATAATTAATTATATTTTTGGCATAAAATGGTTTAATTCTCTTAAAATAAAAAAAGATTATTTTTAATATATATAATTGAATTTATAAATCTTATTATATTTTTAAAAATTATATCAATAATTTAAATTATATAAATTTTTAAAAAATATAATTTTAACTAATAAATAAAATTATTCTATTTTAATTTTTACACACATCAAATATAAAATAAAATAATATTATTTAATTTAATCTAATTTATAATATTATTTTATCTTATCTTTTATCTTATCCAATTTAAAATCTATTGTAGAAGAGCCGGAAGATGTGAGGAAGAGACAGAGCAATGAGAAATATATGAAATAAAAACCAATCTTGTTGTCGAAGATGGCAAATATAAGGAGAGGATGAGGATGTGGGATGGCATCAGAATGCAGACAATTTCAATAGTGATTTCCCCAATTTACTAGTGCAGATTGGTGGTGGTGATCCTGATAGCTCCTGACAATGACCATGGTGGTTCCAATTCCATTCCCAGTCAAACTCTCCGGATTGTGTTTGCTCAATGGCTAGCATTCTCCCTTTAAAATATATTTCTTTGAAGTCTTCACAAATTTCACATCCTTGCAATTGAAGTTTCCTTGACATTTACAACTTCAACATTCTCTCTGTTGTTTGAACCAAATTTCTGTATTATTCCGTGTTTGAATTCTCCTTTTGCTTGTCGAATATGAAAGCAAAAGCAGTAATCAAACTTACAAAGTCCGAAAGAGAGGTTAACAATTTTTTCCCCCAAGTTTATTCTTCTGATGACTTAAGATAATTTCTTTCACATTTCATTATCAGCCATTGACAATAACACACCATTCAAAGCTACACTGAGGTTTGAATTAATGATATTTTACTGTATTCTACAACAGGAACTTGGGTTTTTTATGTTGTTGAGTGGAGTTGAAATTAAACCATTGATCACACAAAAACAGGATTGAGACAAGACAGATTAAGGATAAGAATATCAGATTAAACCCAAATGAATTAAACCTATGACTTTATGGGTGTTATTTCAAATGTTTGATTAGGTATCAAACAGGCTTTTAGGAAGAGCATATGTTCCTTTGTTCCAGGAAAGGTGATTTATAAGTAGATTTTGGAACTTAGGATTTAGGGCATTCAAAAATGGCTTAGCTAGGACAAGAAATTCAATTTTCCTCCATTCTTTTAAGACAAGTGATTCAGAATTTAGGGTTTAGGTAAACAGAAACAAGATGAATCTGCCATAACCCCAAAAAAATGTGAATGAAAGAAATTGAGTAGGCCAAAAAAGAAGAAGAAGAAGAGGAAAAGAATGGTTTAGCTGAAGTGGACAGCAGTATGAGTCAACACACATGCAATGATGCCAGCAAAGCCAAAAGGTCCACCAGGGTAATAAAACAAGACCCACTAATCACTAAACTCCAGAGCTGAGCTTGATTTGAAAACACCCACCACATATGTAAGAATTTAAGACTAAACAATTAAGCTATATCAAATGTTGCTTCTTTCCTAATACTATACATTAATTATTATATCTATTTAAAGTCAAAATTTTAGGCACCCAAAACAACATTGATATGTATTATTTGTTTATTCTCCAGCTTGATGAGCCAATGTATCAGGCCACTATTTTTCTTCTAGAGCTGTTTAAAGTTGAGAAAATGTGTTCTAAAAGAATACGGTTGATGAATTAGTCATTATTCATGATTGAACCATTAGAAGTTTCTTGGAATTTAATAATATATATATTTAATGTAATTGATCAAGGAAGGTTTTAGTCCAAGATTTAGATTCTCTTTTTGCCTCCTAACCATTGCACTCGAATATTTGAATTAATTGGTTTATCCTAAGCTTAAAGAATATAGTTTCATTCTCTCTTTTTCTAAATTAAAAATAAAAAATAATTTCATTTTTTCTATCAAATAATTTCTTTTACCACTTTCCCCATTGCATGCAATATTGTATTATATTAACTAATTTAAAACAATTAGTTACCCTCTTCCAATCTCTCTTTTTTTTTTTTTTTTTGAAACTCGACATTTTTAGCACGAGAATATCCAATTTCAATTTAATCTGTTTTTTTAGTTTAAAATAAGTCGTATTTATAAATAGATAAAAGAGTTATAAGTATCTAGACTTGCTAAATGTTATCTTTTAAAAATAATATT